AGATAAAAAGATGTTTTCTGATTGAATTATAAAAATACTTTATTCAAAGATTTTACAATTGCTGCAAAAATGTCACAATTATACAATATTGAAAGCAACTTAATTTCACTAACATAAAATGAGCACACACCCAAATCAGAGATCTTATTGTTACATTCACGTTTCATAAAAAAACAAAAAACTTTTACCTAACTGTTCTTTATAACTATTTTTATTGATTTAAACATACAGGAAAAAAAAACAGTTTTATACACAGCAATGTATCACATAGAAATATATCATACAAAATTTCTTTACTAGATTATTGAAGTTGTTCTTTATAATAGCCAAAAATGCCCCATGTATCAACTATTTGAGCAGAAGAACGGTATAAATGACATTTTTGTGAAGTACTTATAGTTCGTTTAGTTTAATATTTATTGAAAATGATATAATTACTACGTTAATCGCGTTTTATAGTAAAAATTAACAGAATGACCAAAGCATAATAAACAGTTTTTTTTTTCATTATACAGTTCCTTCGTATTGTAAACCATTCCTAATTACATCCATAGATAATTATTGATTGTAATTAATATACCATTGTAGCGGCCTTGGAACGATTTTTGACGAAAATTTTGTGAATCTATAGCGTCTTATACATGGTCCGTTTTGTTGTACGTTCCGCCAAGGTTACGCACGGCGCAAAATGTAGTACGTCAATAAATACATACGTCAGTCGTACAGCAAGATGGACCGTGAATAAGGCGCTTAACTCTGCTTTTTCAAATTGTTTCTTTGATTACAGACTCGTACGATTTCTTTTATTGCTAGTATCTAATAACAAAATTCTTAACAATATACTGGTGAATTACATTGTTAACTTTTCGGTAAATGTTGGCGACAGATTAACCTAACAGACAGTCAATGACAATGTTATCTCAAGGCGCCAAAACGGACACATTTAGAAATATTAGTGAAACAATCAAAATCTTTCACGTACCCACTTTAAACCATCCAATTATTACGATATATATACTTATAAAGCTTGATTGATATTAATTACACAAATTAATAAATTAAAACAGCTTAACGTTAAAAATATCTAATTAAAACAAAATGCTTCTCAAACATACATGTTACGTAGTGGCGACGCTAGAAAATCCAATCCTAGATTCAACTCACAGATTTTTTTTCTTTTGATAATAATGTAAGAAAAATATTTGAAAGTAAGAAGTATTTTGTTATACATAGTTTATAAGATACCAAAAATTAAGCTTATTTAATAATTGAGGTAAATATAATCAGCAATTAGTCAGTCAGCAAAATTATTGTTTAACATAGCATTTGTAGTCCCGTAATATTATTACTTATCGACTTAATTGTTTACTTGTAACACGCTAAAATGTGGTTAATAATATCTATAAAATTATATTCGTTACATATTTCTTTATTGAAAATCTTGATCCCGATTTGGGGAAGAAAAATACTGATGAAATCTTACTCAAATCAAAATTTAAAATTTAGTACGATTTTAAGTGTTTAAGAAGAACATTTTTTTCATCGTACGTTAACCGTGTAGTGGCTGTTCCTAAAAACCACTAACTACTATCATCCCGTGGGTTTCGTAAAAGGCGACAGAGGAAACAAACCAGGATATGGGCAACAGTGTATTCCTACTAACAAAAAAACTGCGGTTGCCAACCCGTCTGCCAAGCGAAGAAACTATGGCAAATATCTCTCTTATGTCTAGGCCGCACACCTCGCGACAGTATTCCGGCGATAGAACTTCTCCTACGGCGATTGTGCCTCGCCACACTGCGCGATGAAAAGTTTATCGATAGTTTATCGCGATAAACGCACGCTAAAATGGACACCGCAGTCGCTCTATATAATATGGCATCGAATAATTATTTATTACTACGTTTTTGGCAATAATTGACAGCTTTAAACGCTTGCATTATTTATTCAAAATATCTCTTCAAATTATTAATCTCATTATTGCAAAAAATTATAATTGTCGAAAATAAGTCGCAAGCCCTAAATTACTTCAACACGTCCGCTAAGCACGATGTCTGTAGGCCAATTGAAGAAGAAGAAACATCCAACACGTAATGTTTCGAAACAAATCGCATAAAATAAATCACACAACATGTTTTGTTGATGGCGGCGTTCGCACTCACAAAAACTGTAAAATTTTCAACAGATATGCAAACTTATCTTTCAACATGACAATATTTCCATAAATTTGTTTTCAAACATTTTGTTTCTGTAGTTATAAAGATATATTAAAGGTAAAATATGTAATGTATGGAGTGTACTTCTACACTCCTTAATGTAATTGTACAATAAACATATTTCACTACATGTTCTGTGACTATGCAAACGCTTTTTGATACATTGACAGAAAACAGGGTAACGATTAATAACCTGACCAGAGACAAGGAGCAACATATGTGTCAGACGTCTGACACTACGATCGCGAATCCGCCGCCCAAGCGTGGCGAACATGTCTCATCTTTCTTACAATGAACTCATTTCCAACAGTGTACGGTAACAGGCTGATAAGGAGCATCTTTACTAATCGTGTCATAGTATCTAACTTTCGACTGATTAAGCTGAAAGCATTATCCAAATAGTAAATACTTACTAATCGACCGTGTACGTCGTGACCGAAAGGCATAAGAATATACCCACTACCCCATACCGTCCCGTGGGTGTCATAAGTGTCGACAGAGGGATACAAACCTATTTAAAAACCTAAAATAAAAATATCTAAATAACGTCTAGAACAGGTAAATGAAATTGTATACTTGGGGAATGCTTTCAGCCGGGATGGAAGATGTGATTTAGATGAGCGTGTCGCTGCCGGAAACAAAGTCAATGGTGCCCTGCATGCATTAGTAAAAAGGCAAGACGTAGTGAAGAGTGCACGCCTTGCAATACATAACGCAGTGTTGGTACCGACTTTGTTATATGACAGCGAAACCTGGGTATGCCAGAAGAAGCATAAAAGCAAGTTGAATGCAGTGGAGATGCGATCTCTTCGTAAAATGTGTGGCGTTACCATAGCCGATCGAAAGCGAAACGAAGAGATTCGCAATATGCAGGATTGAAAGATGACCTTATCACAAAAATTAATAGGGGCGTACTCCAATGGTTTGGGCACGTTGAACGAATGAGTGAAGACCGAATGGTGAAGAAAATATATAGAGCGAAAGTAAATATTAAAAGGTGTCGAGGTAGACCGATACTAACTTTCGAAGACCATGTGAGCAAATTGCTCGAAGAGGGGTAGGTCAAGAGTACTCGGATACCTAGACGTGCATGTATGAAGAAGTTAATGAACCTGAAAGAAGCGAAAGAGGTATGTAAGGATCGTGACACTTGGCGATCTGTTCTCTCTGGCTACCCCGTTAGGGATTGTGCGTGAAGATAAGTAAGTAAGTAAGTAAAATAAAAATATTGAGTTTACCAACACGCTTGCCAAGGTTAGCAACCATGACAGGCAATCTATGGGGGAAGCCTATGTTCTGCAGTGAACTTTAATAGGCTGTAACAGTATTTTTTTCCTATTTTGGTCAAAACTATTAATAGTAATATATTCTAACTTCTAACTTTTTAATTAACTTTTTGACTAAAAGGATTTACCTATGAGTTATTCCTGTAGTGTTTATGTGTTATAATGTTTTTTTAATAACATCATAGGAATAAAAATGATTTAATACTAATATCACTTTCCTTCAAAAATAAAACAGTTAACCAAAACTGTACAATAAAGACATCTGTTTGTATACAACAAAACAAATAAAAAGAGATCTGCATTTGCCAAACTACTTGCCAAGCAACTATGGCAAATATCTTCCTCTATGGGGTAATCTATAGGAGTGGTATGTCCAGCAGTGGGCTTTTAGTGTAAAACGCGAAACAAACGCGATCTAAGTAGAGCTACTCAAGTAAGCTTGATTAGTACTCGTATTCACTGTTGCCCAGTATTTGCGCAAACATAGTTGATCTAGCTTAATTCAGTTAAATATTTAAACTTTAAAAATTAAATGATGACCTAGGAAAATACAGCATAATCATATTAGAAAAGGCTCTCAAAACACAGTTTAGTTCACAATTATACCCTATTTTGGGAGTCTATATATTGAAAAAAAAAAAAGTAATATTTATAGCATAATGTCAAATAATACATTTTATTCTCTTGTCTTAGCTTCTGTAAAAATGTAACGGAGTAACATAAACGAATATACATTGAAAATGTTATTTATACTATAATACAGTTTAAGTTTTCGTTAGTGGCTAGTTTTATGGTCTAGTATTTACAATATACACAATCGTTTTCAAGTACAAATTAAAGAGTCATTTATTAATACTCCTTTACAATTATTTTGTCGCATATCAAGGAATTCGGAATTATATTTTAATTTTCTAATTTTTGTACACAATCTGAAACACAATAAGTATTACTAATACTAAGCAAGTGGTAAGATTAAAGATTTTGTACAACCGACTTCAATGAGAACATCATCAATATAGCTGAAGTCAAATATACGCATTATTAAGGATAACTCAAAAACTACTGTTCAGATCTTCAAAATCGAAAAAAACCTAGAAAAAAGTTTGGAGGTAACACAAAAAGTACAGTCAAATTGAGAACCTCCACCTTTTTATTTAAGTCGGTTGCGAAAACTACAAAAGATGAACAACTGTTATCTTAAACTTATTGATTATAGTGAATACTAGTTGCCGTCAATGAATATTTCATTTGTTTTTCTTAAACAACTGATTGAACAACCGCAATAAGGACTAGAACCTTTTGTATCAAGTCAATTTTCTTTTGAAAGTAATCAAAATATTGAAGGTCTTGTTTTTAAACACTTCGTTTTAAAACAGAAAAATAAAGAATACTAAGATCATTAATAAAAAAAACTACTTCACGTACAAAAATACCACTTATTCTAATTATTATTAATTATAAATAGCTGACTACAAAATCAAGTGGCAGTATGTGCCTGCTATAGGAACCTAGAGTGGGTCCTGGTGGAATTTGGCGAGAAGCTGTTGTCTGGCAACACACTGGCATCTCCGTATACAGGAACGTCAGGCACGTGGGTCACATTTGGCCCTCCCGACGCATAAGGACTCCGCGACCAAGTACGCGACCGCTGCACTGGGCTCGGTGACTCCTGCGGTAGTACAGTCTGCATTGCCGGGTCTATAGGCATACGGATTTGGCCTTTACTTTGGAAGCGTTGTTGAACTGCAAACACAAAGTTATTTTAAATTTTTTGCTTTTTATAAAGTAGTGACTAATATTTTGGAATTTATTCAACTCTTAGTCCGTATTGCCTCAATATTCAGATAGGAATCTATAATACACTTACTAATGATACTACACTTACGTAAGAAATATTTTTCAAAATACTTATTTTGTGATCAAGCGAGTTAGAAACATATTTTAGTAATATGTTATTAATAAACTATGATGGATGCCTTTTTTCACTTTTATATGTATAGTTGGTCGTAACGATATTTTTATTTTATTCTACTATCTCCTTTATCATAATACAAAACATTTAGAAAAAACAATGGAGCTAAACACGTAAGCCTAAAGCCAGTATATTAAAAAAACAAATACGAGTTTAAACTCAAACTTATCTATCTCAAATATATCAATGTTAAAATTTGACTAGTATTAAGTTTGGATAATCTCTGAATAAAAGCTTTAGATAACCCATATCTCGACCTTAGAAATATGCAAGAAAGCCATAATTTATCATTAAAATATATTAGAAAATATGCCAGAATCAAAATATCCCTTTTGCTATATATCCTGTGTCTGCTAATCAGTCTGCCAAGTGTGACAACAAAAACCAATTTTTTTTTATATTATCAGTATTCTATGCTTCGAGCCGGAATGCTGACAGGTCATCAATAACTTTGTTTCTCAATGCATTTTGCACCACAAGCTCATAAAAGTCAAATATCAAAATATAATATACTGCACCATAGAGAACATACTAAAAAGTGAAAAACAAACATATCATCATTAATTACTGGACTATAAATTATCTGTTGTTTATAATATAATATAATACATAACAAAGAAGCTATATAATGTGTAACATAACTCTTATTTAGAAATTAAGACTTAAGAATTATTAAGAAATTCTAAAAAATTGTTATGCAGTTTAGGCTACGGTCTCCTATTAAATGCTATACGCGGCGTCCGACTTCAGCGTAAACGTTCCGATCGGCGTCTGAACGCCAGGCACAGCGTCAACGGTCAATAAATATCTTAGCAACGGACGACGTCTACACTTTCGACCAAACAACAGTTAAGTAGCCGACAGTGCTCACGTGTGGTTGTTTTTTTTTTATAGAAAAAACATCCATCCTCGGTTGCGAATCAAAAGAAATGGAATGCCTTTTTTCCAGTAAAAAGGGTGCTACAACTATACAATTAATATAGCCGCAGCATGGCGTCTACCACGTAAATTGTTTTTTTTTTGTTTTTGTTATTGGATGTGTGTGATATTTGTACATAAAATGGATAAAAATGCAATTCTTTTGGCGGCGCTTGTGTAACTTGAAGAAGAGGCACAAGACGACACAAACAAGGCACCCATTATGTATGAATAGAAATGTAGAAGGATGTTTCCAGCTATTTATAATAAAACACTTAAAAGACATCAATTCTAAGTTTACTGAATATTTTCGTATTAATCAAGAACAATTTAAACATAATAATACATCAATAACTCGTCTTTTTCTTTATTAAATTTTGTCATTCTGTACTGACGCTAAACACGACGTTCACGCTGCAATGGTTCGAAATAACTAGAGTTGTTATTTCGAACCATTGCAGCTTGTTGTTGTTGAATTCATGAATAAAACATCTTTTTTACTTTGTCAACGTAAATTTGTGTAGGCAAAAAAAAACTCATATATAAGGCCGCGCTGAAAAAACCACTACGTAATTTCAATCTCCCGCCATTTCGGGAGCTTACTGTGCGTAATTTTGTGATGTTGTGTTTGTCTTCTTATTTTGTGAATCGGCTTTAACTTTTTGGACTGTTTCTTCTATATTCATTGAAGCATGTGCCCATGTCACAAAGGATGATTGGGCAAAAGTGTTAGAAAAATAAAAATACAAAATAACTATAGATGACTTTGAAAGAGACATTAATTTTGACTACATTATTGAAAATCAAATAATAATTAATCTAAGCAACGACAGCTCAACTAGTTGTACCGAAAGTGATTGAATAAATTTGTTTTTTATCTAGTTTCAATCTTAAATTTTTATAACTGTGCCTCTAGAAATAAGCAGTAACAACAAATACGTAGAAACTGATAAATCTTGTGTTTTAAATTATCCGTTTTTAATTTATTCTGGTATTATTCAAACCAAACTGTAAATGATTACAAGCTCTAAATAATCGATATCGATTTTTTAAGAATCGATTACTGTACGTACCCGTTTTTTGGTTGGCCATGCTTGGTGCAATACGTCTGACAGCTGTCAAAATGTATTTCTTAGATTTGGTTGACTATAAAAATAAAAACTGCGGTTGCCAATCCCAAGTTTCAAATATCCTCTATAAGACAATCCATGCTATGCTATGCTGTAATGGAGCGCGAGCTGAGTAATTCATAAATAAAAATTACAACTCACCATACAAATACGCGGCTGCGATAGCAATAACGGTTATCAACGTAGAGAGATACGGTTTCAGCAGTGAGAATATCGCACCCAACAAAGTCCCGCACGCAATATCACATTCCCTATCAACTTCAACTGTTATTTCTTGTGCCGTCAGTCTTGATGATACATGCACGTGTCCAACACCACAAGCCACCGTTTCACTCTTGACGTTCACCGTGACCGTGATCTCACCATCCTTGGTGGTCATTTCAAGTTTGAGCCCTGGTGATGTGGTCATTTTGACCAGCTTGAGCGCGTGATTGTGGCCACTGACCGTGAATGTTGCCGGTGGATTGGCCACGGACACTTTGTTGTGGGAAACTTGTATGGGAGGCAGCAGTAACACTTTTATACATGTTCTCATCACTCCCCATTCTGCGCAAAGCTCGACTTCCGTTGGTTCCACGACCGGTTTTGCCGGGATTATAGAGCAGCCCATTTGACCTAATACAATTAGAATTTTACAAATTTAACAAATTGAATTAAAAAATATGATTTTGACACGGATAGTAGATAAATAAAAAAAATGCTTTTGAAAGTTTGTATACCGAATTGTAAATGTATGAATAATATTGCGCGCCATAATTTCTAGAAAATTACCTACTAGAACTTTCTACACCTAGTCGACCAGGACCGGTATGTGCTCGAACATTCTAGACGTTTCAATGGAAAAGGCCCTATATATGGCCAGTAATGACTGCGCCCGAGTCAGTATTTAATTGGCAATACAAGCGAATACTTCGAAGCGATATAGCTGCGAATTGTGTTTTATTATTTGTGAAAGTGTCAATTTTGTTAATTCAATCGGCAGTTTCTACGTCACAAACCCTCGTAACAATAATATAATTATTTCAAGAAATTTTAAGCAATTTAAATTTTGTCTTGTTTTGTTTTGTATTGTAGAAGTTAAAATAATTAAGTTAAATCATAACAATAACGCATTTCTTTAATGTCAAAATACCACATAAAATGGAGTGACGATCTGATGAAACATGTATCCTGCATGTTTTTCATTCTTATCAGTGAATGTTAATGAATGTAGGTAGCTTAGCACCACACTTTGTATTAATCTACGTAGGCCTATTTAGCAGTGGATTTGTGTTGGGCTATATTGATGGATAATGATGATAAATGTCAGAAATATCACTTGACCTTTGATAAATAGTATACACCGCTATCTGTCAAAGGTTAACCTTATGTATGGTAATCATCTTGTATATTAAGTCAGATGTAAAATACCCAGACTGGCAACGAGAACCAGGGTCAAAGTTGCAAGAGGTTTGAAGTTGTAACCACCAATCTGCTGGGCGTGGCGTATGCTGATAATCCTTCCTGCTGTGCACATTTCCAGAAATAGACTGTTAGGGACTTAAATAGAGTTCTTACCATTGGGTAGATCAAGGACAGGCTGAGCAGTATAAGGAGCTTCTGTTCGACAGGTGTATGGAAGTTCCACTTGCACTCCCTCCAACGCGTATTTCTGCTCTTCAGTACATAGAATCGGACCAGAAGTGAGACCGATTGCTTCAAAGGCCAGCGGTACCATTGTTGGTGGCCACTCTCCAGCAAGAAACTCCATCTAGAGATAATAAATTGTTAGAAATTCAAGTAACGCGACTAGTAAAAGTTATACTCACACATGTAGTGTTCCTTGATATTGTTACGCGCTCAAATCGGCGGCACCAGCGCCATCTAGTCTCGAACCGAAGAACTAAACTTCTTGAAGTTTAAAACTCGAACTCTCGGTACCTTGCGCGTGTTTATTTGAACATTCTGGATATTTTGCTAATTTATATAAATAGGCGCTGCAAGATGCGATCGGGGCAGTGTTGATTTGGCGAGAAAAGCGAAGCTTCGGAGCGGAATAAAGTGAATTAGTGTGTTTAATTATTAGTGTTTTAAGTTTTAATTTGTGTAAAGTAAATTAAAGTGTTAATTTAGGTAATTCTATCGGCAATTTTTATTGTCACGAACCTCAAGCTCGTAACAATATCAAACTCGCTACTAAAATAATAAATCGTAATGCAAAATTAAAGATGTCAAAATTATTTTGCTAAGATCTACGTAAAAATCTATTTACTACTATGGGGTTTTCACGCAGTTTTGTTATCTAGTTGGGCGGCATTAATATACTGGATAGTCTTTTTTACCGTCTGGAAAAAAGGTGTAACAGGTGAACGGAATATACCCCTATGGCACTGATATTTTACAAATTTTTTATACATTGACATAATATGAAATTGAACTATCAATAAATACCACTTATTTGAAATAAACTTTCTGTATTAAAAATATAAACAAAACTTTTAAACTAAATAAATAAATCATTTCAAAACGATTGAAATCAAAAGAATACGCACCCAATTAGTAGTATTTATTGATAGATCAATTTCATATATTAATGTAAAAAAAAAATGTTAAATATCAGCGCCATTGGCTTCTATTCCGTGCAAGGAGTTGTCGTTGTGTTGCCGTTGACGGTAGGGGTTAGGTAAGGTGTAGGTGTGGGTGCCGGTGTCAGTGTAGGTTAGGTTTAGGTGTGGGTGTCATTGTCGGTGTCGCTGGGGTTGTGTGTTCGGTTAGGTGTAGGTGTGGATGTGAGCGTTAGTGTGGGTGTGAGTGTGGGTGTGGGTATGAGTGTGAGTGTGGGCGTGGGTGCGGGCGTACCCTGTGCAGCGGCGCCTGGGGCAGCGAGAGCGCGGCGGGCGGGCGGTCGCGGCGCAGAGCGTGCCTGCCGGCGTGCGCGCGCGTCAGTACGCATAGCGTGACGCCGGCGCCCGCGTGTAGCGACACCGCACCGCTCGCGCGCCACCCTACACCTTCCACGCACACCGCCCAACCGCCCGTTGCTGGCACAGTCATAAATATAATTAAATTTTTACGTGGTAGAGCCATGCTGCAGTTATATTAGTAGTATAGTTGTAGCACGAATGGGTCGGCTCGACCGGGGAAGGACCACGCTCTCACAGAATACCAGCGTGAAATAGTAGCTTAATGCTGCTGTGTTTTGTATGGTGAGTGCAGAGAACCGGAGACCCTTTTTTACTGGAAACGAGGCATTCCATCTTAGTCCTCACGGGTGACAACGCATCTGCATTTTGATTCGTAATCGAGGATAGATGTAGATGTCTATGGGCCACAGCAACCACTTACCATCAGGTGGACTGTGTGCTCGTTTGTCACCCTATCCTATAAAAAAAAAAAAAATCTACACCATCGCTCACTTAGTTATCTCTATACTTAACGCTTTCTAATTATAATGAAGAGAGAAGGAAAGAAACTTAAAGCATTTCTTAAAATTTTCTTTCATTTCTTCAACACACGTTTTACACCCCACACTAATATTTATCCCATATAATGAAAACAGTTTAAAAACTAAAATTGCACAACGATAAACATCCGGAACAAATATTTGTAGGCAAACAACTTGGCTTTCAGTGTAATATTCACTTATAAAAGAAGTAAAAACCGACATCCAACAAAACTAAAAGTAATATAATAATCAAAACCAGTTCAGGTATATTCTAGTCTAAAGATTACAATCTATGAAGCTTAGCCCGCAGAGGGGAATTCGCAATCAGTGCTCATTTGTGCGCGGTGACAGCCAGATGTTGTACATTAGAACTAATGCGCTAACTTTACCAAAAAAAAAAAAACTCTCAGAATGCCATCGTTTGCCTTTCGAAAGTGCAATAATAATTCTAGAAACACAAATAAAGCTCAAGGTGTAATTCTGATAATAATATCATTTCACTCGTAAGTATCTATATTTTATTAAATATTGAATTTAGTTTATTCCGATGTCAGAGAATACTAAGAAATAATTACGGGCAAACGGAAACTATGCGACAAAGAAAGTAGTATACACAATTTCCGTAAGATAATAAGAGATGACACTATTGTTTCAGTACTCTTCTAATAACCAATTTAGTTAGATACTTGGATGTACCAAGGAAGCGGTTTATAAAGGAATCATCTATAAATAGACAAACACACGGAAATGCCGCGGTAGACAGAGAAAGTGGTATACACAATTTCCGTAAGATAATAAGAGATGACACTATTGTCTCAGTACTCTTCTACCTCTACCGTATTGCGCACGTATTAGTGTGCGTACGTCAGCGTCTAGCAAACGCACACGTTCAAAAATAATGCAACAGTTTTTCAAGGTGAAGGCGCAGCTAACGATTTAAATCTTTGGAGGTAACAACGGTTCTATAACCTTTTTGTTTGAAGTTAGCTGCAGACTAAGTAGGTATACACCACATATCATTAGGTAAACTGCAAGTTTGCTTATTACGAGGGCGGCACTGAAAATTTCGGGAATCAAGGAAGTGACAAATTACTATTTAAAAATGTATTTATTGCTTTTCGAAGTATTCTCCACGAAATTTGACACATTTTTCCATACCATGCAACCAAGCATTGAAGCAACCATTCCATTCAGAAGTTGGGGTCTCCAAAATGGCCGTTTTGTAGGCGTCCACAGCTTCTTCAGGTGATGAAAATCTCTGTCCACGCAATTTATTCTTTATTTTAGGGAAAGTATAGAAATCATTAGGGCTTAGGTCGGGGCTGTACGGCGGATAGTCTAATAATTCTATGTTTTCTTGCTCTAAAAACTCTTTTGTTCTGTGTGCGGTGTGAGAACTCGCATTGTCGTGATGGAGGATGATGCGGCAGTTGCAGTTCTCTTTACGGAGTTCAGAAACGACCTGTGGCAAACAAATGCTAGCATACCATTCTGCATTAACCGTTCTTTGTCCCTTAAGAGGAATAGTCGTAACATGGGCTGTTTTGGAGACACTCCGTGAACGAACAATTTTTGTTGGCTTTAACTCATTTTCGAACACCCAAACTCGTGACTGGTTTTTTGTTTCAGGTTCGTACGCATATATCCAGGATTCGTCACCTGATACGATGTTGTATACAGCATTTGAGGATCCTGCGTGGAATCTTTCGACAGTTCTGACGCACCAAGTAACGCGAGCCGCTTTTTTGCTCTTCACACAGCGAATGCGGTATCCATCGGGAAAACGACTTTTTTACACCTAATTGTTCATGCAAGATTATTTGTATTTGACTCATGCCAATGTCTAAAGTTGCCTGAATTTCGCGGTATGTCACATGTGGATCTTCCTCAATCAGCTTACGCACAGCATCAACGTTTTCTTGGGTGACTGCAGTTTTTGGACGACCTTGACGGGGATCATCACTGAGCTTGACACGTCCACATAGAAATTCAGCAAACCAGCGATAAATTGTGGTTTTGGGTGGGGCTTCATCACCAAATGCAGAAATCATCCGTTCAACACACTGTTTTTGTGTTAAACCACTTCGAAAGTCATAATAAATCATCGCTCTTGAATTTTCTCGAGTCAATTCCATTTTCTCAACGACTAAACAAGTTTGACAAAACCTTGTGACAAGACCGAGAATCTTTTTTTTAACCTTTTGTAGGGCAAAGGGAATATTTTTTTCCACCAGTTTTTTTTTTTGAGATATTTCTGAATGCATTTGTGTTAGGTCTTTATTTTTTAGCCTGGCAACATTCATGAATGACAAGAAACAAATTTTGACAAGTGACATCTGACAATTATTATTCGTTTTTCGATGGTGGCGTCAAGAGATTGCGAAAAAGGTAATTTTTGAGCTTTTGTAACTAATCTCGATAAATCTTTCAGAAAACATGGCATTATTGTGTAATTTTACTTTTATTTCTTAGAAATGTGTATAGTTTTCTCAAAATCATTCATATTTTTCAATTTCAATATTCGTGATTAGAGTAATGTGTCTAAGAATCGGTGGGAATATATTTCCCCTTGCCCGGTCCGCCATACCTACTCATTGTTATGTACAAAATATGAATTTATTTCAGAATTCTGAAAATGTCACGGAGACTGTTGCTAGATGATGAGATTGCGAAAAAGCTGGAATTATTAGTTAGCTTGCCTGATGATCCAGCGAATTCCGAAGATGAATATGAGTGTGACGAACATGGTGAAGAGTATAATGTGGAAAAACTCAAGAATCTTTTGGTGAATTCAGAAGGTGAGCAATCTAGCTCAAGTAGTAATACAAATATAAACATTCCGGAAACAATTCCGTCACCAGTGACACAGGAGTTTCCACAATCTTATAAAGATAATATTGAGTCACACATTCAAAACACTTCAATTGAGCATTTTCAAATATCCATACCAGAAAATCCACAAATATAAATGTCTGTTGGTCAACCGAGCTGTAGTAGATCTGGAATTTCTTCAAATGAAACAATAGAAGAAAGCTCTGAAGAATCTGAATCAGAAGGTTCATGGAATAAAGCGATGTGGTCTAATGGAAACAGGTCACACTACTCAGTATTTGACAAAATAATTTTGGCACCTCGTAGTCCAATATCCTACAACAGCAGGCCTTTTGTATACTTTGATAAGTTTTTTATTAACGAAGTTTATAACCTCATAATTGAGCAGACAAATCTATATGCTCAACAGCAAAATATTCGGACATGGTCACCGACTTCAAAGCCTGAAATACAAGCGTTTTTAGGCATTCTTATAATGATGAGTTATCATGTTTTACCAGACTATAATCTTTATTGGTCATCTGATACGGGGTTCAGGGTTGATGAAATCGCCAATGTAATGCCAATAAAGAGATTCAAGGCGTTGCTACGAACATTACATTTGAATGACAATTCTAAACAGCCCCAGAGAGATGAAGAAACGTTTGATAAACTATACAAAGTACGCCCATTAGTAACTTTGATAAATGAGGCTTGTCAAGCAGCGGCGAAAAATACATCATCCCAGAGCATAGATGAATCGATGATAATATTCAAGGGTAGATCATCCTTGAAGCAATACATGCCGATGAAGCCGGTAAAACGCGGCTATAAAGTATGGTGTAGATGTGATAGTAGCACGGGCTATCTTTAAGAATTCGGTATTTACACAGGCAAGCAAGATGCTGGAACTGAGGGTGGATTGGGAAGTAAGGTAGTAAAAAAACTCACAGAAAAATTATTAGATATGGAAGAAGAGAAACATGTCACATGTTTCTCTTCTTCTTTGATAATTTTTTTTGTGACTATCATTTACTAAATTATTTGTATGAAAAAAGGATTTTCGCGACTGGAACTGTACGTAGAAACAGAATAGAACTTCCTGATTTTATAAAAAAGAAAAATGGAAAGAAGGCAAGCCAAAAACTAAATAAGGGAGAGTACAGATGGAGAGTAAAAGATAATGTTTCATTTGTTGTGTGGCAAGACACGAAAGAAGTTCTTATCTTGAGCAATGTATTTCATCCGCAAATAGAAAGAACAACTGTAAATCGAACACAGAAAGATGGCTCCAAATTAGCTATAAGTTGCCCATTGACAGTAAGAGAATATACAAAGAGAATGGGGGGGAGTAGACAAATTTGACCAGGTTAAAAGTACGTATTCTGTTAGCAGAAGAAGTAAGAAGTGGTGGCGAAGAATATTTTATTTTTTGGTAGATGCCAGCATTACCAATGCATACCTGCTTTATAAACAAAATAAAAGAGCAAGTCAACTGTCACACCTTGAATTTCACGTGGCTTTAGGAAGAGGCCTTGTTGGAAAATATTCCAGCCGTAAACGAAAAGCTTCCAGCATGGCCAACCATGTGAATAGAAAAAAGTATTGTCAGAAAACTACCAAAAAGCAGTGGGTAGTGTACCACTTGAAAAACGGTTTGAAAATGTTGGGACACATATGCCAGTTGAATCACCATCTTACAGGCGTTGCAAGTTATGTTCCACAAAGACGCATGACAAGAGAACGAAAATAATGTGCAGAATTTACGCCGTACCACTCTGCGTGGTTCCATGCTTTGCAAATTTTCATACACAGTAATCTTGAGTAGCCTGACGGGCAAAGGGACAAAAAAAAATTATTTACAATAAATAATCAAAAATAAAAAAATATTTTTTTATTTCTTGCTTATTAAAAACATAATTAAAATGATACCCTAACCGCTTTTTGTATATAATTCCCAGATCCTTATGCCCTATAAAGGGTTAAATAAATAAATGGTATTCGATTTTTAAAACCAAGGAATTTTCGATTAAAAAGATTTTAATATGACAGGAACAGTGGAAATATTCCATTCCCGATACTTTTAGTGCAGCCTATGTACTTCAGTTTTATAAAAAAAAAATGTAGGTGAATTTATTCGCTCATTGCTCTCACCAACAAATTTTGACCAAATTTACTGGCACCATCCCTAAGGCACACTTTTTCACAAAGAAGGAATCATTGTAATCAGATCTCACGGTAATCACTGAGCATTAAAAAATCCGACAATTAAAAATTTCTGTTTTATTGAAGTATTGTGTACAGTTTCCATTCCTAGTAGATTTGTTGATTTTTGAATTAAATTAAATACTACGTTTTTATAGTCAATATATATACAGATATATCGCCTTTTTTGTTCTCGTAAGTGGGCAGCACATAACCACAAAAGTGCAAATAAACAACATTAATATAAAAAAGCAACATAATATCATAATATAAATCAGGTGCTTAACACTAACGTTTAAATAAATTTTATAACTGATTATTCTTTGTTTGTTTGTTGTTGAGTAAAGGAATAGTGATGAAATATTTTTTTAAAAACTAACCAACGATTCGATTTCCTTGCGAATCAGCTCCAACCACTAACACTTCATCAGTAACTGTGACTCCACTGGCTGTCGCTTGGAAGCTCATAAAGGCGCCCGAAGAGTCTAAGCCAGTAAATATAATTTCATTGCCTAAAGCACTGCAATAAAAAAAGATTTATTAATATTATATTTATGGAGTGTAGAAGTAAGGAGTACCAATTCCCACAGTAGAACAGTTGAAAAAGTGGCCATCTGTAAGCAGTAAATAACAGCTCAAAAACTCTCCACAACAGCGCTGGAGAAGCTACTGTGATGAAATGAACTTAGCAGTTATTGTCGACGGTTTGAAGTGTGCTGCTAAACTGTTCAGTAGCTCTAAAATCTAAAATAATTTTATTTAGTAAATATAAACTCGAAAAAGTCGTCTATCCCACTAATTTAGCACGTAGCTATAGTGGCGCCACCCATATTTAACGGTTTTTTATGGACACTTTTTAGCACACAGTCTGCACTCCTTACTTCTGCACTCCATACTTATATTGTTTAGTTTAACTGTTAAATGTAAGAAGTTATATTTTTTATAATCCCTCTACACGATGTAGTGGCGGTGTAAGAACATCCACTACCGCATATTGTTCCGTGGGTGTCGTAGGAGGCGACAGAAATAAACGAACCAGGAGAAATAAAAAATCTACGGCTGCCAACCCAGCTACCAATATACATATATCCCTTTTATGAGGCAATTTATAGGAACGCTTGTGTTCAATAGTGGATTTTGAGACGCTGTAATGATGATAATGATGACGATATCAAAGAGAGCAAACGAGCATTCGGCTCACCTAATGGTGACTACCGCTGCCCACAAATAACTGTAACAGATTTTTTTTATAGGATACGGTGACAAACGAGTACACAGTCCACCTGATGGTAAGTGCTTGCTGTGGCCCATAGACATCTACAATTATCTTCGAATACGAATCAAAATGCAGATGCGTTGTCACCCGTAAGGACTAAGATGGAATGCCTCGTTTCCTAAAAAGGGTCTCCGGTTCTCTACACTCACCACACGGAACACAGCAGCATCAAGCCACCATTTCACGCTGGTATTCTGTGAGAGCGTGGTCCTTCCCCGGTCGAGCCGACCCATTCGTGCTACAACTATACTACTAATATAACTGCAGCATGGCTCTACCACGTACAAACCAGATGTAGAATTGCAGGTGCGGATCCACACATCTTTCAGTATTTTAATGCACAACAACCAAGTAATGAAAATCTACCTCAGTGTCAACTTTTACAATATAATAATATTGTAAACAAAAATTTTAAAAATGTTATAATATGATAATATTTAAGAACGTGAATAGGCAACATGTCCTAGGCAAACATTAAAAACATTTTGATCCTCATCACCACTTTCAATCAGATGAGATTGTGGTCAAAACATTAGCTTATCCTTCTTCTTCTTCATCAACCCACAAAAGTTGAATGATTGTTCAACTTTTGTGGGTTGATGAACATGACTGCATTCGCTGTTGATATTTCACACATGTCTTAGCAGATTCATTCATCTATCAGAAGTTATAAGTTATTTCTGGCATTTTATGACATGCACAGGAAGAAATTATACAGGACGGTTAATAGAACTAAATACGATTTATTGTAGTAGATTAAACCATAATAATTTAATATATAACTATTAGGCATTTAATTTATATAATTAAAGTTAAATGTATATAAGATTATAAAATTAACATAACAACAGGATGTCATAGGTTTATACATTACTATGTTATATAATTCTGCATTATGTTGTCCAATATTAGAAGTACATAAGGTGGTTCATTGCTATGTAAAAGAGCGCCTCTCGCCATCAAATGTAAAAGTTTGGCGAGTTTAGAATTAAGTAACACCACTGTATTATAAATTCATTAATTAATTTAAAAAAATAGGGTGATTCTCTTATTCTGCCACCGCACTGCATATTATGCAAATTTAAAAAAATATTATCATATTCTCGATATCTTTTTTTTATCAAACATATGTAGCATTCATAATAAGAGATATACTATAATAATTTAAACAAAATACAAGAACAGGTAAATGAAATTGTATACTTGGGGAGTGCTTTCAGCCGGGATGAAAGATGTGATTTAGATGTGGATAGGCGTGTCGCTGCCGTAAACAAAGTCAATGGTGCCCTGAATGCATTAGTCAAAAGGCAAGGCGTGGTGAAGAGTGCACGCCTTGCAATACATAACGCAGTGTTGGTACCGACTTTGTTATATGGCAGCGAAACCTGGGTATGCCAGAAGAAGCATAAAAGCAAGTTGAATGCAGTGGAGATGCGATCTCTTCGTAAAATGTGTGGCGTTACCATAGCCGACCGAAAGCGAAACGAAGAGATTCGCAATATGGCAGGATTGAAAGATGACCTTATCACAAAAATTGATAGGGGCGTACTCCAATGGTTTGGGCACGTTGAACGAATGAGTGAAGACCGAATGGTGAAGAAAATATATAGAGTGAAAGTAAATATTAAAAGGTGTCGAGGTAGACCGAGACTAACTTTCGAAGACCATGTGAGCAAATTGCTCGAAGAGGGGAGGGTCAAGAGTACTCGGATACCTAGACGTGCATGTATGAAGAAGTTAATGAACCTGAAGGAAGCGAAAGAGGTATGTAAGGATCGTGACACTTGGCGATCTGTTCTCTCTGGCTACCCCGTTAGGGATTGTGCGTGAAGGTAAGTAAGTAAGTAAAATACAAGTATACCTGTTAGCTGCTCGCCTAACATGTGCCGACACAGGCGAGTTGACGGATACATTAGCCCCAGGAGCCAGTAGCTCTCTTCCAATAGAATTTCTTAATACAACTCGTAACGAATCGTCATCCTGGTCACCAGATGGCTCTGCTGTGCAATAGTGGGGTACCGACACCTCCACGTGAATGGCCTTGAATACAAAACATAATTGATGTGAAATATATCCCATTTAAATTTGGGAAGATAGGTGAAATTACGTTTAAAGCTGTCTCACAGACTATTCATCAAGTATTAAATTACAGTGATTGGAAAGTTTTGTAGGTCACTTTTTTATATAAACTCGGAATATATTTGTTATACAATATAAGCTTACATATCAACAAATATAACATTATTTACTGCACACCAAAATAGAATAAATGATAAAAGTAAATTGACAATTTGATAGGTAGGGTTAACAGTAAGCATGGGCGCTTTCAGTTTTTATCTGCAACGGTTACATAACCGATATCTAGTTTTCATATCGTTATTGAAAACCGTTTTCAGATATCGATATCAACAGTAATGGTTTGCTACTGAATGTGCAAACGACAACCGAACCATAACCGCAAACTGTACTACCAGTGCAACATGTATTTTATGAATTACATAGATTATTCTAGATAAGAAGTCAAAAGTTCTAATGTTATTGTTATCTTAGATGTAATATTTAAACATGTATGTTAACCCTTGCGCTCGGCTACCAATCTAATCAGATCATACAATACCTACCTTACGCCCGCTCTAGTACGGGGCTAATTAGATCAGATAATATCAGAAGTACTGCCTTATGAAAAAACTACTTTTCCTTTAAAACAAAACCAAAGACAATATGCTATAGATAATAGTATCAAAGACAAAGATATGCTCTTTTATTTTAAACCATAACAAATGTTTCTTAGAAAAAAAAAAAGAAATCACTCTAAACTTTCGGCGTTCCACGTGTCGTTTTGATGAAGGTGCTCCGTCTTTTTTATAGAATTTTATAATTGTGTCTGGACTAAAAACGAAAGTATTATACTTTTTTATATTCCTTGTAATATAGTGAACACGTAGATATATAATTTGTGGTATAAAAAGTGAAAAGTAAATTGCCAAAAGTGCTTCAAAATCTGAAAGGCCCATTATGGCGGCTGGGTCATAAATGTGTTATTTTTCAAATTCTCATTTATTTTTAGTGTAAAATGTAAGTAAAAATAGTTTTCTTACATATTTCAAATAACTTGACGTTGTATTTATTTCGAATTCACACATAATTATTTTTGAAATATTGTTCTAAATGTCACACAGATAAAATATTATTATTGTTTTTTTTTATATTTCAATATTTTGGTATGAGTAACGAATGGAAACATATAAAACATAAAAATATACGTATTTCCAAACATTTTCATATAAATTTCTCCAAAAACAAAAGTGTAGAATTCAAATTAGTAGTAATTTTGTCACTAAAATTGAAGTATATGGTACTACTATGGTGTACAGGGTAATTTATGTATTTTATTACAATTTCTAGCAACCAAAAATAATTTTATTCGATAGTTTATACATTCAACAAGAAATCCTGTAAGTTTTATCCATAAATATTGTCTCAAAGTGAAAATATAGCAAAATTTGCAATATAGCAAAAAATTTGCTAATTTACAAATTTTCCCGCCATTACGGTCCCGAGCGAACGGGAGTATAACATGTCGCGCGCTGTCAGAGCGAAGGGGATATATAATTTTTGTATATTCAATGTTATGCAGTAATAAATTATTATCAAATTACACTGCAGAACACATAGGCCCCCTCATAGATTGTATCATAGGTGGGATATTTGCCACAGTTGCCACACTTGGCAAGCGGGTTGGCAACCACAGTTTTTTTGAAGTGAAACTTTTTACGGGAGGGCTTCGATTGAAATGCTGATCCGCAACCTTTTTGTATGACGAAAAGTGGTGGGTGTAAACGCTACGTACTACGTACCGCGCATTCGGTCGATCATTCAAGTTGCAAACGCAGGGCATTACATACCATAAAGTACATAGCAGTACAATTACAAAATTACAACGGTATTTTGTTCAAATACTAATCTTATATTAATTTTATTAAAGACCGATTTACACTACAAGTATAGTAGCGAGTTTAGTTACAGGGCAATTGACAGTAAACGGTTAAGTGGGCAGTAGCGTTCAAACAATGTCTTCGTAGCGAGTTTAGTTAAGGACATTAGTTCATAGAGTTCGTTGGAGTATGACGTTTCAAGACTACAGAATTTTTCCGGTTTTCGTTTACGATGGTTCTAGGATTACGTCAAGAATTAAATGATCTAGTCAGAGAAGTATTAATGGTTGTGGTTAAAGAAGTTTTTAAGAATTTTCATGAGTGCAGCATCTCGAGCAAGTTTAATTTTACAATTTTAACTTCTACTGTTATATAAACATTCGTGTTCTAAATATTCCTGTACAAATTTATACGTGATATCTTCCGTCCATTTTATTACAAAAACTTAATATAAAACGTATAAATATTCAATAAACAGTATCGTACAAACTTTGTGGCGAGTTTCATTATAAAAGTACAATTGTACGTTTTGGCGCGCAAGCGTTGCGTCCTGTCAACTTATGCACTGAACTAAACTGGCTCGTTTACACGAACGGCGAGTTTAGTTGCGGGTGGCGGGAGACGCGCGGGAGGGCAGCACTTCGTACTTAACTCGCCGAAAAATAGCTCTGCCGGCTATCCCGTTCAACTTAATCGTTAACTTGCTACTTAACTCGCTTATTGCCGTTCAAACGAGGTTCAAATTTAACTCGCCAGGTTCGCAAGTTAACTCGCTACTGTACTTGTCGAAGTGTAAATCAGTCTTTAGACAGTTACCAAGGTACACGTATTTATTTTAGTAAGATTAAGCTGAGCGCACTTCAGTAGTAACGCCATCTACTATGTTGTATAGGTAAAGATATTTTATCGAACAAACATTGATTGACTCTCAAGGTGGTATGTAGGATAGATGCTAGATGGCATGAACCTAAAAATAATTGCTGCCCATCTCCTGATTTGTTTCCTTATGTCGCCTTTTACGACACCCACGGGATGATAATCGGGTAGTGAATAAAATTACCTTCATTCTATCCTTATTTATTTCTATGATTTTGTTACCCATTTTTTTCAAATTGAGACGTAGGATCAGAATCTGATTTCAAAGTCTATAATTAAAGTGTATTCTTAAGAAGTAAACATAATTTATATACATTTATAGAAAAATATTTTAGTTAGTTTATTTATTAACAATTATTTAAGTTGGCGATTTTCCTTCTTAGGCTTAGAACTAGCAGAAAAGTTTTAAATTCGAATTCTCAATTCAATTTCAAAATTCAACTCTATTAACCGCAGGTTTACCTGATTTGCACTAGCCGCTGATTCGGCTCCGGTGGAAGAAGTGGTCGGAATTGTCTTTTTTATCGAAGTGAGACCATATTTCACTAGCCTTACGCGACATTTTGAAAGTCTATATTCAAAAATGATTAAAAGTCTAAATCAACTTAAACTATACTATGCTAACTATATTTACACTTTACACATAATTGTCTGAATTACAACTACTTAATGCACAAAATACACACAAATATTGTAACTAAATGCACAAACGCAACGTTAAAATTAATAATTTAATGTATGTTATTAGGTATCTTAGCGAATGGCACGAGCACGAGCCACCAAGACCAAGTGCGTAATTGTTGCGTTCTAGAAAAAAGGAAATTCTAAACTTTCCATCCAAAATATAAAAAACATAAACATAAAGTTGCCTAAACCAAATATAATATGATCATACAAATGCAAGTCTTGTGTTTATTGTCCTAAAAATCATTTAAATTTGACAACTCTCACAACTACATAAACTTAAAAATTAGGCAATTTTAACCATTAGAAATTCGACCTTTTTGCTTTAGGTAATTATATCCAGATCTGCATTGCGTACCGTGTGAAACTAAAATTACCAAAAAAGAAATCCTCTCTTTCTATATACGAATTTATGATACCGTCGCAAGAACAAGAAACAATGAATATCAATGAAGGACATCGCATCGGTTTAGTTCGTGGGCCGTGTTGGCATATCGTTCCGGTGTTTGCGTTTTACGTTTTACAAATCTAAGCCTTGTGCCTAATGAGCTAAAGATCATTTGAAATTTGATAATTTTCACGACTACACAAACTTAAAATTTAGGCAATTTTAACTATTTAAAATTCGACCTTATTGCTTTAGCTATATATTATATTTCGCAATGTGCACCGTTGTGTGATAACTACCAAAACATCGCAACGATCTCCATATTCGCTTCATCTCTTTCTATACTTATTTAAAGTATCGTTGCAAGAACGAGAAGCGATGAATATCAACGAAGGTCATCGGTTAGTGGGCCGTTTTCAGTTTTGGGATATCGTTCCACAGTTTGCGTTATGCGTTTCGGTTTCGTTTTCGTACGTTGGTTAGGTATATGGTTTTGGTTGGATATGTGATAACGGTTTTGTATTTAGGTTTATCGATATGATATGATATTTATTATTTTTTTTTATTTTTATTTTATAGAAGAGGGGGCAAACGAGCATGTGGCTCACCTGATGTTAAGTGACTACCGCCGCCCATGATCAACCGCAACACCAGGGGAATTGCAGGTGCGTTGCCGGCCCTTTAGAAAGGAGTAAGCTCTTTTCTTGAAGGTCCCCAGGTCGTATCGGTCCGGAAAAATCACCGGTGGTAAATTATTCCACAGAGAGGTTGTACGCGGAAGAAAACTCCTTTTGAAACGTACAGTGGTGGACCGCCAAGCATCCAGATGGTGTGGATGGTATCGGGACGTTTGCTGTGTAGTGGGTTAACGAAATTTGGCGGCTGGGATTAATCCGAACAATTCCTCAGAGCACTCCCCGTGATAGATGCGATAAAATACGCAAAGAGATGCAACATCTCTTCGCAGCGCCAGTGAATCGAGCCGATCGGAAAGCACTCGGTCGTCGACGATTCGAGCCGCTCTGCGCTGGATGCGGTCAAGTGGAAGGAGCTGGTACTGGGGAGCCCCAGCCCAGAGATGGGAACAGTATTCCATGAGCGGCCGAACCTGCGCCTTGTAAAGTTGCAAGCGGTGTGCCGGCATGAAATACTGTCCCGCTCTGCTGAGCACGCCAAGCTTTTTAGAGGCCAATTTGGCCTTCCCTTCCAAGTGACCACGAAACTGCACGTCACTCGATATGTCGACGCCGAGGATTCCGATACTGGCTGAGGCAACAAGGGGAGTGCCTTGAAACTGAGGGGATACGACAAAGGGGTTCTTTTTAGCGGTTAACGCGCAAACTTGTGTCTTCTGGGGGTTAAACTGGACTAGATTTAGTCGCCCCCAATCCGAGACTCTGTCCAGCAGAGACTCGACTTCAGACACAAGTTTGTCCCGGCACTCAGAGACGTTTTCCCGAGAAATTATTGGCTCGGCCGGTGTAAAGAGCATCACCAGTGCTGTCATCTGCATAGCAATGAATGCTACGGGTTTGCAACATATTGATATGCAGAAGAAACAGCGTTGGCGATAGCATGCAGCCCTGTGGAACACCAGCATTAATAAGCTTGCAATCGGAGCTTGCACCGTCTACAACGACCATCGATGATGCTCCGATCTGCAAGAAAACTGGTGATCCAATCGCACAATTTCTCGGGAAGCCCATAGGAAGGGAGCTTCGAAAGAAGCGCTTTGTGCCAAACCCGATCGAAGGCTTTCGCAATGTCCAAACTAACGGCCAATGCCTCCCCCTTGGACTCTACTGCCTCCGCCCATCTGTAAGTTAGGTAGACCAAAAGATCACCAGCTGACCGACCACGGCGAAAACCGTATTGGCGGTCACTAATCAGCTGGTGATCTTCAAGGTACCTCAGAGGAAGAGATGGCTGACAGAAATTCCCCTGGACAGCCTTGGCGAGAGACCAGAATGCACGGGTTCCAGAAGGAAGACGAACTAGTCTCTCGCCAATTCTGCCTATGTGCTCTGACTGCCTTGGCAATGACTCTTTTGAAGGACCTAGAGGCGGAATTATACTTCTTTTTTAGAGCGCTGGTGTTTACATCCCTGGACGCTGATGCGTCAGCCCAGGCTCGGTAGCACTCCTGCTTATAGCATGATGCTAATTTACAGGAGCGACCAAACCATGGCTGAGATTTGCCTCCAATGGGCACCACAGAGGAAGGAATAAAAAGTTCCATACCCTGAAGTACCACATCAGCGACAGAATCCGCAACAACGTTGGGATCGTCCGGCGAGAAGCAAACCCGCCCCCAAGGGTAGGATGCAAAGAAAGACCGCATCCCATCCCAATCGGCTGACCTATAGTGCCAAACACGGCGGCAGCCTGCAGAATGCAACCGCGATTTCAGCGTGAGTGGCACCACACTCCGGACAAGACAATGGTCCGAGGAGCCTAAAGGGGCGTCGACGGAAATCTGATATCCGTCCGGGTGAGAGGTCAGCAGAAGGTCCAACAGGGAAAGTGCATGATCCTCCACATCTGGAATCCGCGTAGGCGAAGTAACCAGTTGTGTCAGACCATATGCCAAGGCAAAATCATGAACAGATCTCCCCCGTATGATCGGTTAAACGTGAACCGAGCCATTCGGCGTGATGGGCGTTAAAGTCGCCGAGGATCACGATCTCTGCGGAGGGGATCTGCTGTAGCAACGAATCTGCAGCCATTTGGACGTGGCCGAAGAGTCGGTCTGTTTCGGCATTACCGCTATGGGACCTATAGAGGCACCCGTAGACGCGCGGATGGTCGTCGCTGTCTACGCGTAGCCAAAGGATGGACAGGTCCGAACCTTCAAGTCTGCCGAGGCGTCGAGAACAGATGTCCTCTCTGACGTAAACGCAAACTCCAGCCCGAGGCACAAAGGAGTGTTCCAGTTTGTACCCCGGGCAGGAGAGATACGAGACATCAGCCGGAGAGGACACCTGCGTCTCGGTCAGAAAGAGCAGAGCCGGTCTCGCCGTCTCGAGATGGTAGTGGACGGCGTTTAGGTTAGAGTGAAGTCCCCTGATATTGCAGAAATTCACGGACAGCGTGGCAGGGGTCGCCTTGGTCTTGTTGCTCCGTTTGCCCTGAGCAGTTTTAGTCTTGAGCGGAATATTGCCCCCCCCCCCCCCAGAATACGCGGGGCAGCCTGAGCACCCACGCTCAGAAGTGGAGAAACATGGTCGTGGATGCTCAGCGAGGGATTCTCCAGGGGTATGATATTTGATAACATAACATTATTAGTTACGTTTTGATATATCGGTCTCATGCCTAGTTAACAGGCAGCTTTATCAACTGTAAAATATTTTCTAAAGGCAACCTTTTACACAAAGTATTATCTCAGTCGATAATCGGTTAACAACGCAAAACACAAGTCAAAATGTTCAATTCAATCAAAATGTTACATTTGTATTAATAATTAATAAAAAATGGAATAGTTAACAAAAAAATTGTATACTTTACATGAATTATTCTTTCATTTATATATTAATTTGTGGCAAAAAATTAATGCAACTTTTCTATTGTTTCATAAATGCTAGCAGAAAAAGCAATGTTTAAAATCCGATAAATAAGTAATACAATTCAGATAATACTTACGTTTTCTCTATAAATATTATTTCTGTCATCCTTATGTTGAGCTACAATCACTCCATGGCCCGGTCTTAAAGTATTCACCTCTCCACTTGGGCTTAAATCAAACACTCCATCACTATACGACGTCCAAACGCTTCTCGGTACAGACTTAAGACGAATAGACGAACCGACAGCGATTGCAAGTCTATCGCCCGCTGCCAATTCATTTGGAAAACCCTCAACGGATGTACGTATTTCTGAAATACCTAGGATCTCGATTGCGCTGTCCCATGATCGAGTTTCAGCCACCTAAACATAAGAATAATTATTAGTAATAAAACAGTTCCAGTGTGATACAAGGAAAACTTAATTTTAGTTTGGTCTGTTCAAATTTGTCACAGTACCACAACATTGCATCTAGTTGGGTTGGGTTTTTGACTGATTTAGTTGAAAATGTAGAAACACATAATTGTTTTAAAATAAGTTTTAAGAGAAGAAATTATTACACTTACTTACTTACTTACTTACTTACTTATCTTCACGCATAATCCCTAACGGGGTAGCCAGAGAGAACAGATCGCCAAGTGTCACGATCCTTACATACCTCTTTCGCTTCTTTCAGGTTCATTAACTTCTTCATACATGCACGTCTAGGTATCCGAGTACTCTTGACCCTCCCCTCTTCGAGCAATTTGCTCACATGGTCTTCGAAAGTTAGTCTCGGTCTACCTCGACACCTTTTAATATTTACTTTCGCTCTATATATTTTCTTCACCATTCGGTCTTCACTCATTCGTTCAACGTGCCCAAACCATTGGAGTACGCCCCTATCAATTTTTGTGATAAGGTCATCTTTCAATCCTGCCATATTGCGAATCTCTTCGTTTCGCTTTCGGTCGGCTATGGTAACGCCACACATTTTACGAAGAGATCGCATCTCCACTGCATTCAACTTGCTTTTATGCTTCTTCTGGCATACCCAGGTTTCGCTGCCATATAACAAAGTCGGTTCCAACACTGCGTTATGTATTGCAAGGCGTGCACTCTTCACCACGCCTTGCCTTTTTATTAATGCATTCAGGGCACCATTGACTTTGTTTCCGGCAGCGACACGCCTATCCACATCTAAATCACATCTTCCATCCCGGCTGAAAGCACTCCCCAAGTATACAATTTCATTTACCTGTTCTAGACAATGACCTTTTCTAGAAAATTATTACAAATATATAAAATATTGAAGTACATTTAATAAAAAACATTACGATCATAGATCATAAACAGAATGACACTGACAATAAGTACAAGATAATTTTCAAAATGATTTCTTGTCTACGCAAATACTACACCAACATCATCATCATCCTTACAGCCCTTCACAAGTCCACTGCTGAACACAGGCCTCCCCCATGGAATGCCACAAAGCACGGTCCTGAGCCACCTGCATCCATCGACTTCCTGCATGTCTTACAGGTCGTCACTCCATTTAGTGGGGGGTCACCGCGCACTTCACCTACCGCTACTGCATTTACAGAATGTATAGAATTATTTTTATACTTCCGACTTCTTTATTACTTCCTACATGTTTTACTCCGCAGTAGTCGTGTTTGAAGTTCTAATGTCATAGCTCGACCTACCTTCAGCTTACTTAAAAATAAGTAATTTTAACGCAACACAAGTGGCAAAATTAAAAATTTTGCACAACCGACTTCAATATAAATAATATGAGGACATCATCAATGTACCTAGTCGAAGTCAATTAAATACGCATTATTAAGGATAACTCAAAAACTACTAGTCAGTTCTTGATCTTTATATGAGACCACATGAGAAGTACCAGCTTTAAAATAAAAAAGAATCATCAAAATCATAGTGTATAGTATCATAGTGATTCGTTATATTTACATACATACTACACCTAAATTTAATACAACTAGCATTGTTACACATTTTATCGCGTTTAATCAACATATTTTTATATTCCAGATGTTTTAAGTGCTTTATTCTCGGAGACACTGAAGTATTTAACGTCTCAAATATCGGCTTTCTTCAGCTTATAATAATTAGTTTCCGATCTACGCGGAAAGAACTCATAGTACTACTTGAACTAACTTAAAGTCTTGCACTATGCTTTGGTTGGGATTTAATTTTGTTAATTAAATAATACCAAACAGTTCACCTATCAATCACCGATCCATTCGAGGACAGTCTAAATGAAGAAACAGTAAAGTAGATTTTGAGCCATGTATTAGATGAATATAAAGCCCTGATCAACTTATGCAATAGCTGATCTATTACTTTCATTCCTCCGCGCAGATAAGGGAAATACTGTGGTAATAATGGATACATTTATAATTTTAAAATTCAAACACATTAAAAAAACAGTCAAATTGAGAACCTCCTTTTTTAATTCGGTTGAAAAATCCATTATTATTACTATTTTCAAAAAACACATTTTTATTGTTATCTGTATTACGTCATTGTTAAGAGCCGTCGTTACCCTGAGGACAAGCCTTTCCCGCCGATAACAAAAACATAACCACATTCAATCACTTTTTTTTTTTCATAATAATAAGCGTGACAAACGACCATAGTCCACCTGATGATGAACGTATACTGTAGCTAATAGACACCTACATCTGTCCTGGATTAAGAACAAAAATTGAGGGCCAAGATTAGAAAGTTTCGTTACCACTAAAAGGGGTCTTCAGTTCTCAACTTATTATATGAAACAAAGCAACATAAAGCTGCTATTTTACGTATTCTGTGAAAGAGTGATCCTTTTCCGGTTGAGCCAATCCATCCATGGAACAATGTATTGGTGCAATTAATGAGTATTATGTTACAAGGAAAGTGATTGTAAGGAAATCTATACGTCTGAAAAGTTAAAATCTAAAAGACATGTGAAGCTCAACACGTTTTGGGGCAGCGCGGCGAACTTTTTGCAACTAAAGCTCACATAGTAACGAGAAGAGCCTTTTCTAAGCAGTGGGACTTACGTATGTTATTACAATACCTTTCTATCATTGTTATTTTACCTGGCCCATATTTCGAACTCTGACATCAATGGTTATGACACCAGGTTTCAGTGGCACAACCCTCACAGACAGCCCTTCTGCCACCGATCTCTCGAGCTGATCTGGAAAATAAATCATTCCGATAGTTACAGTCTATCAAACTACTAAACACATCAGTCAAAATCAAGACAGACGGCAGGTTCCGTGGTGTCAGCCAAGTTCGAAAAGGAAAGGGTGATGCATCGGCAATGTATATATTTACATAAACCATTTCGGGAACATTACGTCTGATCGATTCGATCGTCGATTTCGACCCCATAACTCAAACACTATTAGATATGTACACTTGAAATTTTGCATGTCTTATAAGTAATACGTATAATCTTAAGTTTCAAGAATGAATTAATAGTTTAGAATTATTAAAGGCTTGAAAGCTTGAATTATTGAAGTCCAAAAAGTTACATTTTTATCACTCGCTGACTGAAATTTGAAATTCGACACATCAAAAATATTCATGTGAAAACGTGACTAATCTGAAAAAAAAGACGACATGTCGTCTTCACCAATAAAATAATTGATATCATAGCAGTTTCTACAATCATAGATATAGGACTGTACAACATTCTTCAATCGATGTACAATAAAATTTGTTATGTTCCTTAATAATGAACTTGAAATCCTTGAAAAATAACCAACTCCTACATCCAATTAATTTGTAGTAAAAAATAAAACAACCAAAAGAAAAAAAGCTTGTATTCAATAAAATAGCATTACATTAAACATTTACATTTGACAAACAAAACTTGGCAAAGTTATAAATTCAATATCAAAGAACAACTGCTTCGTTGGTCTGGTGGTCATATGTGCAACTGCTGATCATTTACGTTTACGTTTTTGGTGAGATTAAATTAAGGTAAAATAATACCATTACATTGACCCGTGGAAGTATTAGAAAATCCATCACTACATCTTTAGCGTGGGTGTCTTAATAGACTAGTCAGAGAAATGCCCGGAACATCCGGTATTTATACAGGTGTACAAAACATATCCAGACCGGCGATAAGAAGACTAACTAGCAATGGTAGCGATTAAAGTATATCGTCCTTACCATAGGAGAGACCTATATTTAATAGTGGTGAACTTTTACGATGTAATGATATGATGATAAATCGATCAAATAGTTGAAGGATCATTATTTAGCATTTTTGTGGATTTTTTTTATTATTCTAAGCCAGCACTTGACTACTATCATGTAACCTGATGATAAGTATAACAGCTAAAAATGGTAAAGCTCATTGATGTAAGAATAAAAGACAGATGCTGGCAACTTATGCACGTATATATATATGTATCATTTTTATTTTATTGCATAAAACAAAATAATAATGCGCACCATCAACATGTCCAGTATAAAGTCGTGCAGTAGTAGAGTCTTTGAGTGTCCAAGTCACGCGCGGAGGCGGCTGTACGGCGGACAACGCAGCAGCCGTCAGACCAGCTGCTTCCACCCACACCGGAGTAGGAGAGCCGACTAACAGATTTTGTGTTGACGCATGTACTCGTAGGCCAGAGATTGGAACCACCTAAGTGTAAAAAAAAATAAAGGACAGTGTTAAAATACTCCACAAGCAGGTCCAAAATAAATACAATTTTAACAATTTATTAAGAAATATCTGTCTTATAACAAAAAGTACACACCCCATAAGCGAAGCGTTGAGGTTGTGCTTTACTTTCACCTAATGGAAATACAGTAATTTTCTGAGCTAAAAATGTTTTTTTTACTATTGCACTTTTAGAATAATACAAATACACGTATATCGAGAAAAATCACTCGTTTTCAGTTTCTATTTTTTTTAAGTAATTTTCTGTATTTAGTGTAAAAAAAAACTGATTGCAAAAATTTTTAAGGGGTATCCGGATGTCTGTGTGTGTATGTGTGGATGGCGCATGATTACGGTCGTTAGAATAAATATATCAAAATACTTTTTTTTATTAGGTTTAGAATCTCAACCCACAGGTTCCTTTTAAAACCACTCAGTAATTTAGTCTGGTTTAATTGTAATTAATTAAAATGTAAAAACAACTGGTACTTTTCTACAAAAAAATAATCTCATGAATCTCTCCTCTTGTCTCAAATATGGAAAAAGAGATATCTTTAACTTCCCAGTGGTAAGTTATTGCAATGGGTCCCATTTTACAAATTGGAAATTTTAACATATCTCCACGTTTCAAGATCTTTAGAGTCGAATAGTGTGGTTTTTATGTATATATATGTATGTTCGGGTACAATTTTCGCCTCGTGTATCTCGAGAACAAAGAGTGATATTGACATGGGACCAGTTTCATTTAACGTATAATTATGTAACTTAGACCTCATTAAATTTTGAGCAAAATCGGTCAAGTCGTTTTTTGTGCTGAATGAAAAATTGTATAAAATATTAAAACACGATATTTTTTATTCTTTCCACGTAAGTTAGTCGTGTGAACCTCACGGGTCGCACCTAGACCGCTTTTACTTTTTATATAATCAAATGAGATTATGAGGCGTGCACTTTTGGATTTTCCAAACTTTTTTTAATAATTAGTCTCAAATTTAAACTCAGTCTGTTTCAAAAAAGAAATACAGAGGAAAAATATATATATAGTATAGCATTCGACAACAAATATGTCAATTTTCGCGAAGTCTATGGCGCGCCCACACTTCTTTTGAGAAAACCATATTTTGAACTGATACATACACCATGTTTTATTTTGTAATAACTGAACTGAAAAAACCTAAATTTTCAAACAGTCCTTTTTTTTGGATTTTTGTTGCATAAATAATATTTTACTGCAAACACAACTACTACTATACTGCAAACATAACTATACAACTACTACTATTAACACAGTCGGTCATCGAAGGCGTCTAGATGGGGCAATCGTGCGGTGCGATGCGCAGCGAGATGCGGCCGGAGCGCTCCCGAGCAGTCGTTAGTCGCTCGGGAGCTGTCCGCTGGGATTGTCCCAGGGTTGTCCTGTCACGCAAATTAAAGTGGTGCACACTATATGTGCGGTAAAAAACTGTGGGTCTGCATCATTTAAAGATAAGAAATTAAATTTTCATCAATTTCCACACACACAGAAATTTGTTTAAACGTGAAATAAAATCAATTTTTTTTATTATTTCCCGTTCTGATAACCATAGCAATTTATTGCTTATGTCGGTTTTTCAAACATCAAAGGCGATGACCGACTGTATGTTCTTCTTAGGCGGTAGTTTTGGTATGCATATTTGTGCTTTTTAAGATTAAAACAATATTGTAAAATTAAATAATAAGTGTTTTTGAATAGCTTGTAACATTATCTTGTCTAATGCTTTACTGGCCGTAAATTATGCCGTTCGCTATCAATCCAGTTACGAACTCCGCATGCATAAATGAAACTATTGCAATTTCAATCTCTGATTTACCACGTGGTCGTCGATGACAAAAACATCGAAAACCTGCATGACTGAGAAATTTAAAAAAAATTGGACGGGACATCCGGTAGATTTTAAGATATTTAATGTTAAAACACATGTATAACACTTACATTACTATGTAATATGTGTTTATTTTTATTTTATATTATTCATTAAATGACATTTTCTGTTTTCTCTTCTGAGATTAGAACAATTAAATGAGCACTTAAATCATATATAACATGTTAATGAAATGCTCCAAGTTACCTCAATTTCCGCTTCAGCGCTTGCCATTTCTACGTTAGCTATGTCGGTTGCCACAAGCTTAACATGTGCAGTTCCCATCGCCAAACCTTGGACTAAGCCAGTTGGAGACACCTGAACAAAATAATCGTTATAAATAACGTTATAAAATAAATTATTAAATATAACTAGCATTTTTAACAAAAAAACAACCTTTACACTTTTCCAACGGTTTAATTCTGTACACACGTATATTATAAGAAAGCTTCTTTATAACATACCATTCTTAATTTATTTTATATTTTATTAAATAAGTTAAATGATAATATTATACTCATGCAGCCCCGGCGGTGAAATGTTCAAGAAAACGTGACGTTTCTTCCACCGATTTCAAAAAAGGAGGAGGTTCTCAATTCGACTGTACTTTTTGTGTTGCCTCAGAACTTTTTACTAGGTGAACCGATTTTGATGACTCTTTTGTTTATTTGAAAAGTGGTGCTTCTCATGACGTCCCATATAAATTTGATTAAGATCTGTACCAATAATTTTTGAATTATCCTTAATAATGCGTGTTTAATAGACTTCGACTACATTGATGATGTTCTCATTTTATTTATATCGAAGTAGGTCGTACATACTGTTTAATTTTAGCGGTTGTGAAATAATATTTTTAATACCATAATAAACGTGTCCAGTAAGTGGACAAACAAGGCCGCCGGCATTCCGCAGCTGCAGGCACACGCGCGAAAATACTGCCGCCAGCCCAGGTGTACGTACATGTATGCGGTCGGTGTGGCGTGCGACGCGGTAGTGCAGACGCGCGAGTAGCGCGGGCGGGCCGCCGGCGTGCCGCAGCTGCAGGCACGCGAAGGTACTGCCACCAGTCCAGGTGTACGTACATGTATGCGGTCGGTATGGTGTGCGGCGCGGTAGTGAAAGCGCGCGAGTAGCGCGGGGGGGCACCGGCGTGTCGCAGCTGCAGGCACGCGAAGGTACTGCCACCAGCCCAGGTGTACGTACATGTATGCGGTCGGTGTGGTGTGCGGCGCGGTAGTGAAAGCGCGCGAGTAGCGCGGGCGGGCCACCGGCGTGTCGCAGCTGCAGGCACGCGAAGGTACTGCCACCAGCCCAGGTGTACGTACATGTATGCGGTCGGTGTGGTGATGCGGCGCGGTAGTGAAAGCGCGCGAGTAGCGCGGGCGGACCACCGGCGTGTCGCAGCTGCAGGCACGCGAAGGTACTGCCACCAGCCCAGGTGTACGTACATGTATGCGGTCGGTGTGGTGTGCGGCGCAGTTGTGAAGGCACGCGAGTAGCGCGGGCGGGCCGCCGTCGTGCCGCAGCTGCAGGCGCGCGAAGGTACTGCCACCAGCCCAGGTGTACGTACGTGTATGCGGTCGGTATGGCGTGCGACGCGGTAGTGAAAGCGCGCGAGTTGCGCGGGCGGGCCGCCGGCGTGTCGCAGCTGCAGGCACGCGAAGGTACTGCCACCAGCCCAGGTGTACGTACGTGTATGCGGTCAGTGTGGTGTGCGACGCGGTAGTGCAGGCGCGCGAGGTGCGCGGGCGGGCCGCCAACGTGCCGCAGCTGCAGGCACGCGAAGGTACTGCCACCAGCCCAGGTGTACGTACGTGTATGCGGTCAGTGTGGTGTGCGACGCGGTAGTGCAGACGCGCGAGGTGCGCGGGCGGGCCGCCAACGTGCCGCAGCTGCAGGCGCGCGCCCGGCGGCACGCGCGCGCGCGAAGGAACTGCCACTAGCGCCGGGAACACCACCACCTGCGCACAAACTCACCGTATTATTTTTAAATTCATTGTGTATCATGGACTCGCAGTTAGGTTATCATTATATTATAGCTCACATAATAAAAACATTTTTAAAATACAGCAAAAATTTAAATTGGTAACCTACAGAATACCGAGAGGCTGGCTATTCTGCATTTGTACTCGAAGCTGACAAGGTTCGTTTCAACCAAATCAAGGTCACCAATGAGCGTCTTAGCATGTTTTTTTTACTGAGTCCAATGCTGCCAGGTGACATTTTGCATATGTGACTACAGTACTACATGTACCACCGGACTTGCGCTTTATATAAGGTAAGAAGCTGCCCCGACGTGAAGTACTGCCGCATCTTTGCACGGACACCAAGTTTCCCTGCGACTGCTTTGGCTCTGGACTCAATGAACAAATAAAAGTTGAGATTTGGAGAAAATTCAACCATTAACAACTGTAGGCGGTCAGTGTACTCCAAAGGTACATTCCTGAAAGTAGGAGCCAGGGTGAGTGGGCTCCTTTTAGCGGTGGTACATGCTTCTGTTTTGGAGGCGTTGAATCTCACGAGATTGGCATCGCCCCATTTGGAAATTGCCTGTAGTGTGAGATTCACACGCTCAACCATAGCTTCTCTTTCGGACTGGATTTGATCCCGACTGGTCCGAGCACTTAGTTGGTATCTCTCCACAACTACGTCTGCGTATCCATAGATCAGGTGTAAGCAGATCATTAATATGCAGAAGAGAATTCTCCTCACCGCAGAATCAGCAATCGAGACCGTTCACTCAGAAAGTCTTTTACCCAATCAACCAGGGGATAAGCTATACACGCCACACACATGCCAAACTCTGTCAAAGGCCTTCGATACAAGCGAAACGGCTAGTGTTGTTCTCTAGTGCCTCGCCCCATACGTGTGTGGCATACGCTAAAATGTCCCCAGCTGACCGATTTCGGCGAAACCCGTATTACCCGTCACTAAGGAAACCATTCTGTTATAGGTATGCTATTAAGCGGGCGTTCAATATACGCTCAATAATCTTGCAGAACATGGAGGTAAAGAAGTCAACACAGGAGACAACTCAGGTGCACAGAGCTTCAGAACTATAGCTGGTATACCATCATCTCCACTAGCGTTCTTCACGTCTACACTTCGCAAGGTTTTAAAAACCTCCTTGTTGGCGATACGGACCTCTGACATAATGGTACCGCAGTGAGGTATTTGAGATGGTACGCTGTTTTATTGTCCAGACGCGAATCGCAAGCAAAATGAGAAGCAAACAAGTCCGCTTTCTTCTTGTGGGTATGCGCCAGTGAGCCATCTAGTTTTACCAGACAGAAGTTGATCTCGACCGCTTGGGCGATAGAGCAAAAAGCTCTACTGTCAGATGTTTTAACAGAGAGCCGCCGATGAAAGAAAGAAAGAAAAAATATTTATTTTGAAACACACAAGGCACCGGAACACAGAAACGAAGACAAAGCAAAAAAAAATTCAAGAACGAACAAACAGCCAATTAATATTATATATAGTACCCGGATGACCGAGCTTTGCTCGTTTTTTTTTAATTACATTTAAATACAAATTACATGAATAATATTTTTTATCTTATTGACATAATAGAAAAAACTGAACTGGTTATTTGAATAAAAAATCATGAGTGCAATTAGTATAATTAAAATTTTCGTATTTTTAAAAAATACAAAAAAAGGCTCGAAATAATAGATTTTCTCACAAAAGAAGGGAACTTGGAAAAAAAAGGAAAAAGTCGTACCGAAGCGGAACGCGAACCAAGGAATTACGATTTTGCGACCACTCGATATCCACTTGAGCTATTACGATCATTAACAACGTGTCAAAATTTACCTTTTTATATTGTAGCAATTTTTCATCGTCTGAAAACACGGACAAAAAAACATTGTCTAAAAATAAATCCTAGCTAGATCGATTTATTGCCCCCGAAACTCCCTGGACACTAAATTTTATGAAAATCGTTGGAGCCGTTTCCGAGATTCCGATAATATTACAGGTTGTTAGTGTAAACACCGTTGTCCTTGAAACCAGTGGTTTGGTTTCACTTATAGAACGTAAATTAAAAAAAAATTACATTTTTTTTAGTAAAATCTCAATTTTTCCTTAATTCCTCAATTTTTGCCTGTCCTAAGCCAGGTTGAAAGTATGAAGGAAAAGTTATATCACAAGTTATGTGTACCTATTGTGTTTTTATGTTGATTGTTGTGTAGGTAGCTAGCACGGGTAAGTGGTAATCTTTACAGTGATTACGTCACTCGGGCGCTTAAACTTTTTAAATTTTATTAAATAAAATAGCGTTTTTTTTTAATTCATTGTATTACGTTCTATAAGTGAAACCAAACCACTGGTTTCAAGGACAACGGTGTTTACACTAACAACCTGTATATATATATATATATTCTTAAAACTAGTGCCAAAAGAAAGGAACCTATTCTTGCCGATGCGTTTAATGCGACTATGGACGATAATGAACCATGGACGAGCTTTTCCACCATTTCCACACCTCGTCGCTAGTTGTACCAGCTGGGAGAGCCCCAGTAACAAGGCAAAATTCTACGCCTCTCTCCCAGTGAGTTCTTCTGATATGGGAACAGCCAGTCCTGATGACAGGCATTAAAGTCCACCAGAAAAGCCAACTGTGCGTTAGGATACCGATTTAGAGCCACATCAGAGGCTTCACTGAAGTGTTCAAATAGCCTAGCAGCCTACACAAAAATAAATAATTTTATCCATTCCTGTGTTTATCAATATCCAGATTGTGGAGAAAGTGGGGTCTTCTAGGTGACGGAGATGCTTACAGCAGATATCGTTGCAGAAGTAAACACAGACTCGAGCGCGCTGATAGAAATTATGCTCCAATGTGTATCCAGGGTAGCCAAGGTACGCCGCATCTAGAGGACATCTGATCTGCATCACAGTCAAGAAGAGTAAGTGCGGCTTGTCAGTCTCAAGGTAACAGCGGACTGCATTGAGATTACAGTGCAGGCCTCAGATGTTTGTGAGGTGCACTTTGATGGAGAGGGTGTGCAACCGCTGTACAAACTTACTCTTCTTTTTTATTTTTCTCATTATTGGTGGAGTGAATAGGTTGAGAGAATGGCAGTTGGACGATGCGTCACACATATAACCTAGGGATGCAAACAGTCACAGCATCGATGTTACCTAGCATGGGGATCGCGGGTCGCCCGAACCCCCTGGAAATCGCCACCAGGCCCTCTACTTCGGTCACCAACTGGCATGCTGGAGCCACCCCAGGATTTTCAATAGATGGCGAGGCAGCCCTTCATGAATGGCTGGGTCATTAATTGGGCCCCCAACTATCTACGGTAGCCTCTTCGGTCCTACATAACCATTAACCTAACCGGTTCTTATGCGCAACACAACTGTCCACACCCATTCTCCCTATGAGAAAGGTTTCACCTAACATCATATCGGAACATGACTTGCATCATTTGTCTTTGACAGGTGGTTAACTCACCCTAGGCCTAGGCTAGATGGTAGGTTGGCGTCTCACTAGTAGAGGCCAACCTACCATCAGTATGTAGCGGTGCTCATTTAGCATTACTCAGGCGATACGTGTAAGAAGTCAGGATCCAAGTAATTCCTACGGACATCCAAATACCCTAAATACTTCCCTAGGTACATACATATAATATTATGATTATGACCTAATAATATCTTTACTGTCTTTCTTTTATTTATTTTTAAATGCAACAACAAACCTCTAGCTCGGGACTCCAAACACCAGCAAGTGACGCTCGCACCCTTCCCAATCCCTCTTGAAGTCCGCACAATTTGCCATCCTTGACCTTAATGTTGCCAACGGTTCGCCATTCCGCAGGGCCGCTGCTGCTTAAATATCGCTGGGATGTTCCTTTAACAAGAGCAGTTATGGGCACACAGCCTCCGACACAAACGGCACGCGTCGTCTCCACTTCCACGTTCAAAACTTCTTCTATATTAACCTGCAAAATCATTGAAAACTTTATTTATGTGCACATTGCCGATTCTTTTTAAAAAAAAATGCTGAATAAATCTTGCTGTAATGGTAAAAATAAATTTAGTCGAAATTAAGAATCAAAATGGAGATGCATCGTTAAACTTAAGGACTAAGATACAATTTCTTTAACATGGTAGAGCCATGCTGTAACTATATTAAGGTTGTAGTACAAATGGGTCGGCTCCACTGGGGAAGAACCACGCTCTCACAGAAAATCCATGTAAAAAAGCAGCTTAATGCTGCTGTGTTTCTTATGGTGAGTGCAGGGATCCGGAGACCTTTTTTTTACGGGAAGCGAAGCAATTCATATGGTGAGTGTAGAGAACTGTAGATCCCTTTTATTGGAAATGAAGCATTCCATGCGAGCCCTATGGGGTGTTAATGCATTTGTATTCTGATTCTTAATCCAGGATAGATGTAGACGTCTATGATCCACAGCATACACTTACCATCAGATGGACTGTGTGCTCATTTATCACCCTTAATCTATAAAAAATTTCTTGTTACCAAAGCCTTGGAAAAAGCCTCTTCATTCTCATCACTTATCATAAGAAATACAGCAGCATTATACTGCTACTTTATTCTTATTCTCTGTGAGAATGCAATCCTTCCCTGTTCGAGCAAGCAAAGAAGAAAAAAAAAGAAGTTGGCTGCAAGTGTTCATGGGGTACAGTAAATTTGTTTGTCGCTCTAGTAATATTCAATAAAACATCTCCAGCATACCTCAATCACTTGTCTCTCTCCCTGCACACATAAGTCAGTGACAACAAGATCGTAAATTCCCGGTGCTGGTACAGCAGCAGTCAGGACTCCATTTTCTATGCTTGCTGTTACACCCTTTGCAGCCTCCACACCATATTTTCCACTTCCTCCCGTTACTGTTGCAATGTTGGATACTGACTCACCTTCCCATGCAATGTTCACCTAGAACAAAAGTCTAGTATTAGAGATGAGATAGGTAGGTCCGAAGTTACTTTCGACTTGGGTTAAGGAAAACATCCAGCTAGTATGGGCACAGATATGATGGCTACAGATGCATTGTCACCACTGAGAACTGTGGTGGAATATATCTAACTGAATAGAGAAACAGTTCAGAAACAATTGAACTGGTCTGATTTTTAAATAATAATGTCTTCCAAACCAAATATTTATCAATCTCAAGAGAGGCTAGCCATCTACACAGTTTAGAATTACATAGGCTGCACTAAAAGTATCGGGAATGGAATATTTCCACTGTTCCTGTCATATTAAAATCTTTTTAATTGAAAACTCCTTGGTTTTAAAAATCGAATACCATTTATTTATTTAAAAAAAGATTCTCAGTCTTGTCACAAGGTTTTGTCAAACTTGTTTAGTCGTTGAAAAAATGGAATTGACTCGAGAAAATTCAAGAGCGATGATTTATTATGACTTTCGAAGTGGTTTAACACAAAAACAGTGTGTTGACCGGATGATTTCTGCATTTGGTGATGAAGCCCCATCCAAAACCACAATTTATCGCTGGTTTGCTCAATTTCTACGTGGACGGACGTGTCAAGCTCAGTGATGATCCCCGTCAAGGTCGTCAAAAAACTGCAGTCACCCAAGAAAACGTTGATGCTGTGCGTAAGCTGATTGAGGAAGATCGACATGTGACATACCGCGAAATTCAGGCAACTTTAGACATTGGCATGAGTCAAATACAAATAATCTTGCATGAACAATTAGGTGTAAAAAAGTTGTTTTCCCGATGGATACCGCATTCGCTCTGTGAAGAGCAAAAAGCGGCTCGCGTTACTTGGTGCGTCAGAACTCTCGAAAGATTCCACGCAGGATCCTCAAATGCTGTATACAACATCGTATCAGGTGACGAATCCTGGATATACGCGTACGAACCCGAAACAAAAAATCAGTCACGAGTTTGGGTGTTCGAAAATGAGTTAAAGCCAACAAAAATTGTTCGTTCACGGAGTGTTGCAAAAAAAATGGTGGCCACGTTTGTCTCCAAAACCGGCCATGTTACGACTATTCCTCTTGAGGGACAAAGAACGGTTAATGCAGAATGGTATGCTAGCATTTGTTTGCCACAGAGTCTGAACTCCGTAAAGAGAACTGCAACAGCCGCATCATCCTCCATCACGACAATGCGAGTTCTCACACCGCACACAGAACAAAAGAGTTTTTAGAGCAAGAAAACATAGAATTATTAGACCATCCGCCGTACAGCCCCGACCTAAGCCCTAATGATTTCTATACTTTCCCTAAAATAAAGAATAAATTGCGTGGACAAAGATTTTCATCACCTGAAGAAGCTGTGGACGCCTACAAAACGGCCATTTTGGAGACCCCAACTTCCTAATGGAGTAGTTGCTTCAATGATTGGTTCCATCGTATGGAAAAATGTGTTAAATTTCGCGGAGAATACTTCGAAAAGCAATAAATACATTTTTAAATAGTAATGTTGTGTCACTTCCTTGATTCTCGAAATTTTCAGTGCCGTCCTCGTATAGTGCACCACTGTTTACGCAAAGCCCAGGTGCGCTCTCATATCATAGTCCAATTTATACTCTCTCACTCTCATATTTCAATGTGATGGTAACCCCAAACGACCATAGAAGGATCAGACGTAGGACCAACAGCTTTAACTACTTTCGGGAGTGGAAATGAAATACCACCAACTTTCTGATTCGTACACGAAATATTAATAAATAAATATAGTTTATGCTGCTGCCCATCTCCTGTTTGAGTTTCCCTCGAGATACCCACGAGACGACATGGGGTAGTAGAAATTCTTACACCGCCACTACATGCTAAAAACAAAAAAAAATTCTACTTCATCAACCCACCAAACACTGTTGGATATGACCCTTTCCCGATGGAGGGAGAATTTACCACAATCTCCACGCTTAACAGGCGGTTCAGCGAAATCTTGCACCGATACTAGATGGTAGGACTTCTTCTCTGCCTGGGAGTCCATCTGGGTAGGCATCACCTTCTTACCTATTACAGTCGATAAACAGCAGTGTACACTCATAGCAGTGCAGCCACAGTGTGCACTACTATGTTTTGGTGTGAAAGACAAAGTTATTTTTATTAATTTTCATGAAGATAATATGTAAAAATAAAGAAAATCAGCACAAACCCTTAACGGATCACATTGTAAAGGCGCCACGACTCTTGCTTGTATGTTGGCAGTTGCCTCAGGTATGCTGGCTTTGATTGAACCTGTCCATCCAATAGCTTGTTTATCTGCTACCAATAACTGGAAAAGAAAAAATTATAGAAGTTTTATACGTGGTAGAGCCATGCTGCAGTTATATTAGTAGTATAGTTGTAGCACGAATGGGTCGGCTCGACCGGGGAAGGACCACGCTCTCACAGAATACCAGCGTCAAATAGTAGCATAATGCTGCTGTGTTTCGTATGATGAGTGTAAAAAACCGGAGACCCTATTTACTGGAAACGAGGCATTCCATCATAGTCCACACGGGTGACAACGCATCTGCATTTTGATTTGTAATCGAGGATAGATGTAGACGCCACACCAACCACTTACCATCAGGTGGACTGTATGCTCATTTGTTACCCTATCCTATAAAAAAAGTGAATGCGATCCATGGACACCTGCATCTATCCTCTATTAAGATCAAAATGTGGATGCGTAGGCCCAAAAAAATAAAATAGAATATCTTGTTACTAGTAAAGTCTCCAGTTTTATTTGCTCACCATACGAAACACAGCAACAGTATAACCTCTCAACTGCGGACGTCTAACCCTTGGACACGAAAATATCTCCGTTAACTGCGGGTGTCCAAGTACTGGACATTTTTTACCCGCTCTTTTAATGTCGAAATAAAGCATTACGCACTATGTCTAACTCATTCTACCATATGTCGATGTGTACAGGATAAAAAAAGGTTACCATAAAAACCCCACAGCTTATACACTTTAGTAGTATATTTTATTTAAACCATTCGTTAATATCGTCCGTCCCTTGAGTCAGCCATCAGTGTGATTGACGCGCTAACAACGAAGTTGTTCGTAATTATTTTGTATTAATTTATATTTATTGTGTGGTGAATTGTGTCAAAACAATGCCTGGGTAAGTAACCTTCTTATTTGTAATCTCATTTTATGTTTTATCTTATTAAGTACGTGTAAAATCGTTTTTTAATATGTATGAAGCAAACCGCTCATCTTAGAACTAACATGCTGGTTGTGGAAATTTGACTTGAAATGTACGTACAATTTTAGTGTTGACTGTCAGTTTTGTGTTAAAATATGTGTAATTGATCATCATTTACAGTTTTAGTATATCAAAATGAGGATAAAGTGCAATATTTTCAAAATTTCAATGTAAATACGCAATAGGTGCAATAGTGTCCACTGTGCATGAGACGCTCGCAGTATTGAATTCTAGTTCTCTGTTTTGCGGGTGGCGAAAAAAGGAATTAAAGTTTGCCATACTGCATCACGTTCAAATTCAGTTGAATTGTTAGAATCGTAAAGAATCTAGCGCCCTGGAGCAGATAAACGGAGCTTGGTTGATTCCAATCTCATTCGATGATTTATGCAAAAATGAGATGTGGCATTTGGATATGCCATGTATGTTAACACAAGACTTCGGAATTTTTTAAACAATTTATTAAAACAGAAAAATAGAAAGTATTTACATATGCTTTTTAATATTTTTATTTTAATATTTGAAATTTTTTTTTATCCTAATATAAACAGGTTGTGGTTTTTAAGGTCACCTCAGACACATGTTTCTTATGTCGGTGGTTTTAATGTACATTTTATCTGTATGCACTTTGCAAAATTCATAAATCAAGAAGAATTTAAAAAATATTAATTCTTTTTTACGTACGTTTCAGTTTTGCAAATCGTGTAACGTTGCGTTATGTTTCAACCTAGAGCAAGATTGCTGATACCTACAGTACCATTCGTAAATAATTTGTACTGTAGATACAGTAAATCCAACAAGTACCAGGAGCCTTTTAAAGAAAAGAGTACCCATGTTATATATTTATTCAATTTTATACTTATGTCCATCCATCCATTTAGTTTTTATTGTTGCTTAGCTATAATTTGTTCAGCTAATTATTTCAGATTATCATCGTTGAAATAGTTGTTAGTTAAGTTACAGCCTATTTACGTCGTGGGACGTGCTGGCAGTGGTGCTGGGCCTTACCTCACTTCTGAGAGGGTTTTAGGGCAAAGAAGTGTAGACGTGGTAGATCAGCACTTAAAATTGCAATTAACAATTTCATTGATGCCAGCGGGGATCGAACCCGGTTTGCTAGCATACTGTGAAATTTAACGCGAGAGACCGGGGGTTCTTTTGAGCCACCTCGGTTCTCATCGTTGAAAGGAATACACCTTTTTTATTTTGTATGTTTTCTATAGAATAGGGTGACAAACGAGCACACAGTCCATCTGATTGTAAGTAGTTGCTGCGGCCCGTAGATGTCTACATCTATCTTCCATTACAAATGAAAATGCAGATGCGTTGTCACCCGTGAGGACTAAGATGGAATGCCTCGTTTCCAGTAAAAACCATCTCCGGTTCTCTACACTCACCATACGAAACACAGCCAGCATTAAGTTTATATTTCACGCTGGTATTCTGTGAGAGCGTGGTTTCCCCGGTCGAGCCGACCCATTCGTGCAACAACTATACTACTAATATAACTGCAGCATGGCTCTACCACATATAAAAAATGTTTTAATTAACTAGTACATAATGCACAAAAAGTGCAAAATTGGACTTTAATTATGGCGTATTTTTGGAGTATAAGAAGAAGTGGGTTCTTTAAAAATATATATCCATAATATTTTTTTTATTTCAGGAAGAGATATGTTTATTTTAAATGTTATTATTTCGTAGATATTATTTGTGTTAAAGGAAATATATTACCTTTTTTGACAAATAATGTTGCTAAAATTACGTTGGTTATTGGACATGTAAGTAATATAACCGCCGCGCACCCCGCGGTACCTCTGAACGGCTTTGTCACTCGACACTATTATGGCGCATTGAGTATTGTTTACAAAAAACGTTATTTTAGACTCTACATCCGCGGGAGTGACCCTTGAGTGGTTTCATGGCTTTTAAGGGAATGAATGAATCTTTATTTCTCTAAAAGTGCTGTTGAAAATTGTTTGCTCAAATAAAGTAATTAATTTTTCAATAAATCTGGCACATACGGCTAAAATTTTGATATCGGCACTAAGAATACTTATTTCATAACTTTATGATATTTGTAAAACTTAGCAAGATCTATTTAAAGATGACAGAATCGTGTAAGGAAAGAGAGAGGTTCAACTAGTCCTGGAAATAAAACCACATGTTTCTTCATGAATTTATATATTTTTAATGAAATAAAAAAAAACTAGTGTTACCTTTATTGACTAATGCCGCATCTGGTCCGAACTACATTCTACATCGGTGTAAGTTGATTGTTGGTTCTTGTAAGCTTACTATTAATGCGTTTTATGATAAAAAATTGTATGGTAGCCCATGATTTTGCGCACAAAATATTGTAAACAATAGATTTAAAATTAAATGAAAATAAAATCGAAGTATTAAAAACTTTGTTTCATCGAGAAATATGACAATTTTGTCTTTACTAAATATTTACTTACACTTATTATTTTGTGACTTTATTTAATTTATGTACTCGTTTATAGGAAATTTCATAGAGAATTCAGAAATGTATACATATTATGTATTTGATATACCAAAATCAATAAATTTGCGTGTTGCGTACCAAAAAAAAGAAACGGATTGCGCCCAATGCGCCGTCAATTTTATTAAACAGTTTGGCAGTCAACGGAGTATGACGGTTAGAGTCTCCGCAGCTGAAAGGATAAGCTGCTATTTTGCACTGATATTTTATAAGTGTTTTCGTTACCCTGTCGAACCAACCCATTCGTACATAATATAGCTGCAGGGTGGTACTACCACATGGTAAAGGTGTTTTCTAATTAAGTAAAAATGTATTATGCTAATAAAACATCATTATAATATGACGGTTGTATAAAATATGGAGGAAAACATCTTAAGTGAACCTGCATGTTTGCATACTATGTCAGAAATGGGAAGTAAGAGGAATGAGAGGTACATACTGTACCAAGTGGTGAAACGCATATACAGGCTTTACCTAAGGTCATGTTCAAGTGCGCCACCACGCACTGAAACTAGCGTTGCCATGCGTCCGATAAAGCTGGACACAGTCGGGCTTTTTGTTAGGCTTTTTAAATTTGACAATTTTTTTACATTTGTAATGTATGTATTTACATTCATACTATTCATCATCATCATTACAGCCCTTCACAAGTCCACTGCTAAACATAGGCCTCCCCCAAGGTATGCCACAAAGCACGGTCCTGAGCCACCTGCATCTATCGACTTCCTGCATGTCTTACCAGGTCGTCACTTCATCTAGTGGGGGGTCGCCCTACACTTCGCCTACCTGTACGAGGCTGCCACTCGAGAACCATTCTTCCCCAACGGTTGTCGGTTCTTCAAGTTACATGGCCGGCCCATTGCCACTTCAGTTTACTAATCCGTTGGGCTATGTCGGTCACTCTGGTTCTACTGCGGATATCCTCATTTCTAAGTTTATCACGCAGAGAAAGTCCGAGCATAGCCCTCTCCATAGCTCGCTGAGCAACTTTGTACGTCCTCATACGGCCAGCAGTGAAGGACCATGTCTCGGTTCTGTAAGTCATCACTGGCAACATGCACTGGTTGTACAAATTAGTTTTCAGGTTTTGAGGTATACCTGCCGAGAAGATGTGTCGTAATTTCCCGAACGCTGCCCAGCCGAGTTGAATCCGTCGATTGACCTCTCGGTCGAAGTTGGACTTACCTGGTTGGACTATTTGTCCCAGGTAAACGTACTTGTCAACAACTTCGAGCTTAGTGCTCCCAACGACTACCGGCATAAGTGTGACATGGACATTAAACATGATCTTTGTTTTGTCCATGTTCATCTTAAGACCTATCCGTTGGGAGGCACTATTGAGGTCATTGAGCATAGTGCTTAAGTCCTCCAGCGATTCTGTCATAAGGACTATCATCGGCAAATCGAAAGTGAGTGATGTACTCGCCATTGATGTTAATACCGTATCCTTTCCAGTCCAGTAGCTTGTAAACGTCTTCCAATGTAGCAGTGAAGAGTTTCGTGGAAATAACGTCACCCTGTCTTACACCTATCTGCAGTTGGATAGGTTTCGTACTCTGGTTCTGTACTCGGATAGCCATCGTAGCCCTACTGTACAAACACTTCAGCACTTCGATATACCGACAGTCAACTTGGCACCGCTGAAGAGACCGCCCAAATTTCGACGGAATCAAAGGCATACATACTATTACAATTATTGAAATTAACATGCTAATGAATATTGAATGATTAATAATAAAGAAGAGTGATTAATTCAATTTTATTGTTATTTCTTCAGAATTTGAGAAGATTTTATGGTAAATGATAAAAGCCTTGTTTTACTTTTAAAAAAGACTAAAAAAATTAAAGGTATCCAGCTTATTACCAAAATGTCCTGCAAAGCTGGCTAGTCTGTCCGGCTTTTCGGTTTTAAGACCTGGCAACCCTAACTGAAACCGAGCGGCGGACTAATTGCTTCTTAATTGTTTTATAACTGTACCCAGCAGTGGATTACAGATCTTAGTATTGCTATGAACATTAGAGAGTGTAAAAATATTCCATACCTGATAATATTTAAGAGGCACTGGAACCGGTGCATATTCTGGATCAGTTTCAACAAATAGTCGATCTGTGGCTTTGAATTCTATTCCAGCGTGATTAGGTTGGGATTCCCATGCCACTCGCGGACCATGCTCATCTAAAAGTTCTCTTCCAATAGCATCCATCAAAGTCACTTTTACAGATACTTCTTGGCCAGGGCGCAGCCACAATCTGCAAATGAAAATTATATAAATATTAAGAATGTTACCCACAGCAACCAAATGCACGGGATTATCCAATACAGGACAAGTTATTATTGTAGTATCTATCAGGTATTACCTGTTGTATTTTTCATAGAAGGGTGCCAAACAAGCACACTGAACTGTCCACCTGTTCATAAGCAGGTGCTGTGGAGACACCTATATACAAGAATGAAAATGCAGATGTATCATCATTCCTAAGATCTGCACGTCTGCAGTTCTTATCACTTATATGACGTACAGCAGCATTATGCTGCTACTTTAAGCTGGTATTCTGTAGAAACACGATGCTACCTCGGATGAGGCGACCCGGTCATGCTGGAACCGTAGTACACTCAGCATGGCTCAATCATGTACAATGTCCTCCAGACCGAATTTCGGTCACGGTGGCCAGCCTCAACGGAGACTAGCCATCCGCACAGGACGAGTAAGCCGACACGACCGGAAAGAGATCAGGCGCACGACCAAGGGCTTTTACGTGCTTTCCGAGAGACACGGGGGTGAGACACCGTCAACTTCCTAACTCCGGGCAGCTACTGAAGAATTTTTGACGGAAAAACATAACTGATTTTTTTAGCCCGAAGCGGGATTCGAACCCAGGACCTCATGATCAGCAGTCACGTTCACAACCACTAGACCAACCAGGCAGTCAATCATGTATATACTAAATCTAAATCTCTAGTGATAAAATTCCAAAGCATTATTTGTAAAAAAAATCAACTATAGTATTCAATATACAAAACCCACTAGAGAACCAGCCTTTTAGTAACGGTGTGGCTCTCAGTTAAAAATATTTGTATAATATTAGTATACTCAGTTAATTAACTGAATAAAATCACAAGAAGTGGGCCTCGTCAGTCACTGTCAGCAATCATTGTTTGATAATAATATGGCAGATAAGTCTTAGAATAGTTTAAATTGAAATAGGATAATTTAAAAATTAAATTTATACGTTCACTATTGAATTATCCTATAGTAGATTTGAAATTTAAAACTTACTTGGGTCCACCGGAACAGTTGCCGGGGCTAGGAGGGGCCTCTAACCGTATTCTAGAAACATGCGGAGCGCAAGCCACTTCAAAGTCCACGGTTTCGCGCTCCTCAGTAGACGACGAGGCTATTTCAAGACGTACGTCGCCCTTCTGCAAAGTAAGTTGAAAAACTGTTCACAACACTACAAACTTCTCGTTTTGCAGCACATTAAGGGGATGTACTGTGAAACTAAATGATTGTAGATTCACAGTAGTATTAGCATTAGGCTTAATGAGTTATTTTCAATTTGATTATTTGAAATATTATTTAAACAACACTAAATACACACATATTTATGGGTATGCACTGACTTTTTTAAATACAAGTACACTGAACTGGCTATACCATACAAAATTTTTACGTGGTAGAGCCATGCTGCAGTTATATTAGTAGTATAGTTGTAGCACGAATGGGTCGGCTCGACCGGGGAAGGACCATGCTCTCACAGAATACCAGCGTGAAATAGTAGCTTAATGCTGCTGTATTTCGTATGGTGAGTGTAGAGAACCGGAGACCCTTTTTACTGGAAACGAGGCATTCCATCTCAGTCCTCACGGGTGACAACGCATCTGCATTTTGATTTTTAATGGAGGATAGATGTAGATGTCTATGGGCCGCAGCAACCACTTACCATCAGGTGGACTGTGTGCTCGTTTGTCACCCTATTCTATAAAAAAAAAAAAAAAAAAAAAAATGTCTGTGCCAATTTGAAGCGCCACTATTTTACGTCTTGAGAACTAAAATTGACATAAAATGCCGAAGTCTGTCGTCTTATTTAAATTGTCTTATTTATTTTTTTTAAATCTGTATTTTATATTGTATTTTTAAACTAAAAAACGTATTGTATTTTGTATTTTTAAACTAAAAAACGAAATTATTTTATGTTGTTGATTGTGTGTAATTTTAGTTACATAATAAGAATTATTTTTAATAATAATGAGTGTATGTAATCTGTAAAACTCGTTACCCAAAGGAAAGTGGTATAACATTACACAAGTAAGTGAATTTGCAGCTAATAATAAACAAATTAAAACGATTTGATAAGTACTTAAAATTTTGTTACTAATCTTAATATCATATTTACCAACATGTTTGGCTGTATATTACTGATTTTTGATATACAATAAAGTTCAATAGCGTTTCGAGTTCCTTGTCTATAATATTTATCGATGTTCTTTCTTACACATATCTGTTAACAAAAAAAAAATCGCCAACAACTGATAATTATCAAATGTTTATTAATTAACAGGTTTCCAACCGAACCTAGACCTAAACCTAGAGGGCTTAAAAGCATAAATACTGTGAATTGGCGTCCGAAACAAACTGATCATCATCATCTTTGTCAAACATTTCATAGACGACTGTTTTATTAGACATTAAAACCTCACCACTTTGAAAACGTGCAGTATACCGACAATATTTTCTGGTAGTACCAGTACCAGTAAGTATAAGATTACACTGGTCGGCAAAAATAAAAAATCCGGGAGCAAAAAGTTTACTATGTGATTTCTATTGGCTTTGATTTCTTGAGTCCAAATCTGTTTAAAGATTTCAACTATCACCTCTAGCTTTTCAGATATTTACATTTAAATAAAATATCGGTATTGATATATGTATATTAAATATGTATATATTTTAGAACGAAAAAATTTACACTGATTGATGACTTTTACAACACAAATTAAAATGAAATATGAATTAAAAAATATAAAAAAAAACATAAAAATGATAACTATTTGGTAGATCGCTTTCTTTTATACATTTTAACTGCTGTTTCTCGATTTATTTCCCAGCAAAAATCAGCTAGCATTGCTGGGGCTCCACTTGCCGCTGTATCTTTTTTCCATATGTGCAATGTCTTGGTGGAATCTTTCACCATGCTCATCAGACACGGCACCAAGATTTTCTGAGAAAAAATCTAAATGCGAATGCAAGAAGTGAATTTTTAAAGACATATTGCATCCAAGTTGATGATACGATGAAAGCAGTTCTTCTATCAGCTCACGTACGTCGCTCACTTGTTCAAAACAATCACTGCGTTCGCGCTTCGCGCTTGTCAGTTAGTTAGAGCAGTAAACAATAGCTTGTTGTTTCTTTCTAACATAGAGACAGACTCAGAACAGAACTAAATACATGTACTTACCAACGTTCACAAATACCGCTGCCTGCAACTATAAGCAAACAATTCTAGTGCAAACAAAAAATGCTATTGCGTCGAAACTAGACGTGCTAGGTGAATTCTAACTACATATTTGGATTTAACGTAACTAACGTAATAACTTCCATATATACATTTTTTTGCTCTTATTTTGATGCCGACCAGTGTTATTATTTCGTATAAGTATTATATTATTATTTAGAATGTTTTTTTTTATTTCTTCTCTTCTCATTTTCCCGCAAACTCAAGGACCATAGCAAAGTGTAGAAAGGTCGCCTGATGATGTCGATCCATTCATGTTGAATGTGTGCTGCGGCTACAGGAGATTCCTCTCCCTGTACCGGTGTAGTCAAGGTGGAGTCGTAAGGGAAGACGAGTGTTGGTATTGCGACTGGCAATGCACCACGCTATCCTCCGCGACTTTGGTGAAGCTGCACCACTTGATGCTTCCAAGTGCTCGTTTTTTCCCGGCTCCATTCACATATCGAGTTCGGAGAGTCTGTAGTGCATGTGGATTTAGAGGCCACTTATTCTTGCGTATGTGGACTATGAGAAAGCCTTTTTTTTTCGTTGAAATTTGGGCGATGCTGCAGTCTCATCAGCGGTGCGAAGTTGACTGTCGGTACATCGAAGTGCTGAAGTTAATCGCACAAATTTGTATAGTAGGGCTACTTGGGTTAAATGTTCTAAGGGCTATCCGAGTACAGAACCAGAGTACGAAAACCTATCCAACTATAGAGAGGTGTAAGACAGGTTGACGTAATATCCACAAAATACTTTACCCCTGCATTGGAAGACGTTTTCAAGCTGCTGGACTGAAAAAGATACGGTATCAACATCAATGACGTGTGCGTCACTCATCTCCGATTTACCAACGTTATAGTCCTTATGGCAGAATTGCTGGAAGACCTAAGCACTATGCTCAATGAACTCAATAGTGTCTCCCAACAGATAGATCTTAAGATGAACATGGAAAAAACAAAAGTCATGTGTAATGTCCATGTCACACCCATGCCGGTGGTTTTTGGGAGTACTTAGCGAAGTTGTCGACGAGTATATTTACCTGGGACAAGTAGTCCGACATCTCAGTCGAAGTTGAACTATTTTACGCTGGTATTCTGTGAGAGCGTGGTCCTGCCCCGGTCGAGACGAGCCATTTGTGCTATAACTATAATATAGCTGCAGCGTGGCTCTACCACGTAAAATATCAGAATGTTTCAGGTAAATTAAATGTTTACTATTTTAAAATATACCAATAAAATGTATCGTAATTTACCCTGTGTTATTTTTTAAATAAGATATTTAAGTAAAGCCGTTTTCAAAAAACCAAAGAGAATAAAATAATGTCCAAATAATAGCTTCTGTAGGTGATGCTAAGAGATATTGTATCGAGGAATTTCAGACCTCAGAAATTATTTCATTTTTGCACAAATTTTTGACACCAGCTGCTTTAGCGTAATAGTCAAGTATTTTGACCGGTAGGTAATGCGATAATGATAAAATTATATATTACATACCCTGCGGCATTTGAATGTAAAGAGTTGAAGTTCTGGATATTTGTGTGGCGACGGTCCGTCCCTATAAACTAGTTCTGCAACACGGGAATCACTTGACGATGGAACTAGGGCCTCTCCTTCAGCTAACACCTTCAAAAATAAATAAATTTTCAATTTAATGCGACAAATCTAAGAAGAAATACCTTTTATTGTTTCATATTTTTCATATTACAATAATTTTGTACAACGCTTTATTTAAAGCCAAGGGATTCTGAAGTTAATTTAAGTATTTAATTACAAATGTATAATAATTTTTAATCACTAAATTAATTTCGAATATTTAAAACTCAGCAAAAAATAAACAATTAAACCAGAAATTATTTTTATTTACGTTGTAATCAAATATCAGGGTGCAATCACAATCTAAAGTCTAACTACTACTAATTTTATTTAAATTGAAGGCGTCTAGACAAGGCAATTGTGCAGTGCAGTGTCCTATCCCGGCCGAGCCAACCCATAGCTGTTACAACCGTAATATAGCTGCAGCGTGGCTCAACCACGTATAAAAGCTAGCCACACACTGTAGGTGCAACTGCGCAGATGTGCGGTGCACGTGTTGTTTACAAGAATTTTGGCTAGCGAAAGAGGTGCCGCCGCACGTGCAACGGCGTAGGCGCCGACATATACATAATATGTGTTACAAATACATTAAATAAAATAAAACATAATTATTTATGTTCACGCTGTCAATGAAACACAGTCTCTAGTTTGTCTGTCTATGTTCATAGTTCATACTTGCATGTAACACATAATAATATGTGTTCAAACAGTCGCACAGAATTGAGATTTTAGCCTAAGAATTTCAAAATATGGCCAATAAATAATTAAGTACTACTAATTTTGTGTGATTTTAAACGTTACTTTTTTAACAGTCTGTGGACAAGGCAAAAAGCGTTTATTTTGTATTTTAATATATAGTTGAAAGTAAAATACAACTTGCTTAATACACAAACTTAAACACTTAATGAACTACAGCCTAATTTCGAGCACTAGGCGACCACTAGCTATTAAACATATACATTATATTAATAATATTCGTTTATTTCTAAACGCTATGGCTCAAATGACAATTAATGGCCAGTCATTAGTAAATTTAGTGTTAAGTCTATAACACTATATTATTAATGATTGGCCATTGTGAGAGAGCACAATCTGTATTAGGATACCCGCGTTAACGTATTCTAATCCCTCATCTCAGACTATCATATTTAGTCTTTAAAAAATCTTCTACGTTTTCCGATTAATATTTGGCTTAGATCACTCCTAGAATTGCTCTCATGTGTTCGTAAAGTTGTATCACAATCGGTTCTGCCATTGGCGAAAATTATCAAAAATTAGACAGACAAACATTTTAAAAATTGTAGTTTACGTCTCAATTTTTTTAAATTATGTCGAAAGTTTTATAGAGGCTAGTCATATTAAAAAATAAGAGACGCACTTTAATTTTATTTATTTCTATATATTTTGTTACCTACATGAGATATCTCTATTTTATTAATGTGCTGTTGAAAAGGAAATATAGCATGTTTATATAAATGTATATAAATTAATTAAACTACGGTCGAACTTCGAGCATTTAAAAACAGTTAATTACACTACTTGTTATACATACACGGCCTCTATTTCTATTCATTAGCAATAGGAGACAGGACAGGGATAATAAATACTTAATTTGAGTAAACGATAATCAAGGTGTATAATGCCTTCTACACACGTAACGATATATCGGAACGATTAATCTGTGCAAACCGATTAGCAGAAGTTTATCGATCGTCTGTATGACAAACTGTTGCAGATTATCGTTCAAAGGCGGCAGTTGAAGTTTCTTTTAGACAAATCGTTGTGAAAAGTGTGATTGCACTTTTTGCAACATATCGAAAGAAAAAAGAGGCAAACACCGTGAACAACTGGAGGAGTTTATAGAAACTTGCCCTTGGAAGATAAAGTCAAAGGAGTAACATGATCACAATAAAAAAAGTGTCGCCTAAAACAGGCCCGAAAAATACAAAGACTTTTTTTCTTTAAACACATAATCAAGCCCTATAACGCAAGTTATCTTCCATCGTGGATGAAATGTTTCTTGCGCGAGCTTCTGTGGAGAACTGACAATCGACGCCGATGTCGGTGGCGTATGAAGACACTAGGGGGTTCCATTTAACAGAATGTGTGACGACGCAATGAACTCAAAGCACGCCCTTGTGCGATTAACTATAATTTCTGTAATGGTGTGCTCACTTGCCCGCATTGCGCACGAACATTTGTAAATAAGATCGGCTACGTTAGCCATGCACGAGCACACCAACAACAGGATCGGAGTTGAAGAGGTCGCCGTGGCCGAAATTGGTCGAGGAATAATATATACAATGCCAGCGTTTGGCAGAAAAAAGCGCTAGGTAGCGCTTGTAAGCAAAATGGCGAAACTAAACAGTTTTCGGCCAGGGCACGTTTGCTAACTTCGGTAGAGCTTACACAATCCGCCATTTTGCTTATTTACTTTGTTTGTTTTGAAGTAGAGTTTATAAGTTGTTTTGTGCAATATTAGTTTCAAGTAATATAATGACATGAATAGACATATACATGTTATCAAAAAATCGTGATTGGTAAGTTTTTAATATGAATACTTTACAAACATATATTTAAATTAGGTTAGGTTCCCCGGTTAAAACTAACTTCGTGTGCTAGAGGAAAATAGCCACTTAAGATTTGACAGCGCTTACCGCTTACGATCGCCATTTTGCTTACAAGCGCTTCCTAGCGCTTTTTTTTTGCCAAACGCAGCCAATGTGTGAAATAGCTACGATATATCGTTAGGTGTGTAGCAGGCATAAGTGAGATAGATATTGTGTGGCGTGTGACGTACCGGCGCGGAGGCGGTGAGCAGCGCGGCGGCAGCGTGCGGCGGCCAGCGCAGGCGCGGCGCCGCGCGCACGGCAACGCGCGCCGCGTCGCCCGCGCGCCCGCGCCACACGCGCACCAGCGCCACGCCGCGCGCGGCCCACGAGCACTGCAGCACGCAGCACGCGCCCTCTGCAACCACACAAACCTTACTCATGCAAGTGAACACTTCTTTAACCACGTTGCCCACTTTTGGGATGGGGGACGAGACCGCTATGCTATGACATATCTGCGTCATTGTCCGCAATGAACTCTTAAACTACTGAAGCTGTGCTGAACATAACGCTTGACAAACGGGTTGGCAACCGTAGTTTTTTATTGTTGGTGGTTATTATTTTATTCGGTTTTAAACTATTCTTGGTAAACCTAAAATACTTTATTAGGAATAGTTCACGACAATAGTCGTTTAGCAGATTCGAACACAAGATTTTTTTTAAGTTTGCGGTTCGCACTTTGCCATTAAGCTATTTTTTAATACAGAAAAGGGGGCAAACGAGCATGCGACTCATCTTTTGGTAAGTGACTACCGCCGCCCTTGAACAACCGCAACACTAGGGGAATTGCAGGTGCGTTGCCGGCCTTTTAAAAAGGAGTAAGCTCTTTTCTTGAAGGTCCCTAAGTCGTATCGATCCGGAAAAATCGCCGGTGGTATATAATTCCACAGAGAAATTGTACGAGGACGAAAACTCTTAGTAAAACGCACACTGGTGGACCGCCAAGCATCCAGATGGTGAGGATGGTATCGGGGATTTTGACGCGATGTGCGTTGGTGAAATTTGGCGGCTGGAACTAATCCGAACGATTCCTCAGAACACTCCCCATGGAAGATACGATAGAAAACGCAAAGGGATGCAACATCCCTACGCATCACCAGTGAATCGAGCCGATCAGAAAGAACTCGGTCGTCGACGATTCGAATCGCTCTGCGCTGGATAAGGTCTAGTTGAAGGAGCTGGCACTGGGGTGCCCCGGCCCAGAGATGAGAACAGTTTTCCATGTGATGCCGAACTTGCGCTTGGTAAAGTTGCAAGCGATGTGCTGGCATGAAATACTGTTTCGCTCTGCTGAGCACGCCAAGCTTTTTAGAGGTCAATTTGGCCTTCCCCTCCAAGTGACCACGAAACTTCACACTATTCGATATGTCGACACCGAGAATTCTGATGCTAGCTGAGGCAGCAAGCGGAGTGCTTTCAAACTGAGGAGATACGACAAAGGGGTTCTTTATAGCGGTTAACGCGCAAACTTGTGTCTTCTGGGGATCTTGACTTGGAGTAGATTCATTCAGTCGCAGCAGACTCGACTTCAGACACAAGTTAATCCCGATACTCAGCGACGTTTTCCCGAGAAATATTAGCACAGCCGGTGGATAAGGTATCACCAGTGCTGTCGTCTGCATAGCAATGAATGTTACCAGTTTGCAACATATCATTGCTATGCAGAAGAAACACGCACAAACACGCATAGCACGCAGCCTTGTGGAACACCAGCGTTAATAGGCTTGTAATTAGAGCGTGCACCGTACACCTTGATGCCCCGATTAGCAAGAAAACTAGTGATCCAATCGCACAATTTCTCGGGAAGCCGATAGGAAGGGAGCTTCGAAACAAGCGCTTTGTGCCAGACCCGATCGTAGGCCTTCGCTATGTCCAAACTAACAGCCAATACCTTCGCCTTGGACTCTAATGAATCTGCCCATCTATGAGTCAGGTAGACCAGAAGATCAGCTGGTGATACTCAAGGTACCTTATGAGCTGGCAGTTTACAATGGACTCCATTATTTTGGAGAACAAGGAGGTGATGGTGATAGACCTGTAGTTGGACGTGTCTGAACGGTCGCCTTTTTTAGGGATCAGGTGGACCAAAGCTGTCTTCCAAAAATTTGGGACTACGCCTTGTGAGTAGCAGTGCCGGAAAAGACGCGTTAAAACCGGTGCTACGAGGGCGGCACTGAAAATTTCGGGAATCAAGGAAGTGACACAACATTACTATTTAAAAATGTATTTATTGCTTCTCGAAGTATTCTCCGCGAAATTTGACACATTTTTCCATACGATGGAACCAATCGTTGAAGCAACCATTCCATTCGGAAGTTGGGGTCTCCAAAATGGCCGTTTTGTAGGCGTCCACAGCTTCTTCAGGTGATGAAAATCTCTGTCCACGCAATTTATTATTTATTTTAGGGAAAGTATAGAAGTCATTAGGGCTTAGGTCGGGCTGTACGGCGGATGGTCTAATAATTCTGTTTTCTTGCTCTAAAAACTCTTTTGTTCTGTGTGCGGTGTGAGAACTCGCATTGTCGTGATGGAGGATGATGCGGCGGTTGCAGTTCTCTTTACGGAGTTCAGAAAAGACCTGTGGCAAACAAATGCTAGCATACCATTCTGCATTAACCGTTCTTTGACCCTCAAGAGGAATAGTCGTAACACGGCCGGTTTTGGAGACAAACGTGGCCACCATTTTTTTTGCAACACTCCGTGAACCAACAATTTTTGTTGGCTTTAACTCATTTTCCACTTTTTTCCACTCCATCAGACCCACTCGACTTGCTAACGTCCAGGGAGAGGAATGCTTTGCGAACCGAGTGCTGTGTTAACCGCACATCCGGCAAGGAGCACTCACACTGCGGAATGGTCGGCGGTGTGTTCCCTCCGTCATCGAGAGTCGAGTTAGACGTAAAGAGAGAGCTTAGCAGATCGGCTTTTTATTTCCATTGCGGTATAGGCGTCAGTGAGTCGTCTTCTCTGTGCAGAGATGAAAGAGATGACTGACAGAAGTTCCCTTGGACAGCCTTGGCGAGAGACCAGAATGCACCAGAATGCAGCTTTTCGCCAATTTTGCCGATGTGCTCAGACCTTGCCTTGATAATGACTTCGTGGCGGAATTATACTTCATTCTAAAAGCGCTGGTGTATACATCCCGAGACGTTGATGCGTCAGCCAGGCACGGTAGCAGTCCTGCTTATAGCGAGACGCTATTTTACAGCAGCGACCAAACCACGGCTGAGATCTGCCTCCGATGGGCACCACAGAGGACGGAATAAAAAGTTCCGTACCATGAAGTACCACATCCGTGACAGAATCAGCAACAACGCTGGAATCGTCCGACGAGAAGCAAACCCGCCCTCAAGAGTAGGATGGAAAAAAGACCGCATCTTATCCCAATCGGTCGACCTATAGTGCCAAACACGGCGGCAACCTGCAGAATGCAACCGCGACGTTAATGTGACTGGCACCACATTCCGGACTAGAGAATGGTCCGACGAGCCTAGAAGGGGTCCACGGAAACCTGATATCCGTCCGGATGAGAGATCAGAAGAAATCCAACAGGGAAGGTGTATGATCTTCCACATCTGGAATCCGCGTAGGCAACGTAACTAGTTGTGTCAGATCATTAAAATCGCCAAGGATCACGATCTCTGCGGATGGGATCTGCTGTCGCACGGAATCTGTAGCCATTTGGACGTGTTCGATGAGCGGTCTGTTTCGGTATTACCGCTATGGGACCTATAGAGGCACCCCTAGACGGGGATGGTAGTCGCTGTCTACGCGCAGCCATAGGATGAACAGATCCGTACCTTCAAGAAAAATATCCTTTTTAATATTATTGTCATAATATTAAAACAAGCTTTTTCTTCATTTCGATCCATTTTCGTGTAGGGTGTGTCGATACGGATCGCGATACGTCATTCCAGATCGCGTCCCAGATCGTGATAAATATCACGCGAGTAACATTCGCCTAAGTGTGTCGTAATCATATCTTTGTGTTCCTTGTGTCGTAGTGCTAAAATGCGACGTGCCTCATATCCAAATGAACATATCGCCGACATCCATTTTGTTTATGGCCTGTGTGATGGAAATGCTGAAGCTGCCGTGCTGGGAGTATTGTAACAGATACCCAAATCGGCGAGTACCAAAATTATCGCACGTTTATTAACGTTCACAAATTACGTTCACAAGTTAAGTTACATCAACCGGCTCCTGAACTAGTTATGCATATTTCTGCGGAAAATGAAGAACAAGTTTTAGCTGAAATTGAACAAGACCCACGAACAAGTACTCGTCGCATCGCTGTTCGCCTAGGTAATATTAAAAAGTACTTATTTCCATACAACAAAATTGTCAAAAAAATATTTACATTTCTAATTTTAGATATGTCACATTCATATGTTTGGAGAATCCAGAATAGAGAAGGGCTGCATCCCTATCACTTCAAAAAGGTGCAAGATATCAAGGAACCTGATTATGCGGCAAGATACGTCTTCTCGGCATGGATTTACGCCAGTTCCGAAGAGACCCATCTTTTCTGCGACGTATTATGTACGTACGGGGCCAAATCCACACGAACAGGCAATACGAATTTTAGAAATCTCCACAAGTGGGCCATGGAAAAACCCGCTGATCTTATTAAGCCGGCTTCATTTTAACATCAGTTTTCTATTAATACCTGGGTTGCTATGATCGACGCCCAGCTAATTGGCTCTGTTGACATTCCACCGAATTTCAACGCTCAAACTTTTTAAATTTCTTACAAAGACAATTACCAGATTTGTTGATGGATTTACCATTATCGTACCGCCAAAGTATGTGGCTTCAAGTGGATAGTGCACCAGCCCACTTTGCAAGAAATGTCGGGGAACATCTAAATGTGCATTAAACGAGATGGATTGGACGCAATAGACCAGTAGCGTGGCCTGCGCGCTCACCCGACCTTATCCCACTTGATTTTTTCTTGTGAGGTACCATGAAACAAAAAGTTTATTTCCACGAAGTGAGTACCCGTGAGGAACTTCTTCAATTAATTAACGTAACCGTCGAAGAATTACGCGCAGATCACGCTATGTTGAAATGAGCAACAAAGCAAGTAGCCCTTCGGGCAACTGCTTGTATGGAAAATGGAAGATATTTTGAGCACGAACTTGTGTTAAAATAAGAGTATTAACATAAGAATGTTTGGTTTTTTTTTCTATCAAAATCACTTCTAGTTTTTTAGTAATTTAGGGTCATTTGTCATTACCTACCTGCCAACAGAAAAATAATTTTTTATCGCCCTCCCCTGTCGCTAAAAGGACCGCTACCTCCTCTCCGTACTCCAAAGTACTTACGTGAGGTTATTTTAAATAAACAGTAGCTCCCAAACAATTTAGATATGTGATTTTGGTATCATTTTGTCGATGATAAAATAGGTTTAAGATATTTGTTAAAAAAATATGTTAATAGGCGAGTTTTTTTTTTACTTGTAGTAACTGACAAAAATCGTATTTTTTTTTTAATTTTTATTGTAAAATGTTTAATTTTTGCTAATGTTACCAATCTCTTATCATGTTATTTATTATTTTCTATTAAAAAGGTTAACAGTGCATACAAAACACTTTTATTATTTTTTCGGTGTCAATTTTTAAAACAATCTTAATTTAAACGAATTATTATTTTATTTTTATGAAAAAAAAATTAAAATATCTGGAAAAATATTTTTTTATAATTTTTTCACCTGATAAAATAAGCTCCAGTTTCATGACTTAAAATCCCGTTATTTCAAAAAGGGTCATATTGTATAGTTCTTACTATAAAAATACTGATTGTGAAACAATATACCTAAAATAATTTAATTTTCTTGCTTTTTGAAAATTTATTTTATCTTATTTGTAATAAATAAAGCATTTTATTCGGGTTTAGTCGTGTTGTTAGGCGAACTATGTTGCGTTGCGGGAGAAATTTTTTACCTTCACCACAATACCATTCTATTTGAAAATCAGAGGACCTAGTGAAAAAGGATTTATGTCGAAAATTTGCGAAATATATCATACTATCATATTTTAATATTAATACAGTTAATAAAAATTCAAAGCAGTAAAAACTTCTTCTAGTTATAATATAGGTTTCTTATGTAAAAATCTATATTATAACTAAGAGTTAAACAGTTCAAAACATTCATATTCCCTTTCTGACCAAACCTTGTCTTACTAGAATATACAAATAAAAAGAACATACTGACCTACAGGCTGGACCCAAGTTGCAGCCGTCACATTTAATGGTTCAGGACCTTCAAGCAGCGATACAGAAAAAGATGCGCAGTTACACCTGAATAAAAGTTATTGAAATTAGTTTTAAATATCGACTCGCAACTGGATTTGGTTAAGATATTCACATACTTGAATTGTTTATTTATACGTTTCAACGTCATTTTCAGAATTGTTTCATTGGGATTAAACTAACTTTGATTGTAGCCTACAATGAGACACTTAAGACTGCGTAGCTTTCGACGAGCTACACTAAAGAGGTATAACGCAGGCTGAAGGTGCAAGAGAATGATATGTCCTATCGGCCACTGCATGTGCATCTCAGATTTTAAGATGTTGATGTAAGACGAATACAATAAATGTGGTCATTCAGTCATGTCACCACTGTGACGATTGTGGCAAGTCCTACCCCTAAAAAAATTCCAATGGGCAGCAGTAGACTAGTTACTTACTGAACATACATGGTTCAAAATTAGTAACATTTATAATGTTGTAGCATTTCAAGCAAAATTTCTCTTAACATTCAAGGTAAATATTCAATGCAATGAACATAACCTTAGATATACAATGTTCACTTTACTTACAAGTGGAAGTTGTAGAGTTCTCCAGTGACGGGATGAGTAGCCGTGAGTGCAATGTGCAAATGATGAGGTCGGCCGATGCGCGCTTGGCCAGAACTCGACACTTGTACTAGTTCTGGTGGAGCTGAAAATATCCTGGAAAAAAAAAATATAAAAATTATAAGAAATAATTTGCTTAGTTTTGGGCTTGTATTATATAGCAGCAATATATTAATCCATAATATAATACTTTACTATGTTGACAGGCGAAAGCAAATCCGCATACTATTTTTTATTTTATTTATAAATATGCTATGACCCGCCCGAGCTTCACCTGAGTAGGAACTAAAAATGTGGCTTTTTAAATTTAAGATAATCATCAAATACCATTTATTTTATCAATTTTTTTATAGGATAGGATCACAAACGAGCACACAGTCCACCTGATGGTAAGTGGTTGCTGTGGCCCATAGACATCTACATCTATCCTCCATTATGAATCAAAATGCGGATGCGTTTTCATCCATGTAGACTTAGGTGGAATGCCTCGTTTCCTTTAAAAATTGTCTCCAGTTCTCTACACTCTCCATACGAAACACAGCAGTATTAAGCTACTATTGGACGCTGGTATTCTGTGAGAGCGTGGTCCTTCCCCGGTCGAGCCGACCCATTCGTGCTACAACCATACTACTAATATAACTGCAGCATGGCAGCAATCAATTTTTCGATAAATAAACTCCAAGCTCTCCGGATGATATATTATAACCTATATTACTCCTAGCATTGATTTCTTAAATTTACGCGTACACTACACATTGAATAAAACTATATTTAAAGCACCTGAAACGTCGGGTATTAAAATAAGTTAAAATAGTTAATTAAACGTGATAAAATCCGTAAATATAGTTTTATTCACTCCTAGCATTGCTCTCTATCTGTTCATGAAGCTTCATTACAATCGGTTCAGCCAATAAAAATGGTTATTTGTGTCTTAATGTTATGCAAACAACCCTGGTGGGATGTTTTTTTTATAGGATAGAGTGACAAACGAGCACACAGTCCACCTGATGGTAAGTGTTTGCTGTGGCCCCTAGGAATTTACATCTATCCTCGATTACGAATCAAACTGCAGATGCGTTGTCACCCGTGAGGACTAAGATGAAATGCCTCGTTTCCAGTAAAAAGGGTCTGCGGTTCTTTACACTCAACATACGAAACACAGCAACATTAAGCTACTATTTCACGCTGGTATTCTGTGAGAGCGTGGTCCTTCCCCAGTCGAGCCGACCCATTCGTGTTACAACTATACTTCTAATATAACTGCAGCATGGCTCTACCACGTATAAAACCACGTATGTTTGCTGCTCAGCTCAATAAAAAGCAGATGTATTGATATTACAGACAGACACTTCTATTTAATGTTACGTATAGATAAAGCTGTTTACCTTCCATGTGCACGCACATGCGAATACTTCTTCAGCTGAACTTTGACGTCCAATTGTCCCACACCGCGTACGGTAATGACTCCCGTGGGTGCAAGCGAGAAAGAGCTCTGCGGTTGCAGCTCCGTCTCACTCTCAGACCACACTACTGGCTCATCGCCTCCGCCGCGATGTTTCAGTAACACTTCTCTGCAATAAAAAATGAACCATGTACTGGATAAAATTAAGAATCTTGTAAAGAAAAATGTATACAAGGTATGAGTGTAAACACCGTTGTCACTAAAACCATAGGTTGTTAGTTGGCTTTAATATAAAAATATTTATCCGAATTTAAAATAAAACTCTAAATTCTTTCCTAAAATTTAAAAAGTTTCTGTCCGACACCGTCCGTAAATTCATGGATACCCTATGCGCCCGAGTGACGTAATTACTGTAAAGATTACCGCCCGCCCTAGCTACCTACACAACATTCCAATGAAAACACAATAGGTACACATAAACTGTGATGTAACTTTTCCTTCATACTTTCATCCTGGCTTAGGACAGGCAAAAATTGAGGAATTAAGGAAAAATTGAGATTTTACTAAAAAAAATGTTGTTATTTTTCATTGAATTTACGTTCTATAAGTGAAACCAAACCACTGGTTTCAAGGATAACGGTGTTTACACTAACACCCTGTATTTGTTTGTTCGTCTTCCATGCGTTGATATATATTATAAAATTTATCCCATTACAATGAAATTTTATTAAGTGTGTTTGCGCTTAAATGTGTCCGGGAATGTTTCCTGCAAAAATAGTGAATATTTATTTATATGTTTTATGTGTTCCAAAATCAGTCATTCGATTACGATAAAATTTTGGTAGGTTAAATGTGCGCGCCCAAAAAGATTTCAGATAAAAAATAAGACATTGCAACATTTGCTGGATACAGCTAGTTTGCTATAAAAGCAGTATATTTCGAACGTTCCTAAAGGCTGATTTACACTTCGACAAGAACAGTAGCGAGCTACCTTGCGAAACTGGCGAGTAAAAAATCTCGTTTGAACGACAATCAGTGAGTTAAGTAGCAAATTAACAATTAAGTTAAACGGGATAGTCGGCCAGTCTATTTTTCGGCGAGTCAACTTCGAAGTGTTGCCCTTCCGCGCGTCTCCCGCCACCCGCAAATATCTCGCCGCATGTGTGAACGAGCGAAAGTTTAGTGCATAAGTTGACAAAACTCAACGTGTTTGCGTTTGACCCTCAAAATATAAAATTGTACTTTTTTAACTAAACTCGCCACGAAGACATTTAAAGGCTAGCCCAGTTAAACTTAAAATAGGTTGTGAGACTGCTGTATTTGGTTCGGCGTATCGTCCTGAATCAGTGAGTTCAGGTTCAGTTCAGCTATAGACTGTTTGAACGAGTCTCTCTCGTTTTTTATAGCGCAATATGATCAATTATTTCTTGTTGGTGACCTGAACATTGATTGTCTAAACAACGACGGCCTTCTATATACGCCTAATTGTCTCAAGACCCTTACAGATACATTTAACCTCCATCAAATCGTGAACCAGCCTACACGGATCACTTACTACGAGTACCCTGATTGATGTTATCTTTACTAGGACACATCTTAAGCCCATTTCTGTGGAGGTGACACATAATGATGATCTTAGCGATCATGGACTGATTTCAGCGAAATTTCCGCCCCCGATTCAAAAATCTAAATGTCGTTTAATTTCATACAGACCTATAGCTGAAAACACAATTGCTATAAACAATGCTGCTAAATACACGCCATGGGAGCTGGTACTAGTACAAGATAGTATCGATAATATGGTAAATACCTTTAACAATCTCGTCATTGACTTGATGGACTCATTCGCCCCTGTTCGTAAAAGCACTTTTAAACTACCCCCTGCCCCATGGATGACTGATACTCTTAGAAAAATGAAGTCAATTCGTGACAAGGCTTGCCACCGGGCCAAAACTATAAAATCGGAAAGTAGTATGCAATTTTACCGCGATCTGCGCAACTATTATAACCGAGCAGTTACTCTAGAAAAGCAGGCATATTTTACTAGGTTTGTGAATAATAATAGGTCGAATCCTTCTCAGATGTAAACGAATAATTTCACCTGCCGTAAAAAACCGTTCCATACCGGACCATCTTCTTGACCCTGATTCACTTAATAATCACTTTACAAACATCATATCATGTGCACCTCCCGACAAAAGTGTTATTCAAGAAATCGAATCACTTAAACACTCTGAAATCGAATTTCAATTTGTAGCCGTAAATGAAACGTTAGTGAAAAGTATAATTGCTTCTACAGCTACTAATGCGACCGGAACTGATGGCATCTCCATGTTGATGTTAAAACTTACGCTTACATATTCTTTGTCAACGATAGTGGCGATAGACAATAAATCTATATTGGAAGGAGTATTTCCAGAATCTTGGAAATGTGCCATCGTCACTCCCATTCCTAAAAAATCAATGGTGGATAATCTTTCTGATATAAGACCAATAAGCATTCTTCCTGCACTATCTAAAATAGTTGAAAGATGCGTTCTTTATCAAATTTCACCATATCTAGAACGTAATCAAGTACTACCTGTGATTCAATCTGGTTTTAGAAAGAATCACAGTTCAGTATCAGCTCTCTTAAATATTACTGATGATATTCTTGCTGCGTCCAATGTGGGTAAGGGAACAATTATGGTTTTGCTAGACTTCAGCCGCGCTTTCGATTGTGTTGATATATCTATTCTAATGGCAAAATTAAAATACTATGGATTCACAGAATCGGCCTGCACCTGGTTTCAATCTTATTTCCATAATCGCTGCCAAAAAGTGCAATGTTTGAATAGCCAAGGAGTTCTAAATGTCTTCAACACGCTCCCCCCTTAATAAAGGTGTTATCCAGGGTTCAATACTTGGTCCCACATTATTCGCAATTTACACGGCCAACGTTACTAAAGCTATAATTCACTCGAAAATTCACTTATATGCAGATGACAGCCAAGTATACGTTCACACAACGCCAATTGATGAGGAGGTTGTTGTTATTTCCAAGTTAAACAAAGATCTTGATTCTATTGCGGAGTGATCTTTGAAACATGGCCTGGTACTTAATCCCTTAAAGAGTGTCACCATTACCCTTGGAACAAAGCACCAGGTAAAAACGATTAATGAACGGAAGTCTCTTGTTAAGATCTTTGACACCGTCATACCTTACGAGGGTTGTGTTCGCAATTTAGGTCTCCTCATGGATGAGAATTTAAAATTTGAGCAATGTTCAGACTAAAATCGGTAAATGCTATGGTTCGTTAAAAACTTTGTAACAGTTTAGTACTATGCCACCTTCATTATTTTGATATTGTTTATGGTACATGCTTATTTAAAAAAAACTGTGAAGAATGTGCAGAGTGCAGAACGCATGTATGCGTTTTTGTTTTAATATACCGAAAAGGGATAGGATTTCACCTTATTTAGTCAGTAATGGCATTTTAAATATGTGCAATAGTACTAAATTAAAATATGCATGCTTTCTGCACACTCTGCATCACGCAAAGTCTCCAAGATATCTGTATGATAAGATAGCCGTTGAAAAAAAAAGTTTGACAAAAATGTTAATTTTTTATAACCGCCATAGAAAATTAGTAAGATAAAAAAAACTTTATTTCTTCTTAATAAAACTATTAATTTTAATTAAAATTGAAAAAATCTTATAATATCTAATTATTAATAATAACCAGTTTTGCCACTCTTTACATTAATTAAACATCGACAACGATTGTTTTGTTCATACTTAAACTGAAATTGTCTTGCTGCGGTATGAAGTTCCATATTCTTTGCAAGTGTTCGTAAAGCTGTTGTTCCGTCGTCAAATTTGGCGGGAAATCTCTCAGAGCTTTTTATTATAACATGTCTCAGTTCGTTGTAGCATGTTCAATAGGATTTAATTCGGGCGACTGTGCAGGTTAATCCAAAACTTGAATATCGTGGTCTCACAGAGCGGCCGACACCAGCTTCGCCATATGGGAAGAAGCATTATCATGCATGTGCAAAAACTCCTTGCCCATTTGGATTATGTGTGGGACAATAACAGGCTCTCCTACCTCCCCATGGTATTTTTGTGCAGTCATGCTGCCTTGGATCCAAACGAGCTGGGATCGTCCGCCAAGACGAATTCCTGCCTGCACCATGATTGTCCCGCCTTCGTATGAGTCCCTCCTGAGGGTGCCGTAGACGGCCAACTGTCCCTGGAGTTCTCCAACGCGTGTTCTTCGTGAATACGGATGAAACCCATTGTTTGTCAATCCATGGCAAATCCTCCAGAGGCCAAGAAAGCCGCTGACTGCGATTACATCGTCGCAAAGCTAAAACACGTAGCGGTTTTTGAGCATGAAGACCAACTTCATGCAACCTCCTTCGCACGGTTTGGTCGCTTACCAGCAACTGGTGGTCCTCCTAGATCCTTTGTAGTAGTTGCATCGCTGTGATATTAGGTTTTCTTCTGGCGATCATTTGAAAAAATCGATCCATCTCTTCGTAGTAACACGATATCTACCCGTTTGCCCTTCAGCCACAACTCCAGTACTGCGATAACGTGACCACAACCATGATATCACGTTTTGGCTGGTGTGTAGGATCTCAGCAGCGATGCGTTCAATAGCATCCTTTTCTAACATGCCCACAGCTCGTAACATGTCACCTCAAATCATATGACGACGTGAGATGACTCTTAAAGCTCACACGGCACGTTAAATTAAAAAAGAAAAAAATCTAACCCTTTTTCGATAATTAATATCAGTAGAACAATTTTAATTTTCCTTGACGTAACGAATTACCACCAATTTTGCCGCCTTGTAGGGTATAATATTGACCCTTGCTACTCAAAAGTATTACCAAAATTCAAAAATTCATGTCATAATAAATGGAAAGAATTTTTCAATTAATGTTCTAAAACGAAAGGAAACGAAACGTTATATAACGATACAGAGTAAAGAGTCTTGAATACCTTGGTTTATAGATACAAAATTAAATAGAAATACTATTAAATTAATATTTAGAATAAGAACAGGTCACATTCCATCAAAAAATTTTCTTATTTGATGAAAAGAACTGAATAACTAACCTAACTGTGTTTGTGGAGTAATTGGAGACTTACATCATTTTTTAATGGAATGTAAGTGGAACCGAGGGGCAAGGGAATTATTTGTAAGGACATATAAGATAAATGTGTACAATATAGGTATTGTGCAGGGCATCCTACACCTCCTCCTCCACATCGGATATTGCATTAAGTATGTGTAATTGTGTAATAACAAATGTATAGATTTTAAGTTAGCTTTAATGGGATTGACATGTTAACGAACAAAAATCCCTAAATAAAAGGAGAATAAAAAAATATTTGCCGCCGTTGTTTGTTCTTTTCTTTTTTTATTTACATTTTAAAATTTTGAAAATAGAATAAAAGAAGTTTCAATCTGTATAAATATTTTTTATGGAACCCAAATTTAAGATTAAGGTATCCATATTCTGTTGATGTGTTCATATTATAAACAATAGTATTCTATACCAAATGACATAAGTAAAATATTTTTAGAAATGCTAGTTGTTACAAATTCATCCCAATTCAGCATAATGTTATGCTGGTAATAATAAACTGATGCTGGCTTTCCGCTGAAGCCATTTGGTGGTGTCACAACACAGATGCACAACAGCATATTAAATTTTAACTTAATTCTTTCTTAATATATTATCAATGTTTAATTTTTTACAGCAATCGTTTTTAAATAACATTGTAACTACTTACTGAATGCTGTCAGTCCATGCAACAAAAAGTTCAGATGGTACAACTTCCAATGGTTCCACTGCTACTGCCGAAGCTTGTCCTTCAATCTTAAACAAAAATAATTAAAATAAAAAAAATGTTTGAGCTGTGGCAGTTTAGTAGCCCAAGATCGATCTTGGAAGCAACTAGTTTTTGACATTGGGACTTTAATGCTTTATCAGGTTGAATTTTTTAAGTATTTTTGATGCAAAGCAACAATGTATCCATTGTTGTTTAAGTTTGAATGCATGATTGGCAAGCTCGACACTTTCTATACAAACCAAGCATGTCAGTGGGCATCACTTTTTACCACCAAAAATGCATTACTACAGACAGTACCGTATGAGCTGATATTACTAAGAGGGTTTACTTTGGGCAAGGATATTTTCCACGCCACCCAAGGTTTGGCAGATTTTTCATGTCTTCGGAATATACTTTTTTTAATTTCTTAGACATTCAGTTTTTTACACAATGTTTTTATTTCACCGCTAAAATTACCACGTGTAAGTTTTCGCGTAGTAAAAGATCAATCACCATATCATTTTAAATATACTATGTACTTTTATAATTATTATTGGTACATTAACATGCTAGCAACTAACTTCACTTACGTGTTAGAGCCATGCTGCAGCTATACAATGGTTGTAGCGAATGGGTCGGCTCGACCGGGGAAGGACCACCCACACTCTCACAGAATACCAGCCTAAAATAGTAGCTCAATGCTGCTGTGTTTCGTATGGTTAGTGTAGAGAACCAGACACCCTATTTACTGGAAACGAGACATTCCATCTTCATCCTCAGGGGTGGCAACACATCTAGATTTTGATTCTTAATCAAGGATAGAGGTAGATTTCTATAGGCCATGGCATCCACATAACATCAGATGGACTGTGCTCCTTTGTCACCCATATTCTATCAAAAAAAAGCTGATGCAAGTACATCTTAATGTTTGCAGATTTTATACAATCTGTTCTTGAAGTTGTTCGCTGTAGGAGCATCAAACACATTTTGCAGTAGCTTATTCCAATCGGTGACAACATGATTTGTAATAAAATTCTTTATAGGATTTAGTTTGGCAGTCCTATGGTAGAGTTTCTCAGACATTTGTTGCTATTTAGAAAGTATAAATGTTACAGATTAGGCACATCGTAATATCCTGTCAGTACTTTGTATGCTTCAATCAGACTACCTCTCTGTCTGGGGAAATCTAGACCTGTTAGATAAAGCTTTTTCAGTCGCTTCATATGTCATAACATTGAGATATATATTTCCCATACTTTTAACAGTTTTCTATTAGCAATAACAATTGCAGAATATCAACTTAGCTAACTCTGCTATAGGTAAGTGTATATAACTTCAATAATTTACACGCCCAACTTTAGAAAAATTTTGTAGACTAGGAAGGCCCTGCCTGAAATAAACAGTTGTCTAACCAATGTTCTAATGAGAATGAACAAGCCACAGATCAGGATAGTAACAAGTGCTATCACAGGACATGGTTTTTTTTATCAATTTGTTCACCATAGGTGTTACTGATAGTCCCCTGTGCAGGGCATGCATGGGAGAGGAAGAAACGGCGGCTCACGTGTTGCTGACATGTCCAGAAGTCGCTTCATACAGGGCTAAACATCTCAACACGCCGGGAACGCTCCCCGAAGTTGCTTGCAACATCAAAGGACTGTTCAACTTCTTCGGGGAAATATCATGGCTCGAATAACTACATTATTCCTACCTACACGCAAAATACGCGCTTAGGCGTGGAGTTGCGGAAAACAGCCCATCGTAAACTAAACTGTATATAACTTGCGTAATATTACTATTTCGTTGAAAATGAAAATATATACATACATACCTTAGTCATTAAAGTCTTCCCAGCAATTGAATATAATCTTGCAGTTATTGTAAATGACCCTGAATTCTGTGCCATCGCAATTGTTATGGTACCGTTTTCAGTTGACCTTATTAAATCAATATTAGCCTCTCCTTCGACTGACAAACGAATGAGTGTTTCTTCACCAGCAGTTAAAGCATGTCCCTCAGCATCATACACTACACAATGTATCACAAACTCTTCACCATATATTACCAAATTTGCTGGTCTTAAAGTAACTCGAATGCTATCAGGTTCAGCCACTGTTAATAAAGCTGTAGCGACTTCAGTTAATCCTGACATCAGAAAGACAGTGGTTGTACCAATTTCTGTGCCTCGAACTAAGCTAATTGCATCCTCTAATTTAACCATGTTATTGTCTGGTACTCTTAAACTGTATAATGTGTCTACTACATTTTGTACAGTGAGACGGCCTGCGCGCATTCTAACGACTCTGTAACAAATATAATCAATGTGTAGTATCAATTGGAACTTACAAAACGCTTTTAATATATTTTCAATAAATATAAAATTGTAAGTATAAAATAGTAATAGTATACTTGTATAACACAGCAATGGTGTGCCCATTTGTTCTCGGTTTCCTCTTTTAATTAAATTTAATTTAAAAAAAACTTTATTGCACTTAAAATGTACAATTGGCGGACTTAATGCCTTTAGGCATTCTCTACCAGTCAACCATGGGCTAAGCAGAGAACTTTAGCAGGTGCCATAAAATATGTGGATAATTTATACGTAAATGTAAATATATAAATAGACATACCATAAGTGTAAATACAAAAATACATATACACAACTACAATTAACCTAAGTAATATATGATACATTTCATACATAATGTTTAAATAGTACATAATACATACATTTTAAGTATACTTACATACGAACATAACTAAAACAAATTAAATAATTTAAGATGTCAAGTCACATATAAGCAGAAACAAATATGAAAGTTACTTGCTGGAAGAAGAAAGGTAGTGATCAGTCACCATCCTCTTAATTGTGGCAACAGAAGTCGGTTTTCTGATATGAGGGGGTAATTTATTCCATAGCCTTATGGCCTCAGCGGCGAAAGACTGAGACATAAATTTGGTACGGCGAGGAAAAACACATAATGTAGTTCCCTCGGAGGATCGCAGGTTACGATCGTGAGAAGAACCCAAATACTGAAACTTGCATTTCAGGTATTGGGGAGTGCATGGATCATATAGGATTGAAAAAAGCGTGCGAAGAATTTTGATACATCTACGCTGATGGATAGGGAGCCATTTAAGCTTAGAACGATATATGGATACATGATCGTATTTACGAAGGCCAAAAATAAAACGGATGCAATTATTTAATAAACGATCCAATTTGCACAGAAGTAGTTGACTCACATCAGAGTAACACACATCAGCATAATCAATGAGTGGTAAAACAAGCACTCGCACCAACATAGCCTTAGTCTCGGTTGGAAGGAAATTCTTGAAACGATAAAGGCCACGCAGGGTGATTGTCACTCTCCGGCTTATTTCAGCCACCTGAGAACGCCAACTTAAATTAGCATCAATCATTAACCCAAGGTCTTTAACTACTTGACTAAGAGGAATAATTGTGCTATTGTAAACAATAGGCTCCAGTGAATTAAAATCTGATTTAGCTATACGGCGAGGCAACCGAGAATTATCGCTTGACATTTAACAGGATTGACAGCAATTCCATAATTTCTGCACCAGTCACAGATGGACTGAAGATCTAGATTTAAAATTTCGATCGCGGAGTTAACCTCTGCTGGATCAATCCGAGCGTACAGCTGTAAATCGTCAGCATACAGATGGTAGGAGCATTTGAAATTTACAGTTATGAGATTTATAAAAATAGAAAATAATAAAGGAGAAAGAATTCCGCCTTGTGGAACGCCAGTAGTAAGATCAGACCAATCAGAGAAAGACTGTTGGTTGACTTTAACTCTTTGCTGGCGACCACGAAGATAAGTTGATAACCAATCCAAAACTGACGAAGAGAAACCCATGTATTTACAGATAGCAAGAAGAATGTCATGATCAACTGTACAGAAAGCATTGGAGAAGTCAATTAATACGAGAACCGTTAATTTTGATTCCTCCATACCCTCTCGTACGTCATCAAGAACTTTAAGGAGAGCAGTGGTTGTACTATGCCCAGGACGAAAACCTGATTGCAAGGGACTAAGAAGATTATTTTTATAAATGTAGCTGGATAACTGTTTGTATGCAGCTGATTCTAAAGTCTTTGAAAGAAAGGGAAGTATAGAAATTGGTCGAAAATGGTTAACAGAACTGGGATTATTTAACTTGGCAAGTGGGAGGACAAATGCTTTACGCCAAAAAGATGGAAAAACCCCAGTAGAGAAAGAAAAATTGATGATGTGGGTAATTATTGGGAGAATGTTGTCAAGTATGGGGATAATCATATTTCTACTCACATCATCATAGCCAGTTGCTTTAGATTTAATGGAAAAAATAATTTTACGAACATCTTCATCAGTTATTGGAGAAAAAGCAAAGCAGTTTGCGTCGATTTTGGGAAGTGATGAGATAAGAGAAATAGTTCTATGTTTAATGGAATTATCGACGTTAGTTGCCGAGGAGAAGTGCTTATTAAGATCATTGAGAGATATTGACCCCATATCAGGGCCATTCTTTAGTCTACCTAACCCAAGGGAATTAAGAAATTTCCAAGTGCCGGCTGGCGAAGAGCTTATAATATTCTTATGGATATGTCGGCGTTTTGCAGCTCGAACCATCTGATTGCATCTGTTTCTGGTAGCCTTATATACATTCCAATTGGCATCACAGCGATTGTTTTTAAATCTTACAAAAGCCCGATCACGTTTTGCCATTGCTTTACGGATGTTACTGTCCATCCACGGTGCTGGGGGGCGCTTGACTTTAACATTGCGAATCGGCGCTACTGCATCGTATAACTGAAGGATATTATTAGTCAGTGTCTCTACCATATGATTTACATCTGATGTATTAAAAATATCTGACCAATCTATTGAGGCGGCTTTCCGTTTCAACAACTCCATATCCAGAGTCGCAAAGCTACGCAGACGCAGAACAGGTGCGGTAACTTTAGGCGATTTGACTCTATAGGTAATGAATAGAAAATCATGGCGCGAGAAACCAGAAGCCGAAAACTGCCCATGATTTACAACATGTTCAGTAGACGAAACGATTATCAAATCTAGGCATGAATCAGGAGTGTTAATATTAGAATGCGTGGGTCCAAGTGGGAGAATAGAGAAATTTACTGAATTCATGATCATTCGTAGTTCTCGCGATCTAGAAGAGTTCTGCAAAAGGTCAGTATTGAAGTCGCCCATAATTATGTGATGTGCGTACTCAGATGCGATATTCATGATAGCTGACTCAAGATCATGAAAATAGTTAACTGAAGGCGGAGAATATACAACTCCAAGAATAATTTTGTTTCCATTTAAGAGAACTTCTACGAAGAGATACTCAAGAGATCCAGATGCTATAGAAGGAGAAGATGCGATAACTTTATAAGGGATACCACAGCGAAGGTAGATCGACACTCCACCACCTCGGTTTCCTAGTCTATCATTTCGTAATAGCACAAAGCCGGGTATACTAAAAGAAGTCGAGAGTAGAGATGGTTTGAGTCAGGTTTCAGAGATTAAGATAGCATGGATCGTATCGGTAAAGATATCCAAAAGTTCGGAGAAATGATGTGGTAAGCTCTGCGCATTGATGTGACAAACATTGAAGTGTTTATGGGAATTTGTAAGTTGCTGAGCAATAAACATGTTTAGGCTAACCGATTCTGTTACCGAGTCTTCAGTGGATTTAAATGATTAATCTGAGTCAGAAATCGAGTAAAAAAAACCATCATCAGACATTGTATTGTAAAACGAATTACTGTAAGGTATGTAAAATAGATATGATATTAAAATATATGTATATGTATATATATATATATATATATATATATATATATATATATATATATATAAATTATAAATATGTAAATAAAAAGGCACGCAGTTAATATAGGCACTAGCCCGCCGGTCGACTGTTTACAGTAAGCAAATAAGGAGTCTACAGAAATTTATAATTATGACCAGATACAAAATCATAAACATCCAAGTATGTCTGAATATTAACGGTACAAGAATACAAAGGTAGGGTGAATTAAATTCGACATAATCTAAACAGCACAGAATTTAGATCATGTTGTGACATAACTGCTAGTAGTAAAATAATTAAAAAAAAAACATTTAAAAACATGTAAAATAAAAGAGAGAGAGAGAGAGAAGTAAAACATGCAATTATCCAATATTTCGCTTTGGTCAAAAGCCCGGTAGCTACCGATACAACATTAAATGAAAATCATTTCGTATTTAACCTATGCATGTCGTGCTATCTGCTCTCTCCCAAAAGTACTCTGTGCTATGTTTATTGTTTGCTGTTTTATGTTACTACTATTTGTTTGTTTGTTTCCTCTTTTCTCAGAGAGTTATGGAGTATTTGGTCCACCACGCATCTCCGCGGATTTTTTGCATGCACTTAAAATATTTTATTTCTCACACATGCAGATTCCCTTACAATGTTTACTAATAACCATTAATATTACAACCTATCATAAGTAGATTAGACAAAGATTACCTCATATATTTGCCCAAGTTGACATGCTTTGCAGGAGTCACTATGGTAATTTTATTTGTAGTAGCAGATAGGAATCCGCATCTCCTGGTTTGTTCCCCCCCCCCCCTCTCTACTACGTCTACCTCTTACGACATCCATGGGACAATATTGGGTAGATATTCGAGAAGTAGATAATCTTACACTACCACTACATGGTGATGTATGAGTACAAACCAACACTTAAAATACACCAGCAGCGTTTAAACTTGAAAGGCATGCAAACTATGAAATTTATGAGGAATGCTTAGCTCTTGAGGCAGTAAAAAGTAGTATCAGTAGAAAAATATTATTCTACTTGTCTACTGATTTCTTGAGTTCATAAGATTTCTTGCAAGATGCAATAAATATCCAGTCACTATTCAGTATACACTATACAGCAGAATACTGGGTAATATTCAGCTAGATACAATAATATTTATTAAAAAGTGCTTTACATAAAAAACAGTTTTTCTAAAGAGTTTTTCTTGTTACAAGAAATATTTCTACCGCCTTGCCAGCTATATCACTACAAATAAATATAGACCCTAAAACATTTTACAAATATAGTATTGTATTGGAATGGTTACATTGAATAAGGTACATAATACAGAATCATATAAATGTATCACTTACTTGTATCTCAATGTATCACCATGTGCTATAACGGCTGTGGCTGGCATTAGCGCAACACTAGCTACAACTTTTAAGTTGAAATCTGTGCAAATGTCCTCTAGACAAACTGTAACCTTGCACTCTCCCATTGCTTGTCCATACAAAAGTAATGAATGTGATTTAAGACCCTTGGCTTCCAGTTCTGCAATGCCAGGTGGAGCTTCATAGTCTGTGTCACGCCAACGTACAAAACTAATAACAAAATAAATATTAATTTTTTTTAGCAAGATATATAATTAAACTTATTTAAAACTTTTAATATTTCCTTTATTTCACAATCTCAAAGCTTCTAATTGATGTTTTTTTTTTTATAAAATAAGGGTGACAAGCGAGCACACAGTCCACCTGTTGGTAATAGGTTGCTGTAGCCCATAGACATCCATTCGGTATTCGGCAGCTTTACCGAATATTCGTATTCGGCCGAATATTCGGCTATATCACCGAACATTCATTGATTCAAACTACTTTTACGGATTTTATCGCGTTTATTTATGTTATTTTTAATACCCGACGTTTCGGGTGCTTTGCAGCACCCATGAAAAGAAAAAAAAATATAAAGAAAAAACCAACAGAATGGTACCAAAGGCCACATCGAATTGGTGTTCACTTCTTTCATAATTTAATTTGAAATAAAAGTAAAAAGTTGTGTTTTTGAGGCACTGTAGATTTATTTATAATTATAACAAATAGAAAGCTTGATACAATGTTTTTTGGAATCAAACAAAAACCATTACATTACATTAGTACATTTTACATCACTTTGGTCAGTTTCTCTAAAATAGAATCAATCAAGTCCAAATAGTTGGTTTATCACTTGTTAAACATGTACCGGCAAATTGCCCTGTACTAGATGATTCAATAAGATGTCAGGTGTGGCGGGGGAGCAGGGTCCAGCGCCAATCCCGCGTGGTTAACGATAACTAGTTTCGACACAAATTGGTTAGGCACCGAGGTAATCCTGCCGAATAATGTTTGGCTGAATATTTTGTTAGGTAAAAGTTTTAACGAACTTTCGGCCGAATATTCGTATTCGGTGAAACCCATATTCGGCCTATCTCTAATCTACATCTATCCTCATTTCCTCCCTCTGTCCCATCCTGGGACTAAGCAACTCAAGGATGTGTCGGTTCTGTTCCATAACGGAAGAAACGCCTCTACACATCAACTTAATGCGCAAACGTAACACTCATCTGGGACACTATCTTCTCCGCCCAGAAGAAGTGAAATTGCTCACGGCTAAGCAACTCCTTCGATTCATTGAAGACATAGGGCTTAGCAGTGAACTATAGCCATAGCAGCGATCACAATAGATCTTTTAGGTCGCAGTGATACTGGTCTCTTTACCTAGACCTGCATAGCTGCTCGCATATAATAATAACCTCATTTGCGAATCAAAATGCAGATGTGTTGTCAGCCGTGAGAACAAAGGTGAAATGCCTCCTTTCCAGTAAAAAGGGTCTCCAGTTCTCTACACTCATCATATGAAACATAACAGCATTAACCTGCTATTTTACGCTGGTATTCTGTGAGAACGTGGTCCTTTCCCGGTCGAGCCGACCCATTCAGGCTACTATACTAATAATATAGTGTATAATAATATATGTGATGGTAATAAAACGAATTGTATAACTATTCCTAATAGGCGGGTATAAAATATGCAAACACTTTTGCATGGCATGAAAGATTTGAGAACACTGGTACAGCTATGGTACGTTTCTAGTGCAGGCGGAAAAAGTCCATTGACCTTTGACGATATCATCGGGGTAGGCAATCTTTTTTATTTAGGTTCATTTTTTTATCCTTTTATCATTACATACATCATCAGAGTGAAGATAAGGGTGCCGAGTGCGAAGTTCTTTACAGGCACTATGTCTATCATTATATTATAAAGAAAGAAGATTATCCTGTACCTAAATGAATTTAAAAGCAAATTAATATTAATTTAAATTTATTATTTATAAATCATGATCACAATTTTCATTATTACGTTAATAATAGGTAAGTACTTTAATAAGTAGGTAGGTAGGTAGTTGTATAAAACATAACCACTTCTTGGCAGTCAGGTAAAAAGACGAACTTTTAATGCTAAGCATTCTTAAACAGCCAACCTTGAAGCATGCATAAAACTTCTCATAATAAATTGTCAGAGACACTTGACAGACTATTCATCTGTATCTATTTCAGAATCATTTTATGATGATTAAGACGTAGAAGAGTCCGTCACATTTATTGTAACCTAAAATATCGGCAGTCTTCTCTTTTTATATCCGTTTTGGATGGATATACGTCACTAAACCACATTTCTTTTACATATTTATAGATGTTTACAAACATTATTTTTTCGGTTTCCGAAATATGCGACACTTTCCGCTTCTTTCGTGGTGACGTAAAGTCTTTATGAGATTTTCATGTCGATGGACCCGACTTCATACTAATGATAATATACAAAACGTCACAAAACAATAACAAAAACTTTAATACAAAACGTAATAATACAACTAACAAAACAAACTTAATAAAAATTAAAACAACTACTATAACCGAAAATTTTAAATCTCAAACTATTTACACGCAAGCGCATCCCAAAGCAGAATGATCTATCGCACATCGCGTCGAAACAGGTTTATTATCTCTGAATGACCACTTCCTTCACCCTAACCCGTACCATGAGACACGCTTAGCGCATAACGATAAGTAATCTATAAAGAAATGTGTGGAAGCAATAACTGTCGTTATGTTTCGATGCTAACATAATACTTGAGGTCATATAAAATTAAAACTAACCCTTAGCATAACACTGCAAGACTTCAAGACACAGTTAGTTCTTTTTGCGTAGATCGGACCAAAAACAATAATTAAAAAAGCTGAATGTATGGTAGGAAGGTAAGATGTGTTATGTGTAAGTGAAACAACATGAAAGGGACAGGATGCCACATAGATGCCATATAGGTGTTTTTTTAAGAATAAGGTTATAAGGGTGACAGATGAGCACACAGTCCACCTGATGGTAAGTGGTTGCTGTAGCCTATAGACATCTACATTTATCCTCGATTAAGAATCAAAATGCAAATGCGTTGTCACCCCTGAAGATTAAGATGGAATGCCTTTACACTGACCATACGAAACACAGCAGCATCAACGCTGGTATTCTGTGAGAGCGTGGTCCTGGCCCGGTCGAACCGACCCATTTGTGCTGCAACCATATTATTTTATTCATGTTAGTTTTGGAAGCCGGTTTTTATGTTTTATTTCAAAAAAATTGTGCACGTGCTTCTTATATCACATGCTTGGCGTTGAAGGAAAATATCATGAGAAAACCTGCATGGCAGAAAAATTTGAAATTAAATATATGTCCGCCAACATGTGTTGAAGCAGTACTGCGAACACTAGTAGTGGGACATAATATACAGGCCGTAACTTTACTTTTAAGGTAAATTTTTTTACAGACTATTGAAAAAGTCATAGAGCTGCTTTGTGTTAATACATGCGCTTGTAACACTGGTAACTATAGTATTCCCATAAAGCTTTGACAGGAAATTTTTGCAGTGTTTGTAATGTGAAATCAGCCAGAAAAAACATCTTGTCACAAATTTTGAACATAAAGTAATAGAAATATTTTCAACATGGAAAAGAATTTATACTCACGCAACCAAAGGATCTTCTCCGTAATTATTACCAACATTCTCCACAGTCCAACTGAAGCTGATCCCTTCCAATGTTGAAAACTTGTTCCCTTAAAATTAACAGTTTTTCAATAATTTGCATGAAGTTTATAACAAATATTATTTTCTGATATTTTGCCAGAAATTTATGCTGTTTAGTTTTAAGTAGTATTTAAAGAATAGAATGAAACATGCTTAAGTGGGCTCTGTATATTTAAAAAACTTCTGTTTTTTTCTGTTTATTGATAATTACAATGAGGTCCCACTTTTGCATTGAAATACCTCTGTTATTGGGAATTTCCAAACAGTAATAACTGATATTAGATTTCAAATATTTTTGTGATGTTTACCCATATAATTAGGACTTCATAGCTCAATAACCCATATAAGTGAGACAATTTAATAGGGATGGGCCGAATATGGATTTCACCGAATACGAATATTCGGCCGAATGTTCAGTAAAATTTTTACCGAACCGAACATTATTCGGCAGGATTACCTAGGTACCTAACCAATTTATGTCGAAACCTGTTACCATAAAGCGCGTGGGATTAGCGCCAGAGCCTTTCTCTCGCTCCTCCGCCACACCTGACATGTTATTGCATCACCTAGTACTGAGCAAATTGCCGGCACATACTTATGTTTTGACAATTTTTGTGAGAAAAAAAGTATTCTTAGATTAGATAATTGATAAGTATGTGTTAAAATTAGTGGCAGGAGATCTACTATTTGGACCAATTTAAGAGAAACTGACGACTGTAATGTAACGTTTCTTTGTTTGATTCCAAACAAAATTTTAGCAAGCTTTCTATTTGCTATAATTGTAAATAAATCTACAGAGCCTCAAAAACATATTGTTATACAAGTAGATTTAACCCATAAATAAATATACTTTCAACAGTAAAATTATGAAAGACATGGCATTACTCAATTCGTACATTTTCATACAGTGGATACTTTGAGTACCACTTTAACGAATATTCGGTGTTTTAGCCGAATATTCGGCCGAATACGAATATTAGGTAAACCTGACAAATTTTGCCGAATACCGAATATAAAACGAATATTCGGCCCATCTCTACTTTATCAGGTTTAGGCAAGTTATGACATGCTTGTTGACAATATAATATACACTTTGTTTAACCTTTCAAACCCCAAATGGTCGGATCCGACCACGGCTATATTCCGTCAAATCGCAAGTGGTCGGATCCGAAGAAAATTTCATATTGATTCTATAATGCCAAAATTCTTCATAGAAAAGTAGTCTCTAAATATAAGTTTTAATGGTTTAAAGTGCTATGGGTGGGTGCAGTCGCAAGCTACCGCTCGGGATTTGACGGACACATGAGACTGCATGGGATTTTTAAGGGGATTGAAGGGTTAAGATAAGCATTTCTTTTATAAACATTTCTACCTCTTTATAGGATAAAAATGTACATTTCAACCTCTCATAGTGGGACTCTCTATATATATAGGACAATTGCCATGTTAACCTGCCTATTTAGGGAATTAGGTAAATGAAAAGCCTGAATAAGTGATGAAAAATTGTAGGTCCCTAGAGATCCCAGTTAACCAGGTTTCACTGTACTATAATTTATAGGATTATAAATATTAATTAAATATTTCCATAATACTGTGATAAATAAGCTAGGCCACAAAAGTTGAGGTTGGACCTTGGTGTGCAAAAAATGTTCCCTGAAAAATATAGTAATTTTTACCTTTTATACCTAACCTATTATACTTGGAAATAAACTGAAAAAAGAACCTCTCGATCATTATTTTAGACAGTTTGTGAGACTGATCATTTCTGTGCAACACAATCCGATTAATTTAGAATTGTGTTTAAGTAATTAGAACAATGATACGATACATTTATAGCTTTTAAAACAAACTCAGTATTTGCACCTTACCTTGATCATCATAAGCAACAACTTCAAAAGCTTCTGGTGCCTCTTCTAGAAAGAGCTTCCAAGTTGTACTTGTTATTTTTAAAGAACTAATTATGTCAACATCAACATCACCACGCAATATCTGAAAATTATAAAAAAAAACTCAATGTCTACATACACAGATAAAAACTTATTCTAACATTTTATAATAACATTGCTTTGAAAGTAACAAAAAATGGAACAAAATTATGTTTATATACCAATATAAACTTCAATATACTATTTACTTTACTCAACTATTAATAGCTGATATTTTAAGTAATACAGTATTAAAAATAATAAAAACATTTGTTTACAAATAATTAAGAATATAAAAAATGCAATTTCCCGCCAAAATTTATTCATATATTCTTACCTCGCCGGTGTTCACTTCTTCGGCTAGAATAATAACCGAACCAGGTGGTATACATGTTTTAGAGACCGAAACCCGAGCGGCACGAGAACAGTGACCCCAGGAATCATCGTACAGGGCTTCAAGATCAATGATGTCATCGCGAGACAAGCTCCTGCATAATAGTAATTCTGTGTAAATTTAGAAATTTAGAAATTATTAAAAGAAATGTTTATTCAACTTACCATTTATAACAACCACCTTCAATAATTTCAAAAGTGAAATTCACATATAAATTTTCAAACCATGGTAACAGCACCCTTGGAGTGTTTATTTTAGCACTTTCACAAACATATAAACTTGCAGTTAATGTTAACACAAAAAGCAAAGAGTTCTGTAATATTTCCATATTTATTCATAAAACAACAACATGAATAAAAGTAACAATATATTACTTTTAACACCTATAACCTAAATGTAATCTTGCGAATTTCAAATATCTCACAGAAATATCTACTGTTACTGTATCTGTGATACGGATGTTCGATGATCTTCGATGATAATAATTAAAACATCGATATTTTAACATCGATTTTGCAACATGAAAACATCGAAACATCGATGTCAATGAACGAATAATTAATTAATAAGAACTTGTGAACAATGCGAACCTGCGAAATCAATTTCAACTATAATAACATAATTCCTAAAGGCATCGATCACCTAAAAATATATCATTATGGTGTGTCAAACTCACTGTCAAGTGTGAACTATAATGTCACAGTTGTCACTGCTTTCGCTTTGTTATTCTCTGGTGTCGTTGTCGGTTGTCGCCTAATTACTATTTTACATATTTTTACCTTTTTTGTAACAATATGTATATATACAATTAAATTATATTTAGCTGCTTTTTGAGCTTGGAATAACGAGTTTATTGTTTGCTTGAAATTATGAAAATAAATCACTGAGCCTTCGTGAGCATAGAAAACTTCACTGCATAGTGCATTCGACTGTGCGTTTTATAAACGGCTGTGGATACTTACTGCTTGGGCTGCCTAATTAAAAATGGTGAACAAAGGTGACGGAAAAGTCTATTATTTTGTTTTTGTGAGGTTTGTTAATCCTTCCTCTATGATCATATTTTTATTTCGCGTTAGAAGTAGTTGATATAAAACCTACGTCTAAATCGTAAATAAGGTCCCACGGTAAATTTTTTCACTCCGGATTTATGAGAATACAGGAACATTTAAAGATACAAATAATAACAATCATCGGCAAAATATATAACAAATGAACTAGATATTTGTTCTTTTTCCCATTTTTTAAAATTAATGTTTGGCACTAATATTTTTATTTCATTATTAATAAACCAAAAACAATACCACTAACTTTATATTCATTTAATTTTAACTTATTAAATAGGTACATGTGCAACAACATTGATAATGGCGTAGACAGAGAAACCTATAGACTAATGATTAGCGTGGCCTCGAGTGAGAAGACGATAACGTAGTTTTAGGTTATACAATATTCTTTGTGACTTTTAAACATATTTATATATTTTTTTTATTGTTCTAAGAACTGAACTGAACAAGATTCATCATTCTTAAACTCACAAAACACTTTTTTCTCACTTAAACCAACTGTCAACTCCTTGGATCGCTACGAACTGTCAAAGTTGTTTAGCTAAGTGTAGTTTGCTAAACAAAAAACAGGTACGGAGAAAGGGATAAACAATCACACTGCTCTGTCTCATTTCTATGCAAGACGTATGCATAAATCTATCTTTTTCGTGTGCGAATGTGAAAGAAGGCGTCAATTTGTCTATAGATTTCTCTGTCTACGGATAATGGTCAACGATGTTTTGAGTAGGATAAACATCGAACATCGATGATAAGCTATCGATACCAATATCGATGTCATCGTCGATGTTTCTTCAACATCGAGCATCCCTAACCTGTGACTTTTTTAGTTTTTATTTAACTGGCTTTACGGCTCTGGGTACTAGCATATCATTTCTTTCAGAATCTTCATTTTAATTATTTTTTCTTCACAATATGCTGATGCGTAACATTGCGAAGTTTTTGGGAAATTTTGACGACAGTTCAACCCAGCGGACTGTTGATGACGACAGCCACTCAAGTTCATAAAGCGCCCAAGCGATCAAATTAACTTGAGGATTATATCAACATCAATCACTTGTTTCGTCGTTTTCTCTAATAGTTCACACAGGAAGATACTTAATTCACAAAATCACATCACTTTTACGAATGAAAATCCACTTCAAACCGTAATTCAAGCGACAAAACAGGAGCAACAGTCCGTCGTCGGCCAAGTTCCCGCCAAAACTCCGACTTTTTTAGTGTTGTTGTTACGATCATAGAGTATAGAGGTAAGGAGGATAATCTCCCATAGGAGAATAGTTGAAAATGTGTCCTTCTGTAATACTTCTGTAAGCAGTAAATTACAGTTCAAAAACTGTCCACAACAGTGCTCGAGTAGCTACAGGGTATGATAAATCGCCGTAAAATACGTAAAGAGTGATTTTAAAAAAATAATTTTGGAAGCAATAGAATAATTATTGTAAAAAGATTTATGGTGAAAGTCTTTACGACTTTTTTCTCGCGAGCATTGAGCTATAATCTATATTGCTTTCTATCTCATTTTCTCCCACAAATCTTATGAATTTATGTGTTTGTCTCTTTTTACTGTCGCTTTTTCCAGTTTCAAATCACAACAATGCTAAAGAAGCTTTCACTTCAAAATGTTTCTTATAATGATGTATATTTAAAAATTAGGACAGTAAAATATTTTATTTATTTAATATTCTTTATTGCACACCATATAAAAATACAGATTATATATACAAAAGAAGTATGTAATGGACGGTTTTATTGCTGATAGCAATTTCTTTCAGACAATTTATTTATATCATTTAGATACAAAAACAGCAACTGTAAGACATTAATTACAAAAGAAATGAACAGGTTATATGTAGCTATATTAAATAAATTATAAAGCATATACTAGATTTTTGCCCTGCAAATTCCTCTAATTGCTCATTACATTGTAAGTCTTTTATTAAATCCCAATTTATGAGAAAATACTCATAAATTATTTAGTCGATCGTTCAACAGTGTTGTCCTAGATTTGTTTTTATCCACGACATCTTGGAAAAAGAGCGCTCCGCACAAACTAATAAGAGTACTAAGCGCTTCACTTCACAGCTAGTGCTTGACAGATTTAAAAATATAACTAAGATAGTAAAGCAATTTGATAAAAAATTAACAAGTTACTTTTAATTAATTAGCATAAACATTTCATTGCAAGAAGTGGAAATTAAAAGTCAAACTTTTATACGCGTATTGTGTTGGCGAAATAAAGAAATATCGTTCACGATGTTTCCTTTTTTCTCTCATCGAATGTTATTTAATTCTTTATTAGTAATTTGTATATACTGCGTAGAAAAATGCAAAGGTCTTGTGGGTTAGTTTTTACACTAGTCAATTTCTTCAAGTGGTTGTAGGTATCGTAGTTTTCAATAAATAAAGTGACATAAATAAAGTGGCGTGTGATGCAAGGATTATATCTGAGTGTTTGAGGTTATAATTTAATTATGGATGTGTATTTTTTATTGTATGGTGCATTTATTGATGTTTTTTTAAGCTGCATGTGTTCTGAGTCCATAAAATTTATCATTTTTTTCAGAATAACATTAAAATGAGGCATAAGAAAAATCCGAGCCCACAACGACAAATATTCGCTTAAAAAGTTCTCATTTGCCGAAAAATAAAAATGCATTTAGAGGACCCTGCAGTTTTCGAAGTTTGGACGATAAATTATTCGTTCATTAGCTCAATCCTAAAAAATAATTATAAAACACATTGTACATTTTTAAGTAAATATAAGAAATCATCATATTGCACATTGTGTCGAAAAGACTTTGGTTTAACTCATGGAGGCTCGTTTTGGCCTACACCTACTACAAAAACCTATTTTTAAGATTTAAGTTTTATTGGATTTTTAAACAAAATTCTCGATTGTATTACCGTCCGTACCGATATTTGATTAACTGGAGCTGGCAATCCTCATACACGTTTCTTATAGGAGAGGAGGCAAACGAGCAAACGGCCAGCGTTGCCACTTTAGTGATTTTGTCATAAAACATAAACACTCACGCCTTTCACCCAGAGGGGTAGGCAGAGGCTACAGAATTCCATTTGGCACGATTCTGACAGACCTCTCTCGCCTCCTTCACATCCATATACCTACGCATACATGCTCGTCGGTTAAGGGTACTCCTAATTTGGCCCGTTTTCAATAAATCGCTAATTTGGTAGATAAATTTTCGCCTAGGACGTCCCTTTCCGACTCTGTCATTCACTTCTGCAACATATATAATTGTATTTTATGTTGTCCGAGACGGAGGCCCGCCGTTACTAGGTAGGGATTTCATATCAGTGTTTAAATTACAGTTAGTACCCGTAAATTATTGCGCAGATTCTGAGTTTCTGCAAAGCGGGACCCTTAGCATTCGCATTGCGTAATAAAATCAATACAGAAATCGATAGGTTGGTCGGGTTAGGTATTCTAGAACCCATTGAACATTCGGAATATGCCTCTGCCATAGTTCTTGTTCTGAAACGTGATGGATCGGTTAGGTTGTGTGTTGATTACTCTGTAAGCTTAAATAAACAATTACTGGTCGAAAAATATCCACTTCCCTCAATTAGTGATTTATTTTCAAGACTCAAGGGTCAACAGTTCAGCAAACTCGATTTGTCTATGGATATGATATAACCTGTTTGTACTATAATATATATCATAAGTGAAAATTCAAAAAAACCTTACAACCATAAACACACATCGGGGGTTATTCAGATTTACACGTCTAGTTTTCGGTCTGTGTTCAGCGCCATCTATTTTTCAACGAGCGATCGAGAGTGTGCTGTCTGGAATTGAAGGGGTTTTATGCCTCTTAGATGACATATTAGTGACCGGTAAGGATAAAGAAGAACATCTTGAAAGGCTAAACGTGGTACTTAAAGGATGACAATAGACAAAACATATAATAGATAGACAAATAATATAATGGATTACAGGATGCAAGTCTTACACTGCAGAAAGAAAAATGTAATTTCTTTCAAAATGTAATTCATTATCTAGGTTACATCATCACGAAAGACAATCGCTTAATAAAGATATCGCCAGAAAAAGTTAAAGTCATGGTTGAAGCACCAACACCTAAAAATATTAATGAACTGCAGTCGTTCCTAGGAACGACTGCAGTTCCTGTAATAGTTGATTAACTCTAGAGTTAATCAACTATTACAGGAATTTCATAAAAATGCCTCTACTATTCTCAGTCCATTATATGAATTATTAAAAAAATGAAATAAATGGGAATGGACCGACGTCCACGACACGGTGTTCCAGGATATTAAAAAGCTATTGCTATCCGATCAGGTTCATTGCACATTATGATACGTGGGCTAAGATCATATTAACCGTAGATGCTTCCCCTAGGGGTCTAGGAGCGATTTTGTCACAAGTAGGGTCTGACGGTATCGAAAAGCCTATATCGTTTGTGTCGCGTACATTAAACTCAGCAGAGAAGCAACGGCTATTATTTATGGGGTGCGACGGTTACATTAATATTTGTATGGCCGAAGTGAACCGTTCACATTACGCACGGATCATAAGCCATTCCTTTCTATTTTCGGTTCGCACAAAGACATACCAGAGATGGCGGCAAATAGATAGCAACGCTACGCTTTGTTTCTAAGTAATTATAACTTTAAAATTGAATACGTGCGTAGCGCGGACAATAGTGCGGACTATCTGTCTCGCGCAAGCTTGCCTCGGGAGAAACACGAGTGCACGTACACCGAACAGTGTCAGTGCTGCGATTGCGCATACCACCGGGCGACGTATGTTTGTTTCGTAGTAGACGGAAGCATGCCCGTTACGTTAGAAAAATTACGTGAAGAAACCAAAGGTGACGTAATATCGCAGCGAGTAATCAAAAACATTCATAATGGCTGGCTACCGAAAGAAAATGATTTATGTTTAAAACCGTATCATTTATGTAGATCACAACTATCTTACGAGAATGGATGCGTCATGCGAGGGCTCATGGTCTTCATACCCATAAATTTGTACCAAACTATTTTGAAAGAGTTGCATACTTCTCATTTAGGGATAGTTAAAAAAAATGCAGCAGCTCGTTCAAGATTTTGGTTTCCGGGTATCGATCAAGCAGTGGAATCAATGATAGACTCGTACGCCGTTTGCATACAATTACGATCTTCACCCGCGCGCGCCCCGTTAGCTCATTGGAAAACACCATCGTTCACTTTAGACAGAATACACATTGACTTCCTAGGGCCCATAAAAGGTTGCATCTATCTAGTAGTAGTAGATGCTCATACCAAATGGGTTGAATTGTACAATATGAAAACTGCTACATCTTCTTTTGCGGTCATTGATAAATTGTGTGAGTTTATGTCAAGGTTCGGAGTTCCGAAAACAATAAACAATAGTTAGTGATATTGGTACGGCCTTTTGTTCGCGAGAATTTGAGTCATTTTGTGCAAGAAATGGGGTTTCACACCTAACCTCTCCAGTCTATTACCCACCTAGTAACGGCCAGGCGGGAAGTTTTATAAAAATAGTAAAAAGGGGAATAAAGTCTTGTCTTTCGTTGGGTCATAATGCAAGGGATACCACACTTAAGTTATTGAGATATCTTATGGATTATCGTAACTCTGTCCATACCACGACGGGTTTGTCCCCTTCTCAGGTGGTATACTGTCGCAAACTAAGGTCTCGGTTAGATTTAATCAACCCTAACACATCAACATCCTCGTCACCGTCTCTTATTAATAATTGTAATAACCATCAATGTATACAACATAAGCACGGTAAAAATATAACAAAACATTTTAAGAAGGACGACATGTTTTTTATGTTTGTACATTTATGTAATACAAACATAAAAGATATGTTAATACTAAAAACATTAATACACGAAAAAAACATAATTTTACGCGAACTACACATAATCCGTTCAAGTCCGATAAAATCCGTAAATAATAGTTTTATTCAAGAATTGGAAAAGTTTTATATTTAGTAAAAGACTGTAATAATTTAGAAATAATTAAAAGACACATAAATCAGTTAATGCTTGATAAAGGACGTAAAGATGGGGGCATTAAACTCCCCTTAAACCAGGATGCTTGTGGTGCAGCTTCTTCAAGTGCAGCGAATACCACTCTCTTCTAAACGGCGGACCTGTTCCACCTGCCAGTGAGCATGTGCCTCCTGCCAGTGGGCCTGTTCCTCCTGTCCACCCCGCAGCTGCTCTTCCAATCGACGGACCTGTTCCTACTGTCGGCAAGCCTGCTCCTGCAGCATCACCATCAGAGCGCCGTGGCTGGCAGTTGGCCCTCTGACGTCTGCGGCGTTGCACCACCGAATCTTCTCTGGTCCGTCTCCTGCTGGCGTTGACTTCGGGTACGGATACCCTCCGTGTCTTTCTTTGGTAAAATCAGCATGATTTGATCCCACTTCTGACACCAATTGTTACGAGCTTAGGGTTCGTGACAATAAAAAGTGCCGATAGAAATACCAAAATTGACACTTTAATTACTGAACACCAATTAAAACTTAAATCACACTAATAATTATTCACACTTTACACTTTAGTTCACTTTATTTCACTCTGAAAGCTTCACTCGTATCGCCAATTTAATACTGCCCCGATCGCGGCCCTCAACGGCTTTAAATAGGCCTTTTCCACTGAAACATCCAGAATATTCCAGTAAATACCGGCCCTGACAAACCAGATGCAGAAAGTTCGAGTGTGGAGCCTTCTAGAAAGCTTAGCTCCTCCATTCGATACTAGATGGCGCTAGTGGGAGAGTTCTAGAAAAATCTTGACTCTCCTATTTCTGCTGTTTGATACCAGATGGCGCTAATAATCACCTACCACATACAAGGCGCTAATTATAGCGAGCAACAATATGTAACTATAATGTCATTATTTGTATTAAACTGCAACTAAGATTTACATGCATTGTAAGTTATATATAAAAATATAATATATATTCCTGTTATAATTCTTTTTTTTTTTTTGATATCTAATCGATAAGTTTTGCTTTGCTTTGTGTATCGTTAATTGCGGTTTTAAAATAAAATTAACATTGTTCCATCTCTATATTATAGATTACGTACCTACTTATCAGTAGCACATAACACTATTACTCCTAACGGAGACTAGTATATAGTGAACTGTGAACAGAGTGAACTTTTGAAAATATTGTTGGCAACATTGATTTAACGTCAAAATGAAAATGTTATAAATGGCTGCTTTGTGTTCGTCCAGTTTGTAGCTTATTTATAGTGGTGAATATAAAATAGAATGAAACGCAAAATGTGTGTTGTGATTAATGAAAAAATGCCAGAATAAAGAGGAGTATATTGTGACATTCGTTGAATTGCAATTTAATCTCCTAAAGGAGTCATGTCAGTTGACAAAGCTATAGAAATAAGAGGCAATGAGATCGATAAAATCAAACGTCGTCACAAAACTGACGACATCGTTATTGCAAAGGTGGTAAATAGAGGTGGTGAAGATACAATCCCCTATACTAAAATGGAAGAAGAAGATGAGAGCAATGGAAAACCTACGGATTTATGTTTGCAGGCCAACACTCATTTGATATCTAGTACAACAAGCAGCTTAGCTGATACTCCCGGTGATTCCGGCGTTTTATGCCTCGACAGCGAAGCTTCCGAAGCTACGAGTCAAGCGCTCATGACACACAGTCTTGTTGGTGCAGAGGAATTAGCTTGTGATAGTCAATATGATGCGATACCTTCCTGTTCTCAGGACATGATTAAAAGTACTACAAGCAGTATAATGACAAGAAGTGATATAGATAACCAAAATGTGGGTGATGATATTGTTCCTGAATTGCTTGTTGAAGCAAATAAAAAAACACCAGTTTATGAAAACTTGCCTGATGTTGTTCTCAAAGCTTTAGAAAGTGAGAAGGTCAGTACAGAAGAAGTTAGAAAACCAGCTCTCAGAACCAGTGAGCCTAAAAAGTCTCTATCTGAAGATATTGTGTATAGAAGAAAGTGTAGAAAGAAGTCACAAAGTGGGCCTAGTTCACAAAAGAAGCGTGTCTCATTCCATGAAGACATTCTTAACAATACAAAAACGGATAATATTCATATTGAACGTGGTTTCATATCATACAGACCAGACAGTTCTTACTGTGATAGATTTAGGCAAAAGAATATAATTACAGGTGATAGGTTTTCGTGGTGTGCCTCTGGTGATCAAACTCCAAAATTTGCTGCAGATGTTGCTCAACAGACCATGTCAGATATTCTTACATATGGTGATGCTAAACATGATAGAAGTGGAATATTTGAATATTGTCAAGATAATCCAGGAATTCAAGGCACTAACAACAAGGACAAAGACAATAATAACGAAACACAACCAAGTGGAAAACTTTATGGTTGCGACTCTAATAGCTCAGATTCAAACTTTAGTTGTGACTCAGAGTCTTCGTCAAGTGATTCATCTTCTTCTCATTCTAATAAAACTGAAACATCACCAGTACATATAAAATGTGATAAAACACAAAAATCCTACTCATGTGATGAATTCGCTAATAATAATGGACATGTAGCATCTTTCATGAGAAAAACCTACTTTTCTGAAGCTGATATTGATCAAAACCATGACCGGATGAAAAAACCGTTAGAAGTTTCACAAAGCCCAAATACAGTAAAATCTGTCCTAAAAAAGAAACGTTACATAACAACAAATATAGTTGAAGAGAGAAAACAAAATAATAGAGTCTTAAATTTACTTGATGCAAATAACATTATAGATTCTCTGAAAAATTTTTACAAAAATTTCAACTTTAATTTCACTCCAGAAAAAGGCCTTCCAGAAACCAGTTTAGAAATTAACAATGTTGTAGAAGCATTACCTTGTGATGTTAATCAAAACAAAAAACTTTCTAAAAGTCTAGATTCAGGTTTTCAAATTGATGATGAAGAGGACTTTGTTGAAATAAATCTAAACTTGCAACCAGATACCGAAAAACATAAAGAAATAATTAATAGTCCAAAAAACCCTATTGCTGGTTATAGAACCCCTAATGAAGGTTCTCCACGTCACAAATTGACTTTAAATATGTCAGCACAACATGACAAGAGGCTTGTCAATAAAGCTGAGGCATTCCCACCTTTAGGTAAATATGTTGTTAACTGTGAAAGCACTGTTTATGAACACAAAGGTGTATCATACAGTTATGTCCATGACACTTTTCAGACGGCTTTTGATGCACCCAAAGAAACATTTGTTCCTATCCCTGAGACTACACCAGTAATGGAACTTGTCACAAGTGCTAGTAAGACTGATTTAAATATGAAACAAACTGATGACACATCAAGTAAAACATCCACACCAAAGAGGCAGTTCAATAAAAATGTGCAAGATGAGACTGAACAAAAGAATGGTGTTTCAAAACACTTGTCTTCACCAAAGAAACAAAATGTCAATAGATATAGTCGTAAATGTGCATCAACAGTCCAGAAAATACCAGATGATACTACTCAAGCAAATAGCGACAACTGCTCAAATACGGACAATTCTACACTGAAAGGAGCTGATGATTTTAATGAAGAATATTTTGATAGTCCAGCCAATCAAAAATTGCAAACAAACAAGTCTGCTTTGCTCAATAGATACTTGAAAAATGTTTGTCAGAAGAAAGACCTTGAACTCAAAATAAAAAATAATAAGTTCTTTCAATTTAAATTACGTATGGAAAAAGAGTTTCCATGTATTATATTCCCATTTAAAGATGTGTCAGAGACATTTAATATCTCTGCTCAAAAAATGTCACGTCTCATAGACAAAGAAGTGATAGAGAACAAAAGGCTTTCAGTTCGTCTGCTGACAGCTGATGAGCCATCATACTTTGACAGTTTTGAGGACAATGTAGCAATTGAATGCAGTGAGAAACTGAGACTCCAGCTATTTTCCTATCCCAACGAGACCTTAAACAGGGTATGTTAAAATCACAGCCATTTATTTGTTAAAAGTAAAATGACATACTATATGAGTTCCAGTATTGGGCACAGGTCTCATCTTATGCTGCTCCAGTGAATGTTGGAGTACTTCTTTTCTTATAGAATAAGAGTGACAAACGAGCACACAGTCCGCCTGATGGTAAGTGGATGCTGGGGCCCATAGACATCTACATTTATCCTCAATTAAGAATCAAAATGTAGATGCGTTGTCACCCCTGAGGACTAAAATGGAATTCCTTGTTTCCAGTATCATGCTCATCTCCTATTTCAGTTTCCCCCTGTTGCCTCTTTTGACACTCATGGGATGATATGGGGAGTGGATATTCTTACTTTATTTTTTGGGAGTAGACTTAGTACAACTCATGGCACTTAACTCTAGCAGTGGACGAAACGTGGAGGGGATAGCTGCAAATGTCATATCAGTATGGGATACGGAATGCGACTGGAAAGCCAGTCAGCGCGTGCGAATGATACGTACAGCCAATCATACGCAATAATGCGTAATACAGCCAATTATGCGCAATAACGGTCACCGCTAGACTTTCATGCCGCGAGTTGTGTTAACATATTATCTAAAATGTGCATAAACATATTAGTAGTTGTTATATCCAGTAAAACACCGTAATTTAGGTAAATACGTGTATTGTGCTAGGTAGCAAAACTAATGACAAACTAGTTGATTTAACTAACATTATTTCTTAACAATGTTATGTAAGTACCCACATTCATAACTATTTATTACAATCCAATATATATAACAGTAGTATAGTTGTAGCACGAATGGGTCGGCTCGACCGGGGAAGGACCACGCTTTAACGGAATACCAGAGTAAAATAGTGGCTTAATGCTGCTGTGTTTCGTATGGTGAGTGTAGAGCACCGGAAACCCTTTTTACTGGAAATGAGGCATTCCGTCTTAGTCTTCACGGGTGACAACGCATCTGCATTTTGATTCGTGATTGAGGATAGATGTAGATGTCTATGAGCCACAGCAACCACTTACCATCAGGGGGACAGTGTGCCCATTTGTCACCCTATCCTATAAAAAAACACTTATGTGACTACACTACTAAATACTGCCTATTTATAGAGAACTAAGCAAAATAAAAATAGTAACTATTCTATTGTCTACTGTGATGAGCTGATGAACTACTGTGAATTTGTGTGTTGGCGGCATATGAGTATCCATTGCCTCATTTGTTTTGTGGTTCTCGTAAGCGGCGACTTTGGATAGTTCCAGGTGTCATAGCCGCCAAAAGATGGTGGTGTAGTCATATTTTAAATAGTCAAATACTCATACCAGCTATGGAGGGTAGCGTCAAATGTGATAGGTCAAAAATAACAACCTACAAACTTACAATCCACCTGATGGAAAGTGGCTACTGCGGCCCATCGACACCTGAAACCATCTTCAAATCAAGAAGGCTACAAATGCATTGCCATCTCTGAGGACTATGATGGAATGCCTCACAGTCTGTAATTATACTGGCTCTCTTTAAAAACTCTGACACTTCACATGACAATATGCTATTAGTACTCTGTGACCCATTCGTGCTACAAACATAATATAGCTGCAGCGTGGCTCTACCATGTAAAATCTACATGTAATATGTGTAGTAAATTATAAAATTAACACAATATGTGGAATAAATATACATTTGTTCTTTAAATTACAAACACTGAACCAATTATCTACGCATCAAAGTTAGAAACTCGTAATTGCTACATTTTCGGGTTGATCAAATTTGAAATAATTTTGAAAGAATTTGGTTGTTATAGCAATTCCTCCTCACAACAGCGATAGTAGCGTAATGTTTATACAGTATCCTATGTAATATTTTAAGCTGACCACGAATATTAGTAATGTTAATATCATTGCTAATACTTTTTTTAAAGTAAAAAAGATGGCAGGGTGTGGAATGGGAACTCAAAAGGTTGTGGGTTCGAATCCACCGTTTGACTACTGTGGTGAACCACTCCTAACAAGCATTTTATGTTTACCAGGAGTGGTTAAATGGAATATTAGCAATGTTCATAGCAATGCTAGTATTTAAAAAAAAACAGGAAAGGCCCATGTCTAGCTGTGGACTTTTCCAGGTTTTTGAAAAAAAATGAAAACGTCGGCGTCATTAGCGCGCCTCCCTCTGAAGTTTTGTTACCCTGTACACTTTATTGAAATGCAGGCGTTATTAAGAATTCCGGGAAGAGGCAACTGTGAAACATGCTGCTTGCACTGTTGTACGAGGTGTGCTAACAAATATGTGATATATCAGAGCCCATGACAACCTGACGGCATTAATTTTAATTGTGATAAATAAAGATGAACATGGTTCTATTAGAATTATCTTACACAGACTGTGGATACATAATTTTCACTTATTGTACAATTTTTTAAATGTATCTGTGAATGTTTCCAAACACCGCTGGATCATAGCAATAAGTTTGACTCCCATAGCTCATTTGCTATTGCTATCCTAAAAATATTATGTGTTGATTAAAAAATACCAATTTTTTTTAATAATGAAAGTAGTTATGAGTAAATAACAACAATAACATGGAACATTTTTATTACTTATAATAAATTTTACAATCTTATTAATTATTAGAGATTGTATAATAGCTAGAGGACTTAATACTCTAATTATTTTTTAAATTGATTGAATTGGAAAATATTTTTTATTATTTGCTTGATTAGTTGTTTGTGAACACGGACATTTCAAATCTTATTCTTAGAGTTAAATGTATCTTTTAAAAACGTGGTGTTAAGGCCTTTTCTGTATACATAACTTATGAACAAGCATCTAGGCTCATCTTAATTATTTGTAGGCCTAGCAAACACTTGTTCTGCTGCCAATCTCTTAGCCACTCCACTACTGAGCCGTTAGTATTATATACTCTTTATCATCATTATTTCATCTTATATTTTATGAAAAGATATCCCTAATAATGAAAATCATAATAATATATTTTGTTATAGATGATGAAAGTACAGTCCCCTTACAACATGGAAGATGGGTCTTGGACTCCATTACTTGTCTTTATTACTGACTACGCGCTTTACGTAGCTGATGTAAAACCCGGCGGCACCGAGTACGAGTTGCTGTGTCGACTGCCTCATAACGAATTGGACGCTATTGCTGTAAGTATATGGTAAACGCTTAAAGTTAACAAATAAATAAATAAATAAAAAAGAGCCCCCCTTCACAAAAGAGCACAATCTTGTACGAAAATGTAGTAAATTTTACAGGTACGCATTGTGTTCGTTTTTATGAAAATTAGCACTGCTATTAGAATTTCTAAGAAGAAGTTCTTTATTGAAGAGCGTTTTTCAGGTTGGTCCGGAAGCGCAATATATCCAGGTTGTAGATACCGCCGGGAACATTGCTTGTTCCGTGGTAACTGCTGAAGGATCATTAGGGGGCCGACTTGCTTCTTCATTAGAATGGAGTGCACGAACGTCACCACTGCGAATCCAACGTCCGCCAGCCATGTTGCCTTTAAGTTGTTGGCACCTCGCCTCCGCCGTCACGAGGAAACGTCACGAGAAACGGGTGAGAGGAAGTCATATTTTAGAAGTTCATGCAATGTATCTTTAATATGATTAATGGGAGAACCGAAATAGTATGAACATTCAACAAACTCATTGCATACAATTGTAATTCGAACCCATTCCAGCAGATAGCGACATCTAGGTCTGAAGTGGTAGAGCCATGCTGCAGTTATGTTAGAAATATAGTTGTAACACGAATATGTCGGCTCGACCAAGGAAGGGCCATTCTCTCACTGAATACCATCGTAAAATAGCAGTTTAATGCTGCTGTGTTTCGGAAGTGTAGGTCACCGGAGATCTTTTTACTGGATACGAGGTATTCCATCTTAGTCCTCAGGGGTGACAACGCATCTGCATTTTTTATTCTTAATCGAGGATAAGTGTAAATGTCTGTGGGCCACAGCATCCACTTACCATCAGGTGGACTGTGTGCTCCTTTGTCAATTGTCACCCTTATTCTGTAAGAAAAAAGTATTGTGTGTATCTGATGTAGTGTCTACTAATAAATGCAGTCTTTCTGCATATAAAAAATGCATTTTTAACATTAAAATCGCAACAGAATTGACAGTCTACCTGATATTAAATGGCTACTAGCCTATGGCCACTTGCAATGAATACTGAATAGGTACGAAATACGACCGGCACAGGCCTCTTCTTATCCCTGAGAGGCATTCACCGCGCTGACCCATTGCGTGTTGACCGTCCCTACATGTTTTTCTATAATAAAGTACCTGGGTGACCGAGCTTTCCTCGGTATTTTTTTTGAAATCATATTTAGATACTAATTACATACTCATGAAACATGAATAACATTTTTTGATCTTATTGAAATAATAGAAAAAACTGAATAAAAAATCATGAGTGCAATTAGTTTAATTAAAATTTTCGTATTTTTATACTAAAAAGAGCCCGAAATAATAGATTTTCTTACAAAAGAAGGGAACTTGAAAAAAAAGGAAAAAAGTCGGACCGAAACAGGACGCGAACCAGGGCACTAGGATTTCAGGACGGCCCGATATCCACTTGAGCTATTACGCTTAGTGAAACATTTCCTTCTTGTATTGAAGCAGTTTGTCATTGCCTGAAAACACGGACAAAACGACATTTTCTAAAAATGAATCCTAGCTAGATCGATTTATTGCCCTCGAAGCCCCCTAGACACTAAATTTTATGAAAATTGTTGGAGCAGCCGTTTCCGAGATTCCGATAAAAAAAAAAAATATATATATATATATAAATGCTCGATGTTAGAAAAAATTACTCCTGGATGAAACCTATCTAGATAAACTTGGAAAGTAAAACAATATCTGAATACAAAATTTTATCTAAACCGTTAGAACTGACTGAGGCCGCACATTACTCGGCGTTAGAAACATAATATACTTCTCTCAGGAATAACACTTATCTAAAAAAAAAGTAAAACATTAATCTATGTACCAAATTTTATCCAAATCCTTGGAACCATTTCCGAGAAACAAGTTATATATAGTGTACTTATTATACATATTTTATATTTTTCTTTTTATTCTAATTATTCAAAAAGTTTTAAGTAGGTTTCATCGTATATCTATAAAAGATTTTCTGTAAAAATACTGTAATCAAATATTTTTACACAGTGTGCTTGTTGGTCAGTCTTATTTTATGAATAAATACAAAAATTGCTCGTTTACATACATAAAGGAAAACAAATATACAAAATAATTAATTATCTTGTATTTATTTAAAAGGGGAATTTGTTCCCCTTCTGAATAAATTACATACAGAAACTATTTTTATAGTGCTGCTCTAATGGAAATCGTAAAAAAATACAAATAGCATTATGTTCTGTAAAAAATGTTCCATTTTTTAATGCACTCTAATTAAAACAACCCCTACATTATTTGGTAATTAAAAATACTTATAGTGATTTAATGTTGGATGATCCTTTTTATCTATTTTATACTTTTCATGTTTCGAATGTTTTGCAGCATCCATAATTAAGTAGTTTCGTAATTTTTTTAAATGTTGTATTTTTCATGTAAACATTAGAAAATGAACAGTCATTATTATGCTAATCTTTCTTACACACTTAGTATTATTGTAGAAAATCTGCAAAATGAAAGCGTGACAAATGATTTTCAAGGTCATGTCTAATGACTATACCTACGTAATCTGCGCATTTATATCCGCTTCTTGTCTACATTTGAAGAACACTGCAAACAAAATAATGTAACCATAACAAGAAAAAATATAGTAAACTCAAAGAGATACTCATTTGGCTTAACCTATATCCATGTATTATAAAGGAAAACTTAGAAAATAAAACCGCATGAAGAATCTGACTAAATTTCAGATGAAGTATTATCAAACTACGCGTTTCATATAACTTAAAAAATATTATTCGGAGCCGCTCTATATTAGTTGAAGGTTCATCTTAGCATGTCGAAGGCGAATCTAATGTAATGTAGTCTCGAAATAGGGAAATACCAATTTCGTGAAAATGAACACCTCCAAAACACTAACACGTCTCTTCACCGCAAAAAGGAGCTGAATCACTTTTGCGCCTTCTTTTCAAAATGTATTGTTAGAATTCACCGACCGCCTTCAGTTGCTAGGGATAGAGGTTTCTTTCGAATCTGAACTTTAAAAAGTTCATTTAGTCCAGAGCCTTAACAGCTGCAAGGCAATTAGGGCATAGTTGCTTTAGGTATATAAAAGCAAGAGCGGTCATACGAAATGTAACCTAGCGGCTTTGGCCTCAACGGAAATGCGTGCTAAGAGGCTTATTGTAGACACCAATATGGTTAAAACTAACATTACCAGTCTTGAGCATAGGCGCAAAGAAGCCAGCCTTTCGGTGTTTTACAAGATATATTTCACCATCGCACATCGCGACAAAACTCGTGATACCATCCATACCATCTGGATGACTGGCGCTCCACCACCGTGCGATTTAAAAGAAGTTTTCTTCCTCGCACAACTTCCTTGTGTTCCTGTAATCTACTACCACCAGAGATTTTTCCGGACCGATACGACTTAGGGACCTTTAAGAAGAGAGCCTACTCCTTTTTAAAAGGCCGGCAACGCATCTGCAATTCCCCTGGTGTTTCAGTGTTCATGGGCGGCGGGAATCACTTACCATCAGGTGAGCCGTATGCTCGTCTGCTCCCTCTCCTATAAAAAAAATACATTATAGAGAGTGTGTGCAGAAATTGCATAACTTAATTCTTGCCTGCCTCTCCATTCTTTAGACCCTTCCTTAGTTGACAATGAAGAATTAAAAGTGATTGTGGAAGCGGATCCATCGCAAGCCACGTCAGTGTTAGCGGCAGGCCTCGGTGTGAGTGACAATACAATATTAATTCACTTGAAACAAATTGGAAAAGTGAATAAGCTCGATGAATTGGTACCGTATGAATAATTTAGTGAAGCACACCAACAAACCTGCGTCGAGCGCTGAGTTACATTACTCAACCCTCACAATAACGTGGTGATTTGGTATCGTATCGTTACTTGGGATGAAAACTGAATCCTGTGCGATAATCGGAAACGCTCATCACCATGCTTGAACCCAGAAGAACCGACCCAATCCTGCCTCGAGCGAAAATTGACTCAGTATAAAGTACTGGTAAGTGTCTGGCGGACCAGTGCTGGTATCATCTACTACAGCTTCCTAAGTTGTGACCAAGCTACGATGGAAAAGTTAGGCTTTAACTATGACCCGAGACAGGTCAAGTGCTCTAGCTCACTGCTGCTTCAGGACAACAATAGTCACACACTATGCAACAGACGGCCGCTAAATTGAGGAGTTGCAATTGGAATGTTCACGACACGCGTCATAGTCTCTTGACCTTGCTTGGACAGATTACCACTTTTTCCAGAATTTGGACAATGTCTTGCAAGGAAAAAAAATCAACACAATTTTTCTGCAAAGGAAGCAATGAACCTATAAAATGACGAAATTGCATAGGCAGACAATGGTACATACTTCCATTTTTTTTATTTTTGTCTTTTCCATATAAACCGCTAATTTACAATAATTATATTATGTAAGGACCTAATATAACGGCCATGTCACACCTATGCCGCTATTTATTGGGAGCACCACTCTCAAAGTTGTTGGCAAGTATGTTTACCTAGGACAAATTGCCTGACTAGAGAAGTCGAACTTCGACCGAGAGGTCGATAGACGGACACAGCACGGTTGGCCAGCGTTGGGTAGATTACGGCACATCTCGTCACGTATAAATGTAGTGACGACCTTTCGAGACACATGCAGGTAGTCAATGGATGCAAGTGACTTTGGACCGTACTTTGCGACATTCTTTGGGGGAAGCCTAGGAATGCCAGATCGGAAGACCAAAATATCAGGACAAAATTTGAAAATGTCTGGATTTTGGGGTTGCTGTCGGGAGAAATAAATATTAAAAATAAAAATGTAAAATAAAAAGTTTATTTTTTAAATCAATAGGCTACAAAAAGACCTGTGGCGGCGCTGTCGTCGCGCCACAAGCGAAACACACCGAAGCCTAAATCGCGCTACCAAAGTTCCGAATCAAAAACAGTATATATAGAACAGCTCCGAACTATCACACGGAGTGTTAGCCGCTGCCCGGGCAGAACACCTTGCCCGGCGGGAGATCTCCCCTTTTCCTTCCACGGCCACAGTGGTGACCAACCGACGTGATCTGAACACGCAACCATTAACCTTCGAAAATTACAACTTCAAGCCTTCGTCATTATCCTCGAGAACCCCTATCGTTTACTACTAAGAATCGTCTTCTGCAGTCTTCAGTTTCTGCAAGCCAGTCCAACTTGTCTTCATCTCGACTCACCGCAGATTTATAAGGCAGACTTCTGGCACTTGCTCCGGCACATCGTTCTCACCGGCATCACTTGCCAGTGCGTAGTACGGCATACATTACACATCGGCATATCATTCGCACCGGTAGGTATCACTTGCCCTTACGCACACAGCATGCATTCCATTATTGACATTTCATAACATTGTTGACAGGTTGACACATAACTAATTTAAGTACGCAAAACTTTTGGGTTGTTTCATGTATTTGGCGTTGGACTTTACTGAGTCCAACAAATTGGATACTTTAGTAGTATTCAGAAAAGATTTGAAATTCACACGATTTACTTCAAAGTTCAGTCTAATTACTAACTCAGCTTTTATTAAATCAAAGGCAGCTGTGATGTAAAGACAAACTGTTTGTCTGGAGAATCTCTAGGGGAGATTTTGAGTTGTGTGGGGGGAGTCTGGAGATCATTTAAAATGTCGGGAGAACTCAGACGAATCCCGACCATCTGGCAACCCTAGGCTATATTCATCAGTGAACTTGTGATGGGCATTTATGATAATGATGATTACCTATTATTATTGTAAGAAATTATAAAATATAAATAGGTACATAAATAATGTAAATAGATATAAATGGCGTATCGAGTGGTAGAAGTTAGACATAACTAGGTATTAAAAATCAGTAAGTTTTACAGTAAGCGGTACCGCAACCTTGTAGCATTAGGTCAATGTAACGTCTACCGTCCTATGGTATGGCTCGCCAATCAGTGTAGTAGAACAAATTAGATATTTGTTACTTTCATTTTTTGACCTTAAATGTATGATAGAAACAAGCGGTAAAATTAAAAAAAAATTATTTAACCGGCTTCAATATAAACAAATGTTAAAATAAAAAATATCTATAATCGACTTCAATATAAATAAAATGAGAACATCATAGAATACTATAATATACAATAGAATGACTGTCAACCTTATTTTGTACGAGGGTCGGCGTCACCGGGAGCACACATATAAGCAATTACGTCGTATTATCACTACTACAAACCCAATTCGCTGTATTGGCAGACTGAGTAAATGTAAACATTTTAGACTTTTCATTAATGTTCAAGATCATCATTAAAAAATTGTTTAAATTTTAATACATATTTATTTGTAAATAGTGTGCAATTTGGCATTTTCTAAATAATTTTCATGCGAAATTTGGAAATGATTGTAACGTCAAAACACATCTCGTGTTGACAGTTATACGAGTACGTGTGAATTGACATGTTAGTGACATTTTAGTGACTACACGGGCTCCGCCCACTCCCCCGTTCTATTATATATGTATTATAGTATTCTATGGAAAATATCAATAATGTCGGCGAAGTTAATTAAATATGCATTAGTAAGGATACCTAACTAGAAAGGATACCTAACTACTGGTTAGATCGTGATCAAATTTATATAGGACCACATGAGAAGCACCAGCTTCCAAATTAAAAGAATCATCAAAATCGGTTTACCTAGAAAAAAGTTCTGAGGTGACACATAAAAAAAATAAAAAAATACAGTCGTATTGAGAACCTCTTCCTTTTTTTGAAGTCGGATGAATATAGTTTGCATGTTAATTTTTTTTGTTGGACTTGGGCTTAGACGAAATAGAGGAAAATTAATTAAGAACAATACCCAACTTTTAAATGTTAATTTTTATATTGAGCTAAAACTTTCTTTATTCTAATTGTTTAATACATCATTAGTGTATGCACTAGTATTTGTTTAAAGTATCTGTAATTACTTAAGTAATATTTTTAATGTTTGTATCTCAAGATTTATAGAATAAGGGTGACAAACGAGCACACAGTCCATCTGATGGTAAGTGAATGCTGTGGCCCATAGAAATCTATATTTAACCTGGATTAAGAATCAAAATTCAAAATGCAGATGCGATGTCCCCTGAGGACCAAGAATGCCTCGATTCCAATAAAACGTGTCTCCGGTTCTCTACACTCACCATACGAAACACAGCAGCATTAACGCTATTTTACGCTGGTATTATGTGAGTGCATGGTCCTACCACGGTCGAGCCGAACAATTCGTGCTACTACCATAATATAGCTGCAGCGTGGCTTTACCACGTATAAAAGAAGCTCTACAGTCACAAGCAGTTTCTTGTTAACTTAATTTGCATTTGGGCTATGATTTAGTATTAAGATATTGTTTAGTTAATATTTAGGTACCTAATATATTTTTTTTTGCATTCGTTTCATTTATATCCTTGGGCCCTTTAATAGCGACGAATGATTATCATATAAGATCCACTTTTCATCACAAAATATTTAACCTTTACACCTTATAGCCGTTTCATTCAGAAACCCCTCACTTCTGTGATTTCAACAAATTTACTTAAGCTTGGTGTAATAATAGCGTTATAACACCTAATGATGTACGTTCTTTGAATAAATATTTTTAAACGCTTAAATTTTAGCAAAATCTAGACAAATTTTTATTTTGAACAGTCACAAGTAAATGCTACTTCACTACACTCTTACTTCTACAATATTACTACATGTAGATAAATATTAACTAAAGTGTTCTTTATCAGGTGCCGGAAATTTTATACTACGGAAGAGCGTGTTCAGGTGACGCAGGCGATAGATATTTCGAAGCCCCAGGGGCGTTTGCGCCCCCACTTGAAGGATACCTAATGTGTAGAACCGACAAGAGCAAACGATTTGAACCTAGCTATTTTTTACTCAGGTGAGACCTTTGTTTTCATTTCTTAGCGGCGGCACTAAGGACCGTTAAAGAAAATTAATAACCTGTATCATCTTTAAAACGAACTTAAAAGTAATTTAAGTTTCTAAATAATTTAACTGAGGCTATAAAAGGCCTAACTACTTGATGGAATTACCAATGGCCCAGTAGTGAAGAAAACAGCGTGAGGAAACCTGCATATCTAAGAATGAGAATATTTCGACGACGTGTGAAGTCTTCCTATACGTACTGGAGCAGTACTGCGGACTAATTGCTCTATAATCCTTTCAGAAATGAGAAGAGGCCTGTGCCCAGCTGTGGGATGTATATAGGCTGTAACTTTACTTTTTACAGAATAATTTAGTTATAATATACAAATCATTATCATCGCCGTGTAGTAAAAGAACTACCCCATGTCGTCCCGTGGGTGTCGTAGGAGGCGACAGAGGGAAACTGAGACAGGAGATGAGCACTGAGCAGCAGCATCTGCCTGATAACAACTTAATATTATGCCAAATATTCTCGTTTAAGGCGACACTCCGACCAAAACCATGCGATAGTGCGTTTTCCAGAGACTATTATCTCATTAGTCATGAGAAATAAACTACATCTAAAAGCACATTATTAATGTTCGAAATCCTATTATCACATTCCACGTTCTAATTTGTTTTTATGTGTTATAAATATAATTAAAATCAACTTTTAAAAATGACTAAAGTTATTGATTACATGCATCTGTTCCTAAAGACAACGCTCTAATCATTTGAGGATTACACTAACAAATAGATAATTTAAAAATCTATATTATTCACGTTTTATTTAATTTCTTAAGTTCGCTTTTCTTTTTTAATTGGGATAATTTCAAAATTTGGGCGTATTTCTTACGCGATATATTGTAGCGACAGCGCGTCGATTGTATAGGACCGAACGCTCAAGGTCGTTCGCTAGGGGTAACGCCTTAAATATACTTTAATATATAATCCACATAAAGTATTTTCGTTTATAATTTTTCTATACATTAGTTCATCAGAAAACATTAAGTGATTTGTTCTACCGAACTAATCTTAGGAATTATTAAAGCTACTGTTTACATAATATATATTCATACATTAGTAGAGATAAGTGAACTTTACTTAATCATAATATGTATTTCAAACAATACTTGATACAAGTTCATTGCCTACAATAACAGTCTCAGTTCACTGCAAAAAGAATCTCGTTAATAATATATGCTATTATTTTTACAACTTTCTTTATTGATATATAAATTTACTGAATGAAAACTGAATATCTTAGAGGGTTTGATATCTTATTTTTTAGTTCCTATGAGGCTGTTAATCCGATACCACGTTATTTGATTAGATTTCCTTTAATCGACTAAATTACCTGTGTGTATAATAGAACATTAATGTTTAAAGTTTTTCTTGTTAATTTGACTAAAGAAGATAGAGAATGTACTTTTTCTGTAATGTGTGCATAAAGATAACGTTTAATGACGTGTTTTTATGAAATTTTAGTAAAAGTTATTAGTTTAATTCGTAAATATTTATTTGGTCACATTTATGTACACTGCAAAGTTGATTGAATTATTACTATTTATATTGGATGATTTTTTACCGTCTGGAAAAAAATAGGCTGTATGAGGTGAACGGAATAGAACCATATGGCACAGATATTTTACAATTTTTATTTTATTTTACATTGACGTATAAAATTGATCTATCGATAAATACTACACAGTCCATTTAATGGTAAGTGGTTACTGTGACTCTTCACATCTAAATGAAGTTCCGAATCAAAATGCAGATGCGTTATCACCCGTGAGGACTGAGATGCAATACCTCCTGTTTCCAATAAACAGGGTATCCAATTCTCTATACTCACCATACGAAACAGAGCAACGTTAAGCTACTATTTTACGCTGATATTCTCCGAGAGCTTGGTCCTACCCTGGTCGAGTCGACCTATTCGTGCTACAACTATACTACTAACATAGCTGTAGCATGGTTCTACCACGTTAATTGCTTTCCGAGGCACAAGGGTGAAACACCTACACCCCCAATAACTGATTTTGGCCTGACTCGGAATCCGAACCCAGGGCCTCATAATTGGCAACTGTATTTACGACCACTGAAGCAAAATGACTTTCGGATCTGAGACGTGGTCCTTCACTGCTGGCGGTATGAGGATGCTCAAAGTCGCTCAGCGAGCTATGAAGAGGGCTATGCTCGGGGTTACTCTGAGTGATAAACTTTGAATTAGATATCCGCAGTAGAACCAGAGTGACTGTCATAGCCCAACGGATTTAAGCTGCTGAAGTGGCAATGGGCCGGACATATAGCTCTAAGAACTGACAACCGATGGGGAAAAAAGGTTCTCGAGTGGCAGCCTCGTACCGGTGGGCGAAGTTTAGGACGACTCCCCGCTGGATGGAGTGACGACATGGTAAGACCTGCAGTCGATGGATGCAAGCTCAGGACCGTGCTTTGTGGCATTCTTTGGGGGAGGCCTAAGTTCAGCAGTGGACTTGTTAAGAGCTGTAATAATGATGATGATGGCGATGAGGCAAAATCAACTGACACAAACTATTGAGGCAAAGTAACCTGTGACAGGTAGTAGCGTTAAAGGTGCAACACCTATAGTACTGTGACCGCCAATCCATCGGCATAGTTTTTAGCAAATCTTCCCTACAACTGAAGGGATCTATGTCCAGTTCCAGTGGACTTTTAACGAGCTGATGAAAAAGGTTACACTAAAATGAAATATAGATGAAAATTTATAAAAAAAATTATGGACTTGAAAGTTGTTGAAAGGAGTTGCATCGATATGCTTATCCATATGCTAGCTACGTTATATGTATATATATATATTTATGTTGAAGCTACTTCATGCTTTTGTCGCCCGCGTGGTGTATAGTGGTCAGAGAAACAGTCCTACCTGTCAGCATCGGGAAAAAACCTGCGCGAGGTCACTTTTTCGAATTCTGACTCGAGCTGAAATTTGCGGAAGACAAAAATTGATTTCTTTTCTGGTTGCGTGTGTTTGTCTCCGTGTTCGACAATATGTCGTTTCATTATTTAAGAGCTACAGGAAGCCCGCCTCTGATGTTATGGAACAAGCGGTTCTTCGGTCACTTGTAGGTTGAGTCATGATGAGTGAATGGTAATGCTCCCCACTTGTGCATTATATACACAGCGTAATGGACAACTTCCGACAGTATTCGGAAGTTTCGTATTTTATATTGTTTCGAAATACGGAAAACTTTTGCTTTATTAATGAATGATTACACATTTTAGCCAAGCAATAAATTAAAAAAAACATCAACTTCTAAGAAGTCTACATACTGATATCTTCTAAGTTGCCAGAATTTGCCGTAATGATCACGCTTGGTTTGGTTTAGCGATTGCTGTGGCAAAAACTTTACACTATTGTCTCTACATCCCACTACGACGCTATCTGCCCCTGTCACGATATTTTCGAGACTTTCGCCTAGTCGAGTTTCACAAAAAACCCATGTAACAAAATGCGTGGTAGATTTATAAGACACGCAAGCAAACAAATATTTTGTAATATATTTTTTTAGAAGATACAAAAACAGAATGTATTTTTAGGGCTGGAGTACTCCACTGGGGGGCCCATTCGCCAGATGGCACAACCCTTCTCCCGAACCACATCTCTCTCCGTTCAGTAGTGGGTGTGAGACGGCACTTGGACGCGTCCCGAAGGCCGCACTGCTTCGAGATTGCGCTCGGTGACTCCAGTAGACTGCTGCTGGCAGCTCCCGATGATCCTACCGCATCCTCCTGGCTGCAGTCACTTTTGCTGCATGCTGCGCAGGTAAGTTATAAAAAGGAACTATTTATGACTGTGATTTAAAATTCCATGTTTCAAAATATTTAATTAACACGACCTCAACACTCCAAACGGTGTCAGATCTAGGATATGATAAGAGACTGTATAATATTTTCTGCGTAGTGGGCAATTTCCGATATTGCATTTAGAAATTAGGCTGTGGTAGCCCAGGGGTTAAGCGCTGGTGTAAATTTTACAGTTCGCGAACAACCTGGGGTCGATCCTCGCCGGCACAAATGATTTCTTTTTAAATATAATAGGGATGACCAACGAGCACATAGTCAGCGGATGCATGGCCCATCGATATCTACATCTATTCTCGATTAATAATCAAAATGCAGATGCATTGTTACCCCTGCGGACAAAGATGGAATGCCTCCAGTAAAAAGAGTCTCCAGTTCTCTACACCGTAGTATTAAGCTGCTTTTTTATGCTGGTATTCTGTGAAAGCGTGGTAGTGAAAGCGACACATTCGTGCTACAACTATATTATAGCTGCATCGTGGCTCTACCACGTACTCGGCGATAAAGAAAAACATCTAAAGCATTTGAACACCGCCAATACGCACTGAAGCAGCTCGACGGATGTATTCCTCCATAACTATATAAGAAATTTGGGACCAAAACTTAAGAAGAATTCTATGCCCAGCTATAGGGTTTACTTTTGTTTTAAATGTCATGATTTAAATCGGCTAACTAAAAAAAATTTTACGGGAATATCGTAGTAAAATCTCGTAAATAAATCTCAATCCAACACACAGGTTTTCCCGTTGTTAAGCTAGGATAACTGTTGACCAAGCCACTGTAATGTTTTCCGTGTGAAGGAAATCCATCTCGCCATTTCGCACCATGGATATCGTATCGTATGAGGTGACTATGGAAAATCTAGTAAAATATCACCTACTCCTGCTCTACAATTATTTAGATGCGGTAATTACCACTTCGCATACATATTAGGCAACAGTAATAATCTCTATATTTGTCCCTTTTTATTGTCCATTAGCAAAAAGAAAAGGAGCATCTTCAAATTTCTTAAATTGATATCGACTTTTATAAGCAAGATATATTGTGTAGAAGTACGTTTCTACAACTATTAATAAACTTATCTTACAGTAATACACCAATAAAATTATAATACTGGCATTAATTACTATTCTGATAATATGTCGACAATATTACGGCTCTTAACATATAGTGATAGGAATAGCATTTTATTTTATCTATACAAATAAAAATATATTTAAGTGTCTGTTTGTAATGTCAAAATAACAGCATTTTATTAATTGCATATGAAAGTAAAAGTAAACGGTATTTATAACAAAAAGAAAAAAAACAATGATTTCTTAATACGGATTTTATCGCGTTTAATTTGAATTATTTTTAATTCCCGACGTTTCAGGTGCTTTCCAGCACCCATGGTCACGGGGGAAAAAACCACAATTTTTAAAACTTGTCTGTTCCGGCTAATGACTTTCCGATTGGACTTGACTGGATTGTCCGATTCCGACTGGTCCGCTTTGACGGAACTTTCACTGGCAGATAGCTGATGTTATAAAGAGTAAATTAGGTTACTTTTATTTTAGTTAAAGAATTAGGGTTCCGCGCAAAAAAATTAAAACCAATGAATTCCAATCGTGATAAATTCCACGCGGACGAAGTTGCGGAGAACAGCTAGTTTTACAATAATTAATAAAATAGCAAAGAAGTAAAAGCTAAAATCTGCTTCAAAACACAAATTAATGGTCGTCAATTCGTAGGTACATATTTGGTGCCTGTAGCTCTGTAGAATCGGACAATAAAAAATAATGCTCATTTCTTTTGCAAGTTAATAATTTGTAGACAAGGGTGTTTACCATACAAAGACTCGTTGCCACTCAAAATCAGTATGTACGTCAGCATTGTAATTATAAAAAATAAATTAGAGTAGTCTTGAATCCAATTCTTAGGCTGTATATTTTAATTTGGTTCCAAGTGAATGTTTATATAAGCCATAAAAAGTTGAGTAGTGTTTATTATTAATTGCAGGCATTAGAAGAAAAAGATGGCGCGAAAAAAGTGGATCCTCGAGCAGGCGGACCGCCACCAGCGTGCACTGTACTGGTGACGCCGCACGAGGTCCTCAGTGTGCGTGACAGCTTGGACTTCGCATTCGTGGCTGGAGCTGCCACTTACCTCAAAGACAGAGGTTCCGATGCATTGCTAAAAGGTGACTATTAAAATATAACATTTAATCATAGTTTTCTATACAAATAAGAGAGCCGTGGTAGCTCAGTGGTTAACGCTCGCTGTAAATATAACAGAACGCTAGTAACCCGGGTTCGATCCCCGCCGGCACCAATGAAATTGTTAATTGCAATTTTAAGTGCTGATTTACCACGTGCTCGGCGGTGAAGGAAAACATCGTGAGGAAACCTGCATGTCTGAGGAATAAGAAAAAAAATTATTTCGAAGACATGTGAAGTTCGTCAACACGCATTTGGGCACGCAGCGCGGCGGACACTTCCTTGCCCTAAACCCTCTCAGAAATGAGGGGAGGCCTGAGCCCAGCAGTGGGACGTATATAGGCTGTAACTTTACTTTACTTTTCTATACAAATAAGAGCGTTACAGTCTACGTGAGGTATAGTAACAGCTAGTGAATGCTGTGGTCCGTCGAGCTACCTTACAACCGTGTTCTTGGCGACCAATCTATTTTGACTAGAGAATGCTTAGATTATAATAAACATTAATGCTTATATGTTTAAACATAATTAAAAAAACTAATAATTAGACATGGGACGAGTACTCGGTTTGGATTCGGTACTCGGCGGATTCGGCCTTTTTTTAGGGTTCGGCCGAACACCGAGTATTAACAGCCGAGTACCGAGTACTCGGCCTTAATTATATTCCAGGCAAAAATAGAGACAAAAAGTCAATTTTTATCATTATTATTATATTAGACATTAAAACATAACATGAGAAACAGCAGAAATATTGAGAATTTACATAACAATCTATAATTGAAATTATTATTGCTAATATTTAAAATATAATAGAGAAAGATTGTGATGCAAAACATTAGTTTTTCGGCTCAATTTAGGTCTAGTTTACCTACTTTTTGCTTCATAATTTGTTCATTGTATCGAAAGAAAAGTATCCAGTAAGTACTTGTTAGTCGTATCGTTTTATCACTAACTCTGTGTAAAGGAAATAACCGCGCGCCGCCCACTACCAAATTTCTTTTAACGCCTAATATTCGGCCGAGTACTCGGCGTATCACTACTCGTTCCATATCTACTAATTATAAGGGTATCGTCATCTGTTTGAAAACAATATAAGTTATAACTGTATAAACATCCTCTAGTCAAAATTGATATATAGAACAGGATGTTAAAAGTCCACTGCTGAATATAGGCCTCCCCTTAAGATTAGCCCCATAGACGGATATTTGTTATAGTTCCCGCGCTTGGCAACCAGGTTGGCAACTGAAGTTTAGTTATAACTGTATAAACATCCTCTAGTAAAAATTGATATATAGAACACGATGTTAAAAGTCCACTGCTGAATATAGGCCTCCCCTTAAGATTAGCCCCATAGACGGATATTTGTTATAGTTCCCGCGCTTGGCAACCAGGTTGGCAACTGAAGTTTAGTTATAACTGTATAAACATCCTCTAGTCAAAATTGATATATAGAACACGATGTTAAAAGTCCACTGCTGAATATAGGCCTCCCCTTAAGATTAGCCCCATAGACGGATATTTGCTATAGTTCCCGCGCTTGGCAACCAGGTTGGCAACTGAAGTTTAGTTATAACTGTATAAACATCCTCTAGTCAAAATTGATATATAGAACACGATGTTAAAAGTCCACTGCTGAATATAGGCCTCCCCTTAAGATTAGCCCCATAGACCGATATTTGTTATAGTTCCCGCGCTTGGCAACCAGGTTGGCAACTGAAGTTTAGTTATAACTGTATAAACATCCTCTAGTCAAAATTGATATATAGAACACGATGTTAAAAGTCCACTGCTGAATATAGGCCTCCCCTTAAGATTAGCCCCATAGACGGATATTTGTTATAGTTCCCGCGCTTGGCAACCAGGTTGGCAACTGAAGTTTAGTTATAACTGTATAAACATCCTCTAGTCAAAATTGATATATAGAACAGGATGTTAAAAGTCCACTGCTGAATATAGGCCTCCCCTTAAGATTAGCCCCATAGACGGATATGTGTTATAGTTCCCGCGCTTGGCAACCAGGTTGGCAACTGAAGTTTAATTATAACTGTATAAACATCCTCTAGTCAAAATTGATATATAGAACACGATGTTAAAAGTCCACTGCTGAATATAGGCCTCCCCTTAAGATTAGCCCCATAGACGGATATTTGTTATAGTTCCCGCGCTTGGCAACCAGGTTGGCAACTGAAGTTTAGTTATAACTGTATAAACATCCTCTAGTCAAAATTGATATATAGAACACGATGTTAAAAGTCCACTGCTGAATATAGGCCTCCCCTTAAGATTAGCCCCATAGACGGATATTTGTTATAGTTCCCGCGCTTGGCAACCAGGTTGGCAACTGAAGTTTAGTTATAACTGTATAAACATCCTCTAGTCAAAATTGATATATAGAACACGATGTTAAAAGTCCACTGCTGAATATAGGCCTCCCGTTAAGATTAGCCCCATAGACGGATATTTGTTATAGTTCCCGCGCTTGGCAACCAGGTTGGCAACTGAAGTTTAGTTATAACTGTATAAACATCCTCTAGTCAAAATTGATATATAGAACAGGATGTTAAAAGTCCACTGCTGAATATAGGCCTCCCCTTAAGATTAGCCCCATAGACGGATATTTGTTATAGTTCCCGCGCTTGGCAACCAGGTTGGCAACTGAAGTTTAGTTATAACTGTATAAACATCCTCTAGTCAAAATTGATATATAGAACACGATGTTAAAAGTCCACTGCTGAATATAGGCCTCCCCTTAAGATTAGCCCCATTGACGGATATTTGTTATAGTTCCCGCGCTTGGCAACCAGGTTGGCAACTGAAGTTTAGTTATAACTGTATAAACATCCTCTAGTCAAAATTGATATATAGAACAGGATGTTAAAAGTCCACTGCTGAATATAGGCCTCCCCTTAAGATTAGCCCCATAGACGGATATTTGTTATAGTTCCCGCGCTTGGCAACCAGGTTGGCAACTGAAGTTTTTTATTATTCAGAGTTGTTACCACAAGGATGTTGCTGCGTATCTCCTATTTCATTTCCCTGTGTTGCCTCTTACGACACCCACGCGATGATATGAGGTAGTGAATTCTCTTATGTCGCCATTACACAGCATTGCATAAACAGTTATTCTCAAAATAACTTAGTATATAGTAGATGTTTATAGCAACCACTTACCATCAGGTGGACTGTGTGTCCATTTGTCACCCTATCCTATAAAAAAAATGTTACAGGTTAATGTAGAAATCACCTAATGAAAACAAACCACATGGCATACTTTAGGCAGTATTTACTATCAAAAGCGATTATATATCTTATTAACGAAGACCTAAATACTGCCTATGAAGAAGGAAATTAAAAGAAAATAGTATTGCGCAATGTGATACGACTTAAGAGAACCCATCACTTCATTATGTCCCGTGGATGTCTTAAGAAGCAAATACGGGATAGGGGGGTATACCAAAAATATCCTATAGTTTTCGATAGTAGATGGCAGTAAAATCACTTCGTTACCGCCAGGCGTAAAATAGACCGTCGATGGGAAGCAGCGTCCGTGATGCGAAACGTCTAGTACTGCGACTGCCATTTTCCCTGCAAAATATAAAAATTAAGGCAAATACTTCCTACAACGGGTCTGTATTAGTGGAATTTTACTGATGAGTATGAAGACGAATATGTTTTAAAAACTTATTATATATAATTACGAGGGCGGCACTGAAAATTCGGGAATCAAGGAAGTGACACAACGTGTCTATTTAAAAATGTATTTATTGCATTTCGAAGTATTCTCCGCGGAATTTGACACATTTTTCCATACGATGGGACCAATCATTGAAGCAACCATTCCATTCGGAAGTTGGGGTCTCCAAAATGGCCGTTTTGTAGGCGTTCACAGCTTCTTCAGGTGATGAAAATCTCTGTCCACGCAATTTATTCTTTATTTTAGGGAAAGTATACAAATCATTAGGGCTTAGGTCGGGGCTGTACGGCGGATGGTCTAATAATTCTATATTTTCTCACTCTAAAAACTCTTTTGCTCTGTGTGCGGTGTGAGAACTCGCATTGTCGTGATGGAGGATGATGCGGCGGTTGCAGTTCTCTTTACGGAGTTCAGACCTGTGGCAAACAAATGCTAGCATACCATTCTGCATTAACCGTTCTTTGTCCCTCAAGAGGAATAGTCGTAACATGACCGGTTTTGGAGACAAACGTGGCCACCATTTTTTTTTGCAACACTCCGTGAGCGAACAATTTTCGTTGGCTTTAACTCATTTTTGAACACCCAAACTCGTGACTGGTTTTTTGTTTCGGGTTCGTACGCGTATATCCAGGATTCGTCACCTGATACGATGTAGTATACAGCATTTGAGGATCCTGCGTGGAATCTTTCGAGCGTTCTGACGCACCAAGTAACGCGAGCCGCTTTTTGCTCTTACGGTATCAATCAGGAAAACAACTTTTTCACACCTAATTGTTCATGCAAGATTATTTGTATTTGACTCATGCCAATGTCTAAAGTTGCATGAATTTCGCGGTATGTCACATGTCGATCTTCCTCAATCAGCTTACGCACAGCATCAACGTTTTCTTGGATGACTGTAGTTTTTGGACGACCTTGACGGGGATCATCACTGAGCTTGACACATTCACGTTGAAATTCAGCAAACCAGCGATAAATTGTGGTTTTGGATGGGGCTTCATCACCAAATGCAGAAATCATCCGGTCAACACACTGTTTTTGTGTTAAAGCACTTCGAAAGTTATAATAAATCATCGTTCTTGAATTTTCTCGAGTCAATTCCATTTTCTCAACGACTAAACAAGTTTGACAAAACCTTGTGACAAGACCGAGAATCTTTTTTTAAATAAATAAATGGTATTCGATTTTTAAAACCAAGGAGTTTTCAATTAAAAAGATTTTAATATGACAGGAACAGTGGAAATACTCCATTCCCGATACTTTTAGTGCAGCCTAGTAGAGATATCGTTCGGTAATCGCTTTTTTGTAAAGTTCAATAGTTACATTAAAATGTACATAAGAGTGATAACAACTCGCAATGTTATCAACATGTTTGTGAAAGAAGAACATAATAATAAAAATAAATTATGTATGTTATTGTCATGACAACAAAATGTTACTTTATCTCTTACTTAATGTTGGTAGAAAAATACAAGGTTTATTTGTTAACTTGTAATTTGTAACAAGGCATTCCATCTTAGTACTCATCGACATACCTGCATTTTGATTCTTATTCGTGGATAGATTTAGATGTCTTATGTTACAACATCCATTTACAATCAGGTGGACTGTGTACTTGCTAGTCGCCTTATTCTAACAAAATCCCTTTATACTAAATATAACGAAATTTATTTTTCCTCAGAATTTCTACATACGGAGTCTGTTTTTGTTATACAAGATGTAAAATGTCCTGAAAGATTTGCATTATTAACCTCTAAACTTTTACGCAATAACGGTGTAAAACGTCGTTTATTAATCCGTCTCTCCCTCTCCTTTGGTGAATATCACAAAATCTAATAAATAGAACAAAAAAAAATATGTTGTAACCATAGAATACTATAATGCACAATAGAATGGCTGTCAACTTTGTTTTGTACGAGGCTTGGCGTCGCCAAACCCGATTCGCTGTATTGACAGACTGAATAAATTTACACATTTTAGACTTTTGATTAATGTTCAAGATCATCATTAAAAAAATCGTTTGAATTTTAATACATATTGATTTGTAAATAGGGTTCAATTTGGCATTTTCTAAATAATTTGCATGCGAAATTTGGAAACGATTGTAACGTCAAAACACATCTCAAGTTGACATTTATACATGTGAATTGACGTGTTAGTGACATTTTAGTGGCTACGCAGGCTCCGCCCACTCCCCCGTTCTATTATGTATGTATCATAGTATTCTATGGTTGTAACCACACACTTCATAATATGCTAATATTACTAATAATTCTATATAATTGAAATTCATTAATTGAATGGGTTCAACCTTAGGCTACGGTCTCCTATTAAATGCTATACGCGACGTCCGACTTCAGCGTAAACGTTCCGATCGGCGTCTGAACGCCAGACACAGCGTCAGCGGTCAATACATGTCTTAGCAATGGACGACGTCTAGACTTTCGATCAAACAACAGTTAAGTAGCTGATAGTGCCCACGTGTGGTTGTGTGTGATATTTGTACATAAAATGGATATAAATTCAATACTTTTCGCGGTGCTTGTGTTACTTGAAGAAGAGACACAAGACGACGTATACGAAGAAAAATAAAGGCAACAAGGCACCGATTATTTATGAAGAGAAATGAAGAAGGATGTTTCCAGCTATTATAATGAAACACTTAAAAAACAGCAATTCTAAATTTACTGAATATTTTCTTATTAATCAAGAACAATTTAAACATAATAATAAATCAATAACTCGTCTTTTTCTTTATAAAATTTTGTCATTTTGTACTGACGCTAGACACGACCTTTACGCTGCAATGGTTCGAAATAACTAGAGACGCAGCGCAAAGCGTCTTAACGCCGCCTACGACGTCCATACGTCGACATCAGCTTGTGAAAGAGACCACAACAGTACGTTTCTATAGTAAGCATCGTAACGCGGCGTACGGCGTGACGCTGTAAGCGGCCGATGGCGTTTATAGGAGACCACCGCCTTAGTAATTTCCTAAGACCGCGTTTCCACCTGGAAGAACACTCGCGGAAATCTTGCATAAGTTTCTTGCAATACTGTCCACTAATCGAATGAATTTTTGCAATGTTTTGCAATGTTTATTGCAACAAATATCTCGAGAGAAGCTCGCGAATCATTCTATTGCAACTTATTGCAGAGGTATTTACACACGAGAGCTATAGATGTCACGAAGGCTATAGCAATTTAGTTTAGAGTATTGTTGCAGAGGTGGAAACGTGGCCTTATAATTTATTTGCCATATCCCATGTTAAGTATATTATCCCATAATTATAGGATTGAAGAGAGCTGTAATAAGTTAAAATAAAAAATAAAACTTAATTATTAATATAACATTTAATATATCAATTCCTTCCTACCTTAAAGAACGTTTCCAATTTCTCAGCTCCTCTCATAAACTTTCCCTTCGGTCCTTAGAAAACCTTTCCCTTCTATGTCCCTTGCACCCTTCTACATTTTACAGTAAATCTTTTTCAGTTCTTGGAGGGAAGCTCTGGAATTCCTTACCATCAACTATAAAACTTGCTCAAACAATAGGCTACTTTAAAAACCAAGTTAAAAAACATTATCTTTCCTTCTAAATTATCCCTCCTCATTTTATCTATTCCTGTCGTTTTATGCTCACTAGTCTGTCAATTAAGTAAATTCCGGCAAGTTTATTAATTTACTTTTATATTTGTAGATTATAATGTTATTTATAGTGCACTCTACCCATTAATTAACTTTTTACTTATTTTTATTTCCTATTTAGGTTGTCTGAAAGAAATAGCTGCTTTGCTAGCTCTGCTGCATAGCAATAAGACTGCCTTTAGTTTTCCCTTTGTTTGTTTCTTGTTATGTTGTTTTCTTAGTGTTCAATAAAGGGTATTGTATTGTATTGTATTAATCTTTAAAAAAAATACACCTACTATTCTTTCATTGCGAGGATGAACATCGATATGTATCGCGAATTAATCAGCCCGTAGTATGTGTGATATAGCTGATGCATTCTATACAGACGGAGCTGCTCATCAATAATGGTTTATTCTGAATTCCTATTAAAATCGAGTGTGCTACTTGTATACGAAACTAGAGCGATAAGCAGCAAATTCTGCTGCAATGTTTAGACTTTCAATTAATCACACTCGCAACTACTTCAAGAAATGCTTGGCATACTGGCGCGAGTGCGCTTGCTACGTAGTTTACATCTGCAAGCTACTGTCTGATAGACTGTCTGAAACTTCTTGCCGAAAGTTTTTTTTGCAGGTGGAAACGCGGTCTTACACCATAACTTCTTGTAGCAGGATTTTAATACATTATTTATTTCGATTTGTGATGAGGTTACACAACAGTTTTACCATCAAATAAACAGTTTTTTTTTTGTAGAAGCTGTGCGTTGTTATACGTTATGTTATAGTATGGGAAATAATTGCCACTTTTGGCAGGCAGGTTGTCGATTTAAGTTTGTTATTATTTTGAGTTGTTCTCAGGAATATGCGGTTGCCTAGCTCCTATAACATTTCTCTCTGTCGTCTTTTACGTCACACACGCTTTTTGATGTGGGGTAGTGGATTCCCTTACTCAGCCGTTACACGGTGAATATATTATGAAAATGCCCTATGAGGTAATATATTAAGTATATTACCTATACATCACAAATTATTCATCGCTTGTGACATAATTTTGATCTAGAATTTAATTATCCATTTTATTGTGGCACACATCTTGCATATAATTTATTAAACTCAAATTTTTCGTCATTGTTTGCAGAGTACATTGAAGAAATGAGAACGGACATTGAAATATTAGTTTGCGGCTCCATCAAGAATTTGACAGCATTCAAGATCCCCGATACGGATGAAAATTGGTGTTGTCTGGTAAGACAGTTTTATATTCCTCCTATCCGAATGACTAGAGTCTATAATTTTAGAATAATACGAACGGGTATTTAGGTCTGCTTGTGATGCCATTATCCCCGTGTTGTAACACTGTATTCCAAATGATGTCTAATCTTATTTATTTATTTATTCTTTATTGTAAATAACTGCCTCGTTGGTCTAGTGGTTGTAGTAGTGCGACTGATTATTGAGTTTTTCCGTCAAGAAATTCTCAGTAGTTGCCCGGGAGTCAGAAAGTTGTCGGTGTCTCATCCCCGTGCCTTGGAAAGCACATAAAGCCGTTGGTCCTGCGCCTGATCTCTCTCCGGTCGTATCGGTATACCGTCCCATCGGACTATGAGAGTGATGGAATAGAGAGTGCACCTGTGTTTGCGCATACACTTGGGCACTATAATCCTGTCCTACGCTCTGTGGCGAGTCCCCGTTGAGGCTGGCCGCCGTGATCGAAATTCGGAAAAAGGATATTATTATTATTATTATTGTAAACCAAAATTTAGAATAACAAGTAGAGTTAAATTAAAGTATAATACGTACAATTGGCGGTCTTATCGTTCTGAAAGTCAGTGATCTCTCCCAGACAACCTTTGCATAGAGAACTGATGTAAACAATAGTCAAAATAGAGGGCGGCATACCAAAAAAAATTAAAATACATATAAAATATAGATACATCCAAATTATATATAATATGATAAATTAATTAAATGAAAAGAGTACGAAAAATCAAAGTAATTTAATAGCATTCTAAGTAATACGATTTAACAAGACTTGAAAGAACACTTGAAAAAAGAGTGCCGTAAACACACAGCAATTGGCAGTATAGGATTTGTTAAAAAAGGAGGAAGAGTGCAAAGGAGTAGAGAGAGAAAGATTGACAGAGGATTGTCAATCTTCTTATATTATCGTGTAGTTAAGCATTATATCTAATGCATTTAGCTTGTAGCAAGTTACCTCTTTTGTGTTGGCGCGTTTACTTATTGTACTATAATAAGTCCTGTCTATTTTCTGCGATGTTAATGCTAATAGCTAGTTAGCTTTTACAGCTTCATTGGTAACTGTGATAGTCCTATGTAATTAATAAGGATATTAAGGAGATTTCGCTCTACGTGTATGAAGGCACGATAGCGTAGTGGCTGAGCCATGGAGTATGGCGCTACAGGGCTGCAGCTTCAAACCCCGTACAGAATAAGTGTTAGTATTGCTTACAAATAACTGACCACTATATAATGTCCTCCAGACCGAATTTCGGCCACGACGGCCTGCCTCAACGGAGGCTAGCCATCGGCGCAGGACAGGATTATAGTGCCCAAGTGTATGTGCAAGCACAGGTGCACTCTCTATTCCCCCCTCCCCATGACGGTAAACCGACACGACCGGAGAGAGATCAGGCGCAGGACCAACGGCTTTACGTACTTTCCGAGGCACGGGGGAGAGACCGCCAACTTCCTGACTCCAGGCAGCTACTGAGAATTTCTTGTTACACCGTGTTATAATGAGGCGATTCTATTTTCACTGTTTCGGCGCTTACAGCAGAAATGAACGTCAACGGAACTATACTACTATTAATAGAGACAGTATGACAAAATATATCGATAAATATTCAATACGACCTACCCGTAACGTCCATTCTATTTATGTATCATTAATATAATACTATACAAAAAATAAATGTATCAATTTATACCTACGCCTTAGACGTAAGCTTTATACCTCTTATAGAACGTAGATCGACGCTGTGTTGGTCTATCTAAGTTTTTATTGTTGACTTGATATTTTAAATTCGTTAAAATTGACTGTATATATATAAGGAAATCGATGAGGCGTCTCAAAAGGATGGTAACTCAAAAGGATTCGAGGCATCCCTTATATACATTTCTAGTAAACCATTTCGCGAAATCCGTAAAATATAGTAATAGTACTCAATTGCATTGTAATACATACTTAATTTCACTCTAAATTAATGTATATATATATATATATATATATATATATATATATATACTATGTAAGATTATACATACATACACAGTCTGAACAATTTAAGGCTTTCTTAGTAGATCTGTATGTGAACGATTGTTCATGAGATCAAGCCGTCAAGTAACAGAACACTATTCCAATTACAGTGTTGTTGAAGAACGTCTATTAATACGGACCTTAGCTATATTAAACATAATCATTGTAGAATAGTCGAAAACAACGATCGCGGTTTACAATTATTTTTTAGTCTTTACGACCGCTCGAACTCGAGTAACATAGTGTCGTGCCCGTCTAGTAGTATACAAGGGGTGTGTTCTAAAATGGAACCCTGTGTACTGTCCAATGCAAATGACGTCATGAATCCACGCTATACAGGTGATTCGTTCCAAAACATAGGACAGTATATGACGTCATACATTTGCGCCATATTGGAAAAGTGGTGGCGATTATTTTGTCATTTTGTGCTCCAAAAATCATTATATCCTCCTAATGGACATACCAGCAATTATTCTATAATTTTTTGTATTTTAATAAATAAAAACAAATTCAGGCATGCTTCATTCAGCGCACACACAATTAAAAATTGTTTTATTATGGCCGAATATCCGACGCAATATGGCGGCGGCACGCCAGTACAATATAGTGTCAATTGATGACGTCATTTGTATTCGGCAGTATACTGAAAACAATTCGGAACATACCCAAGAAGTCTTTGTTAAGGTTGGTCAAGCCCTGATGTAGTATGTTGTGTGTACAGGAGTGGAGCGTGTGCGAGGCGCGCGAGCGCGGCGCGGGGCTTGCGCTGGTGCTGGCCAGCGGCGCCGAGCTCGAGCGCTTCATCGCCGCACTCGAGCGCGCCTACTGCTCGCTCACCGTGAGTACGCACGCACACACACACACACACACACACACACACACACACACACACACACACACACACACACATACACACACACACACACACACACACACACACACACACACACACACACACACACACACGCCCTTGCCCCCGCACGCATGCACACACGCACGCACGAAACTAAGACCGGAGACCGGAGGGGAATAGTCATAGTGTTTTTCCCGATACAAAAATGTCGTGTAGTTTTTTCGGGGGGAAATCTGCGCACACACAAACAATCTTCTGTCAGTACGAAGCTCACACATAGCAATGGAACAACAAACTAACAATATCACATACATATACATACATTGCAACAGTAACGCTCCGTGACGGCGCCAACTCGGATACAGACTCGGATCAGTCGCTTGAGCGATCTGCTTATAATCTGAGGGCAAGCAGCTTGTGTTGGTAAACAAACCCGAAACAACACGACCGTTATTACCGTAATTTTCAAGGTAAAAAAGTAACACTAAGTTGATGTCAGGTACCTGGCACTAGCGCCATCTAGTGTCGGGGACCAAAGCGAGGAGGGCTTCCTAGAAAATGTCAATCTTGACTTTCGACCAACAGCGCCATCTGGTATCGAACAGAAGAATTAAGCTTTCTAGAAGCCCCACACGAACTTTTTGCGTCTGGTCGGTCGGCGCCCGTATCTACCGGAATATTCGGGATGTTTCGGTGTAAAAGCTGTAAAGCCGCTGCATGCCTCAATCGGGGCAGTATTGAATTCGGCGAGACAAGCGAAGCTTCGGAGCGAAATAAAGTGAATCAGTGTGGATAATTATTAGTGTTTTAAGTTTTAATTGGCGTTAGGTAATAAAAGTGTAATTTTTGGTAATTCAATCGGCAGTTTTTATTGTCACGTACCTCAAGCTCGTAACAATAGCAATAAATACCAACTTGTTACAATTTGACGTGGCAGATCTCTTTTTGCAGAAAAAAACTGAACAATCTGGAATTTTTTAAAAGACGTCGCTTCAGCCGCGCAACTAGATTTAGTATAGTGAGCAGTGCAGCTGCAACTAGTTTTATTGTACGCATAGGAACGCGTGGACTTATACTTTGACAGAAAGGAACGGCTGCATATGGCTACTCCCCTCCGATCCGCCGGTAACCCATGTTGTTTTATGGAAACTATAGTCAACCAAATCTAAGAAATACCTTTTGACGTTTCACATTAATCATTCCGCAATAGCTTTGCACAAGCGTACCTACTCACACGATTTAAAATAACCTTTTACGTAAATCCGAAGAATTATGAGGTTATCTATATTTCATTACAACGTGTATAGTTTTTATCACTAATTTAAATTTGAATTTTTCAAACAAAGCAAATTATTAAAAAATAACCAGTATTAACTTTATTTTACTTGAAGTCGTTTCAATTACATGTCGCTATGTATATTACCGTAGTGTCTGGATGATTAAAATTCATTGTTATGCGAATAATCTGCAAAATAATTAAATAATCGGTAAAAATATTCTTATAATCGAATCATTAATTTATTAAATATATTATTTGTTTAATTTAATTTTTATTTTCAAAATTCCTTAAATTACATGAATCACGAATAAAACAAGTTTATTTTTTTCACTTTGTCAAAGTAAATTTTTGTAAAAATAACCACTACATAATTTCAATATCCCGCCATTTCGATACCAGTTACTCGACTCCACTGAATCAGTAATTCATTTTTGAGGCCATGTATACGCTTTTACAACAAAATGCCAGAAAATATACAAAATTTGAGGTTAGTACGCATAGTTCAAAAACTTTATTACACTAAGTTTGTATAAAAAGGGTTATTTTAATATTAAGGAATTTATGGATGATAATAACCCCTGGAAAGGGTGATCGCTACCAAGCTATTTCTAATTTGTTTTGTGTTGTTAATTGTAACGCGCATGATTATAAGCTCTTATTTAAAAATTATTTATTTAGGTATTTTTTGCGAACCAGTGGTAAATGAAAAAAGTGACTTTCAATAAGTATTAACCATAATCTATATTCAATAAAAAAGTTTCCGTTTCTGTTACGAGAGCGTACTGTGCATAATTTTGTGATTTTGTGTTTGTCTTCTTATTTTGTGACTCGGCTTTAATTTTTTGGACTGTTTCTTCTATAATAACTTTTTGTACGTGGTAGAGCCACTCTCATAGAATATCAGCGTAAAATAGCAGCTTAATGCTGCTGTGTTTCGTATGGTGAGTGTAGAGAACCGGAGACCCTTTTTACTGGAAACGAGGCATTCCATCTTAGTCCTCAGGGGTGACTACGCATTTGCACTTTGATTCTTAATTGAAGATAAATGTGTATGTCTATGGGCCATAGCATCCACTTACCACCAGGTGGACTGTGTGCTCGTTTGTCCCCCATGCTTTAAAAAAAATTCGTTGAAGCATGTGCCCATGTTACAAAGGATGATTGGGCAAAAGTGGTAGAAAAAACAAAAATATTGATTTTGGATAACTTTGAAAGAGACATTAATTTTGAATGCATTATTGAAATTCAAATAATAATAATATAAACAACGACATCCCTACTAGTTGTACTGAAAGTGATTGAATAAATTTATTTTGAATCTAGTTTCAATCTTAAATTTTTATAACTGTGCCTCTAGAAATAAGCAGTAACAACAAATACGAAGAAACTGATAAATCTTGTGTTTTAAATCATCCGTTTTTAATTTATTTTAGTATTATTCAAACCGTAAATGATTTCCAACTCTAAATAATCGATATCGATTTGTTTTAAGAATCCAATATTTTACGTTCGCATTTTTTGATTGGCATGCTTGGTGCAATAAGTCTGACAGCTGTCAAAATGTATTTCTTAGATTTGGTTGACTATAATGAATTTTATATAAAAATATTGTACAACGGCTTATCTATTTGATAGACTTGATGATATTTGTTTATTGCTTATGAGATAATTTACCTATTTGGATTATTATTGCAGAGTGAACCATTCCCACTGAGCGTGGTGGATGCATCCAAGTCAGCGTGCAGTATCGCCCATGCTAAGTTCGAAGCCGCCTGGTCACATATGCTGCCCGCTCAGCAGTAAAACGTAATCTTCATGTATATTGATAATATTGTTATTGTCAAATTGTAACACATATTTAACTTGCTACATTTCAAGATGGACCTGCATTTGGTTGATTTAATCACGTTTTAACGAAATATGCATTTCATTTTCATAAATATATACTTGGCGAACCATTTTGAAAAGTACGGAACTTGTATTTTTATAAAATATTATCCATTAGTTTGGAATCTCAATGATTTCTCACTTGATATTTAAATTTAAAGTATTTGTTTAAAGTTTGACAGTAACAATATATAGCGAGAGCTTAAAACTTGTCCATTTATTTCCATAGAAATTACTATTGTACTGAGTTGCTAAAAACTGAAATTTCCTTGCCGCATAGCATGTCAATATTAAATGACATATAACGGATATTCCGCCTCATTGTTACTTCATATTTTGCCTTACAATACAAAACTGTCTTGTCCTACAATACTATAGTAAATTACTAAATAAACTTTGTTCCATAAGCTTTTTAAGATCAGCCATCGCGACTTCGGCTTAAGCCATAATTTAGCTATCGTTCAGTTTTTCTCCAATAATGCAACATGGCTATTGTAAATATAATTTCAGTTTTAGCGATTTTTTTTCTGGCATCTAAATAGCGACGTTAAGAAAATCAATATTGCTTGGTATCGATAAGTTTATATTATAGTGGCAATTAAATAGTAAAACCATGACGAATGTTCGCGTCAAAACAACGTTTCAAACAAATAGACGTCAATTTAACACTTTCACCAATACTCATTCAATTCATATGATTTGTCACTCACATGTTTAATAATTATTTAGTACTCTTTTAGACAGAGGCTGAGAGATGAGCACAATTTAGTATAATTTACTTTGACACGTCGTTAGAACGGAATCGCACAGGTCTTCAGGGAATCTTGCAAACATATGCGATAACTACATACTTTTAGGCAGATTACCAGTACAATGCATATACCATTTTCTTACCAGAATAATTCATAATTAATACTCATTGTTGTATTTCCAGACACAATAGTAAGAATTGTCTTTTAGCTATGACCCATATGTGGGTCACAGTACAGTAAACGTATTAAGTTAAGAAAAATTGTAACCCAACCTAACTTTCGCCTCGCGATCAAATTTAATTGTAGTTTTTGTTATTTTATTTTGTAATAACAGGAGTATACATTTATATATAATATCGTATTGTGTCTAAATGCTTAAATGCCACTATATAAGAATAGAGATGGCGTTGCTAACAATTGCACTATCATGTTTTTCAAATTCATATTTATTTAATTTGTTTAACATAAGTTAGTTTACAGATCTATGTGGTATATAGTAGAAGATTCGGCAGGTACTCTATATCCAACCACTAAGCATACAAAATATTAAATTACTAAAAGAGGTTTTAAAACAAAAATAAGTTATCAATTAACTGAAATATAAAAAGTACAACCAACCTTGTTTAACTATTCCCATATTATTAGTTTATATGGATTCGGATCTTATTGTTATAATATATATAAAAAAAATTGCCACATTTTTCCTTTAAGCCTTATTTATTTAAAGAATATTTACTTATTGTTATAATATATATTAAAAATTTGTCACATTTTCCTTTAAGCCTTATTTATTTAAAGAATATTTACTTGCATTAAAATTGTTATAACTACGTGCATAGTCTAAAGTGGTTTTAAAGGAACTATCAGTGTATTTACATGTACCGCATCTGCAAGATTTTTAAGTATGTTATCGAAATGTGCGATTGCGTTCTCGCGCTTGCTTATTATATTTAAGCTTTTATAAATAATTATTCATGTTATTAACTTACGAAGTATATTGTCCAACTTTCCTGTACATAGGCGGTTGTAACATTTCCGTAGCGTTAGGTCACAATATCCCATTGTAGTCTAATATCTAGTTATATATACAGACCCGTGTTATTCTTAATGCAATATAATATTAAATTATACTATACACTGTTTATAAAAGTACGCATTTCTCTGTAATAGTAGGTTTCTATATATATATATATTTGTGTAATTCGCATATTTATGCATATAATATATATTAGGCAATGAACATGATAAATGTTTTAAAGGTAGTAAAAATTATTAACGTCCGGACTGTCTGTATATTACGGTCGCAAAATAAGTGGTACTGGCTTAACTACCGCACAATATTATGATTCCGTTTTTTGTCAAATAGAAAATATAACTGAAAAACAAAAGACGTAAATAGTGAAACAATATAATAACAACATATTTAATGGTTTTTGAAACATCATTGAACATAAGTTTTATGAGAATACTTAAAAAATATCAGTATGCTTAAAAAAGAAAATTCCAGTACCAGAGTACTACCAGAAATAATAATAATTAACACAATATATCAAATTATATTATGGGATACCTTTACGCATAATAACAAAATATTTATATATTGGTATATATAACATAATTATGTCGAAATGTGGTTTTTGAAACATCATTGAATATGAATTTTATAAGAATGCTTAAAGATATCAGTATGCTTCAAAATAAATTCCATTCACTATGGTACTAGAAATAACAATATGTAATAATAAACAAAATATATCAAACTATATTATGGGATACCTTTACGCATAAGTTGTTCAATATTTGTTCGCCTCATGTGGGGGCGTGTCTTAATTACGTGAGGCGTTTTTAGAGATTTTTCTACCCTCCCCCTAGTGAGATGTCGTGAGCTAATGCTCGACCCCCTCACACATCTTTACGTATGATTTATCAAAATGCGTATTTTTGTGTAATAACGTTAATATGAACTTGATATCCTTGGGTTTATTTAAAATAAAAAACATAATTTGCTTAATAATTTTTATATAATTTGTGAATTTCCTATAACCACAATAAATATTATTGTGTAGGAAAATCCACTATATTTACTTAATTTAACCCAATTTTCTCCATATTTTACACAAGAAACACCGGGGAAAAAACGTGATATTTGCCGAGACTCCCTCTCCTCCACGTGAGATTGGGTGAGATTCGGCTCGACCCCCCCCCCCCTCCTAAAACACCTCACGTAATGAATTGACGCCCCTTATCACAATAGTTTATTATCGTATATATGGATTAAAAATAATTTTTTTTGTGATTTAATGCTTATGTTACGGTGTTTAAAACCTGCATTTTAAATACCTTGGAAAAAAAATGATCTCGTCAACATTTAGACTGCTGTTATGGGATAAGTACCGTTGAACACGTATTATATCATTCTAATTTCGTAGTTTCGTAGTATATAATATGAACGAGAAATTATATTATATAATGTACTATTTCTTTCACAATTCGAAAATAATGATTATTAATTATATTGCTATTTTATTCGTTATCTCTTTGATTACATCACACACACACACACACACACACACACACAATATATATATATATATTCTCAATCTCACTCGTATGTATAAAAATAAAGGGCTGTTTTAAAATTAAATAAAAGTGAGGACAATAACAACGCAGCAAGTTCACTCGAAAGTTTTTACTGAATAAGACTGCTTTGAGTGATTCGTTTCGTGGCTGGCTTGGCTTGGTGTGATTTATTGCTGATTAGATTTTGAAATTTATTTATTTTTATTCGCGAGCCTTTTTTAGCTTTATAATTTTAAAGCTAACTTTAACGGTTTCGTTTTTTTATTCCATGACTAAATTTAGTGTATTGGTTGTTGTTAATAGGTCGGTTATGTGTTGCAATATCTGGTAACTGCATCTATAAATATTTTTGTGATAATAATTCCACTATTTCTTGTGAATTTCTGTTATAAGATTAAAACTACATGCATTCCATTTATGAATATTGAAAAACGACTGCCTCGTTGGTCTAGTGGTTGTAGTATTGCGTCTGGTGATTATGAGGTTCTGGGTTCGAATCCCGGGTCGGGCCAAAAAACAGTTATTGAGTTTTTCTGTCAAGAAATTCTCAGTAGTTGCCCGGAGTCAGGAAGTTGGCGGTGTCTCACCCCCGTGCCTCGGAAAAGCACGTAAATCCATTGGTACTGCGCCTGATCTCTTTCCGGTCGTGTCGGTTTACCGACCCATCGGATTACGAGAGTGATGGAATAGAGAGTGCACCTGTGCTTGCGCATACACTTGGGCACTATAATCCTGTCCTGCGCCGATGGCTAGCCTCCGTTGAGGCAGGCCGCCGTAGCCAAAATTCGGTCTGGAGGACATTATTATTATTATTGAAAAACGAACAAACCTTGAAACTATTTTATAAATTTAACTAAAAAGTTATCGTTTTATATCCGTTTTCATTTTTATTTTATTGTTAAGGCAAAGAAAAGATATAAATCGAAAGCATGTAGTCTTGCTCTTTGTCAAGGCTGTTGGTTGTAACATGTCGAAGTTGATTTTTGTATACATTCTCTTTTGAACATTTGTTTTTATAACCAAAAATAAATAAAATACCAGTATATCACAGTATATGTGTATTATTGGGCAAATGTAAAAGCCATGTGATATTAATGTATGTTAGGCGTAGGTTAAAATGAATCAAGTGTCCCTCAGAAGCTAGAACTTACGACACAGTTATAAGAATTATTTTCATTGTACAACACAAAATCATACTCATCATTTTAGGAATTAATAATTTTCACTTTTTTACTATTTTTTTTTATATTCGTTTATTATTGGCTATGTGTATAGTACTTAAATGTAAAATTTCTTCATTTAAGGTGCATATAAACCATTAAATGAACAGTAATATTGAAGTAAACATAATATAATGTTCGCAAGTGACTTCTGAGGCGCTGTTACACAACATAGAACTAATTATTATTTTACACAAGAACCTGTTATGCTTATATCTCAGTGATTTTTTTATTAATTTTAATTTATACTCTAATGAAATTACCTAATGGATTTAAGCCAGAATTATATTTGTAGATATTTTGTGTAATTTATGCAATGTGAGTATTATATAAATTTTATTTGTAATGTTTGATGTGTATCCTG